ATTTCGGCGTTCGCTGATAACAACAATTAGGTAGCAGCTCGCGCCACAGCTTTATGTAAGAAAGTTTTCTTTTCCTTTCCTAGTCGGGTTTTCCAACATGATAGTATCATGTATAAGAGAAAGCGCCTCATAAATGTACAATGGGATTGCTAATCCAAAAAGCCCCCATGTCTCGTGAGCTTTACACTCCGAAGTAAAGACATATCTCTGGCGACTGCGCAGGCTCAGTTCTAAGCTTGCTGAGCGTAAGCAGAATAGCACATACGGTCGGTGTGCGGAGGTAGGAGACCATATACCCTGGGCCCTGGCCCTGGAACCAGTTCCCGTCAGTTGCTGGAGCAAGAGACCCCAGACCCGGCCATAGTTCGGTTTACCTCGAGTCACTTGAATGAATCTGCAACCGGACTTTTGCCCTTGGAATAAAGAAAAGACCAGGCCCTGAAGCAAATAGACACTGAAAGTCAAGTCCCTGACATATGCGGAAGACTTACAGTTCCTGTGACTTTACCGGTAATAGACACTGATCCTACTAGGAGTCAATCCAAGTCTGATATAAAGAACGCTTATCATGCCCTCTACCCAGCTCTGGGCCCGAAGCCTCACGGTTTGATAGACGAGCTTCCACTGCCTGGTAGGAATGATACCATGATCCTAGGGATGGAGGGTGAGGATGGAGCTGGGTGGCTGGCTGTGAGGATTATGGAGTGAGAATACAGTGGCCAGGAATACTGAACTGGCGATTAGGGGCGTTGTGGCCGTTGTGAGCGCCGTTTCGTGATTGAAAACGTACATCAGCATACTATGTGCGTACGTTACTGGAATAATCTGTCAGGGTGACCGATTTGTAAACGACTACTTCACTTTTAGCCGCTGATGATATCTGTATCAGCTCTGGCTTTTTCAAGCTCGAATCGTTCAATCTCTCATCAATAAAAAGAAATGAGGCCATGGACATATCCCTCAGTATACAAACAGAATCTTCCTGTCAGCAACATTCCGGAGTCCAGCGTCGTCTACAACGCAAGTCCAACAAATATCCTTATGCACAGGCAAAAGAAAACACCTGAAGCCTTTCGAGGACGCAATACTAACGCCCGTCAAACGCGCCATCCACGACGACCCAGAGCGCAACACCATAGGCCTATCGGCCGGGCTTAGCAACTCTTCCCAGCAATCAATGGACACAAACTCCATCCCGGTCGCGCTAATTGACGGGTCATGGCCGCACTGCTTCTTGTGTAGTCCGCAGGACCTAATATCAGGCGAAGAGTCAAGCGCTTCAAGGATGTCCAGGTCCGCAACCCATTCTGCCTGATCGTACATGGAGATCCGTGTTTCGAGATTATATGCCTCCATGCCCCGGAACGCGGAGGGTCCTCGAACCCTTAGTGGTCCTTCCCACCCGGTAAAAGACATGTGAAGCGACGACGCCTCGAATGATCCGCCCGATGGACTTCCATCAAACGGGTTGTGGTTGACGACGTGCCACTTCTCGACGTCGTGCTCCCTGATTTCCGGCTGCTCGGGCGCGACTAGGAGAGCAATCCCTGGTTTTCCGACATTACCGATAGCGTGTACGACAGCACCTGATGTCATGTTTGCCGGCGGAATAGGATCGTTCAGGACACTTTGCGCAATAAAGAGAGAGTTTCCACTGGAAATCGCCATCACCTTCTCCATCTCGTCTACATTTACTGAAAGCGAGCCTGACTCAAATTGTAGAATGGAAGCAAAAGCTTGCTGCCGAGTCAACGGTCGCGGGTAAATGGACTCAGTGATAATTCCGTTGCACGCGAGCGAAGCAGCTTCCAGATGCTGGGTTTCCAGGTCTTTCACCACGCTTCTCGCCCATGTCCAGTTTGCCAGGCACTCTTTGATTACTCCCATTGAGAGCTTTAAGTGGGGGAAGTCGTGCTTATAATGATCTGTAATGCGGCCCAGGGTCAGGAGAGAGAAATGGTGGTCTGGTCGCTGACGCGCAAAGTACTGCTGGATGCGAGCCATTGCAATCTGAAGGTCAAGACTCCCATTCTTCACGAGCCGCTGCACTGTAGCTAACGGTACAACTGGACGCGGGGCGCTCTCCTTCTTGGACCTGCCGCGTCGTATGTACACAGCAGCCAGGTTATGTATCCCGAGCACAAAGTCCCAGACAATTGTGGTGGAAGCCCCCTGGTCGTAATTCAGAAAACTCGTGAAGATATGATCATCGCGATATGTATCCTCTGGCGATAGGTCGCAGTTATAATCTGGCATCGAGTCGGAGTTGAAGCTAGGTAGGCCTGTTGTCGAAGAGAGAAAAACCCATTCTTCATTCATCGGGGTACCTGGCGTTAGGGTGTTGTCTGAATCTGATTCAAAATGACTCCTACTTCTTTTGCGACTGTGGGGTGCCACGGCTTGCAGCAAAGATGCATAGTCCCATGTATCGTCTTCTTTCTTGAAGCGGATTATGCATGCATCTGGCTCGCCGCACTGCGACTGATAGATCTCCTGGAGAACCCGGACCCGTTCCGATGGTCGATGAATCGCCTGAAGGAGGAAGGAGAGATCAGTGACACCGAAGAACGGATGATGATCATTATTCGAGACGTTTCCGATCCAGCTAGTAGCGCAGTTCGCTCCGTATCTTATGAGTTGCAATGCGACTCTCTTGTCTTCTTCATTGCTGGACAGAAAAAGCTCAACACCCCCCATCAATGGGGACAATATGTGAAGATCATGTACCACATCCACCAACTGTCGCTTAGTGAGTTCCGTGATTCGGGAGTTCTCAAGGTCGTATTGCAACGCTTTGGGTCTATTGTTCGACTGTGGGTAGGTTGCTTGGGGAGGAATTGGGTTGTTTCGTATATGTTGCAAGGCATCTCGGTACGCCGTACGATTGGAAACCCACAAGGATTGGATGATGTCGACCGCTGCCGAAAGATTATCCAAAGAGTCTAGCGTAGCACCTAGTATGAGGGCCTGGAATTCGGGAATTGATATCTTAGAGTCGTGTAGGGAAGACCTCTTGCAATCGACCTTCCCATAATAACGGAGACTGGACAGGGGTAGCGACCAGTAGACCCCGTCCTGATTGCCATGGGGGTCTTCCTGATATGCGATGGAGAGGGTTGCAATGCCACCTTGGGCCACGAGAGGATCAGTTTGTTGACGCTCTATAGTCATCGGTCCGAGAAGCACCAGATCAGGATACAAATGCCACGAAGTAAGGCCGAGAAGGACTCCGCCGTCAAGAATGCGCTGTGGCTTCCCGGAGATCAGATTATCCAGAGCTGACAATGCTGTGCAAAAATTGTGAATGACACTGTCCGCCACGATGGTCTTGCCAGATGCCGGTAGTCCTATTCCATTTGGTGTGATCTGAGTCTGGATCGAGACCGACAGGTTGTTCGCAATCAACTCGATCTGCTTTTGTTTCCCTCTGAACGAACTGCTGTCGGCGATCTGCAGCCAGGAACGAGCGCTCGCATCCCAACCTTGTAGGCTCGACCAATCCGTGTCATATTGAGCTGCTAGCTGGGCTAAAACATTGCTGGTCCCATCGCCGTCCGCAGCTTGCTTTTTGACTGCTTGACGTCGCAGGTCAACGACCTCGGCCCAGATCGCGGTTGCTTCTTGTGGCGAAAAAATACGCGCCAGCATACACGCTAAAAGATGCATCAGGAGTGCGGGCCTGCCGCTCGTAGCACCTGCCCAGATGCTGGTACTGTCGATGCCTATATGAGGACCAAAGATCCCATCGCTGATACTCTTGGATGGTGACTTGCCTTCGCCAGACTCGCTAGCAATCTCGCTGGCACGAGTGCCATAAGCCTTAAGAAGGGAAGGCACTTTGGGGAGAATGTCTTCGAAAAGAAACCCGAGACGACGGGCCAGGATATGAAGAGAGCCCTCTTCGGCCAGTTCCCGACGCTGCCTAGAGAGTGTTTGGCCGAGTGGGAGCAACTCAGCAGGAGCTTCGCACTTGCGCAGAGAAAAGTCGATATTCGCATGGAAAATCGAGAAATTGACCTCGGGGTTGAGTGAGACGGCGTTGGCCGCAATTCGCTGTATGGAAGCCATCTCGGCCTTGGTCGTTCGTCTTCCTGTTCATTCACCGGGCATTATCATATATGAATATCTGGTGATGCTGCTCATAGCCACCCCAAGCCTAAGCTGTGACGTTCTGCTGGACCGGGGTCGGCGTGCACTGCCACAGGCTTCTCCTGCAACAAGGAGATAAATGCTCTTGACCTCGCTCCCTCTTGACTTCGAAGTCGATCGTTTTCGGCTTTGACAACATCAAGCTCTAGGCCCCTGTGAAGCGCCGACGAGACCTGGTCAGTTTTGCGCAAACGTTCTTATTCTCAGAATATGACTTGCTTTTCGAGCGAAAGATGCCCGGGCGGGCGCAGACGCAACACGTGGACCAATAGGTGGCAACGCTGAATGCATGGCAAGCTTTAAGAAGCCAATTAGAAACCAGATGTACAGGACAGGAGCAGCCTTGCACTAGTGTGGGTATTGGGGCGGTGTCTTCTGCTGATGATCTTGTCGGAACTCATGATACTGTACGCAGCAGGAAGACAAAGCCAAACCGTCCAAAAAAAATGGCTGCATTCAGAAGGTCTCACAGAGATTACACAGTGGGCTGGCTGTGCGCTCTTCCGATAGAGACCGCGGCCTCAAAAGCGATGCTAGACAGGTTGCATCCTCCACTGCCTCAGCCAGGGAACGACCATAATCTGTACACCCTCGGGGAGCTTCATGGGCATAATGTTGTGATTTCCTGCCTTCCGTCTGGTGTGTATGGCACCACATCCGCTTCTATCGTTGCCGTCCAGATGCTCAACACGTTTTCCGCGATCCGCTTCAGTCTCCTCGTAGGCATCGGCGGCGGGGTTCCCAATGGGGATACTGATAGTAGACTGGGGGATGTGGTGGTCAGTAAACCGACGAGCACATACGGTGGAGTTGTGCAGTATGACTATGGCAAAACGGTTGCCACGGGTCTTTTTCAACGCACAGGGGCGTTGAATAAACCGCCATCCATTCTTCTGGCCTGAATTTCAAGACTCAAAGCAGATCACATCATTAGCGGGAGTCGAAACTCGGAATAGCTAGCTCAGATGATGACCCAGTGTCCCGCCACGAAGAGGCTATCCCGTCCAGGGTCGGAGTTTGACATTCTATTTGACCCCAGCTATCGACATCCTGTCTCCCAGGACAAAACTTGTCTTCAATGTAATCCAGATCGCAAAATCCCTCGCAGACGGCGTACTTTGGACGTTCCTAACATCCACTATGGGCTGATTGCCTCTGGAAATCAGGTCGTGAAGGATGGTATGATGCGGGACCGAATATCGCAAGACTTGGATAGCGGCGTCCTGTGCTTTGAAATGGAGGCAGCTGGACTCATGGACAACTTCCCGTGCTTGGTTATTTGAGGCATTTGCGATTATGCAGATTCTCATAAGATCAAGCACTGGCAGCCCTATGCGGCAGCAGTGGCGAGTGCGTATGCGAAAGAGCTATTGTCGGTTATTCCAGTGGTACAGCTCGATCTCTTCCCAGAAGCGCTCACTTAGTACGTTCCCCCAGCTAAAATAGTTCAGTGGACTGACCCGGTCTTGCAGTGTGAGAGGTGAACCGAGTACCGACCCATCTGAAAAGGAGGAGAAACCCCATCACAGAGAGTTGACAATATCCGATAACGTTTTGACCAAGGGCAGAGAGATTGAGCCTGCTCGCCGCAAGGAGGTTCTCGCCACGGCTGGAATATCGGACAACGCCCATTTGTGTTCTGAGTGCACCTTGATACAACCCGCTAGAGAGTCGAAGTCAGTGATGTGGATTTGCTGCAAGTGCGGAGACGGGCCCAAAACTTCGTATCATGAAGCTAGCTGTGTACTTTGCCACCACAAGCCTTTCCCTACGGGGTCAAGATGATGTGCAATCAGCTTCTGTACTCTGATATCCGCCCACGCGAACAGCATTGCTCATTATCGCCTTCGAAGAATAACCAATCCTGGACAGGCAAAGAGAAAGTTCATGGTCTAATTCAGAATGACAAATGAAGTACTCAGGGTGGCTTCGGTGTCCTGCCGGACAGGATACTGGGTGAGAGATAATGCTTTCGAGGAAGGCGCGATGACCGAGATTTGGCGGTTACCTGTGGCCTTACGAGAGAAGGCCGCCGTCGGTCATTTCGTTGATACCTTGCAGACTCATCCCACACTACTCTACCCATTGCGTATCTCTGTTGACGAAAGGTCATTCGGATGAGTCGAAGCAACTTGCTGATACCCATGTCCTCAAATTACACGAGTCGTGAATCCGAACCAAAACCCCGAGAACTCATTTATCCAGACCGGCTTTGTCGGCTCAATCCGCTTGAGACTGGCCCGTCAAGCATCATGCCCTGTCATCCCACGCATCCGCAATACCGCTAGCGAGGCGTAGGGTTGCAGCAGCACATGGTAGCGGCTCCTGCATCGGCAACGTTGGAATCGAGAACACTGATTCGTGATGAACAAGGGTCCAAGACCCTTCGATTCAGCGAAACACTCTCAAGCCGTCCAGCCCAGAAAGCACGAAGTGGGTTGGTTTGTCTGGGCAGTCCCCGGGGTACTCAAGCACCCTTGGCGGAAAACACTGGGCTTGGCGGACTTCACATTTGGATGAGCTTCGAGGTAGGACAAATCGAAAGACTAATCAATGCCTGGTCGAACGCCGTCTTGTTTCGCAATGCTGGGGCTGGTTGACGATAAAGGAAAGCACTGTGATGGCGAGCTGAAGAGATGAGAAAGTTGGGAGAATGTCAAACAGTGGAAGTTGCATTGAGGACCCTGGGGACGCCAAGGCCTCCGCCGAGACTGCAGCAGAGACTGAGCCTGTTGGTAGCGTGGGCTGGACGGGCCACGGCCGGTTATAAAGCGTACCTGCGCTGTCCTGCATCTGCTCTATCCATCCCTCGATCTCATCCCACACTACCAAACCTACATCATCTTCCCCTCCATCCGCAACATACACCATGAAGCCTTGGATCCTCGCCTTCCTAGCCCTGACGGCCTGCGCCGTGGCCCAAGAGACCGAGACACCGGGCCCTTCTCCTACTGAATCTGTTGGCTGTGAGCCGCACGGTGACCACTGGTACGCCCTTCCCCGTCCTCCTTCGTCACGTCATGCCAAGCTCCCTCCCAAACCAAACCATTCCAACCCATCTAACAAGCCCATAGGCACTGCGACGCACCCGCAACATCCACAGAAGCCGTCTCCGAAGACTCCACCTCCGAAACGCTCGCCCCCAGCCCAACCGAGTCCATCGGCTGCGAACCCCACGGCGACCACTGGCACTGCGATGCCTCCGCCACAACGACCGAGACCGAGACAGACGCCAGCACGACTGCCGACGCCTCAACCTCTGAGTCTGCTACACTTCCGCCAAGCCCAACTGAGTCCGTTGGCTGTGAGCCGCACGAAGACCATTGGCACTGTGATGGCCCGGCGGAGACGGAGAGCGCGAGCAGCGATAGCGGTAACTCCACGGCGACTCCGACTGAGGAAGCTGGCGCTGAAGAGACCGATGAAGACGGTGGAGCGGGCATGGTGGGTGTGAAGATTACGGGTGTGCTTGCCATGGCTATTGGTGCTGCCGCTGTGCTGCTGTAGAGGGAGTTGAAAATGGTTTCGGAGGTCAGCTGTATATAGATGGTGGAAAATTTGATCGGTGTATATGATCAGGACTACATGCAGTATCCCTTTCAAGTGATCTAGGATGATGGAAGAACGAAAAGGAGCCGAGACGCATAGGATCCAGACCTAGAGTCGTTGACAGATATATCTCGATGTAGAGGTCAGGACTAGTCCTGAAGTGGCTGCGTCCAGGTAACTAAGCCGACACTGATCAAACACTCCCCAACCTAACCGGAAAGACCGAAGCAACTCCAGGCTCAATTCCCAATCTCCTTCCCCAGCTCCACACGCTCCACACCCACCCTCGCAGCAAGCTCCCTCTCCCTCCGCATCCCCCTCGCAAACGCAACCCCGAACCCATGTCGAAACACCTCCTTTATCTCCTTAAGCATAAGCCCCGAGACCTCCGGATGAAAAAGGTAAATAAGAATATACCCGACCCCGCAAACAACGGCAGAGAACCCAAAGGCACCAGATGGTGTAATCCCCTTCATCATCGTCAAGAACGTAAAGACTACCAGGCCGACGGTGACGGGGTCGAAGAAGCCGACGAGGTCGAAGAGGTGGCGGAGTAGTACATGAGGGTATTGAAGCCGGGCATTTGCGCGATGACCGAGAACCCGCAGACGCAGATCAGGGCGCGGAAATATGCCGGGTTTGTGTGCAGGAGCTTGATCTTGGCCCGGCGGGTCGAGTCCTGGTTGAGGTCTCGAAATTCATCACAGGCAGAGGCGATAAGGCGGACTTCGGACTAAATCTGGGCGTCTGAGGCGCCTTTGTAGATCTTGCGGATAACGGCCTCGGCTTCTTGGATCCGGCCATGGTACACAAGCTGTCGGGGGAACTCTTGACATGTTGAGACCGATGAGGTGCCCGCGGACCTTTGTGGGCGATATTTCTGCTATATATAATGGCACAGCCCTCGAGGCACTGCCAACTCCGAATCCGACGACCAAGCGTCTTACTGACATCTGCCCAAGTATACTGAACCTTGGAGGACTGCACTGACGGTAAACAGCACGCACCCGACATAGATGGCGGGCTTCCGACCATACTATTGACTCAGTATGAACCAGTATGAACCATGACCTAAAGGTAGATCAGACTACCTTATCCGCAGTTAGTCCGGCAATGATGGCGCCAACAAAAGCACCGCCAGAGCACAGGCTAGTTATCAACTGTTTTTCATTCTCGGATGTAGGACGGCCGTCGAGGCCGCTGTATAGGTAGACCAGCACAGCAGAGATGATACCGGTATCGTAGCCAAAGAGACCACCGGCGATGGAAGCCGTGAAGGCGACAAGCCAGACGAACCAACTGGTGGCAATGTCCTCAATGGAGTCGTCGGTTTCTTGGTCATAGTCGAGGTGCACTAGAGCCGCTTTCTCGTCTTCTTCCAGGGCCGTCACGATGTTCCGTTAGAACAGAACTGATCGTTGAATGTGGAGTTGAATCTGAACATGGTCAATCTGCATCGTGGGGCATCGGGTCTTGATCTCGTGTATAGGTGTAACCATACTACATAGAATGAGGCGATGGATGCGCACACTTGGCCCCAGATCGGCAACTCAGTTTTCTGGGGTACAGCAACAGGTTGCGGGGAAGCACAGGCCGCGCCTAGATCTAGTCACACCTCATTCCGCGTTCAGTCCAGATCAGGAAATATTGGCCCGACCAAGGTGTTGGCACGGGCTCATATTTCCAAAAGGCTAAGACTTGCGACGTCGAAGACGCGCTGCGCCGACACTGGGGTTAGATGAAAGCTAGTCACAAATAGGGGCTCATTGCAGTTCATAATTAAAAGCTAGGATACTATGGGAGCATCTCTAACTAGATCGGATCGACCGGGATCGGGTGTCATCCATCAATTCTCATCAACCGTCATGAAGCGCTTCATGGGTCCATATTGCGACGTCCACGCCCGCAGCGGCCCGCCCCAGAAGAATAAAGGAATGGCCAACAGAATACTAGCAGCCTGGATGGCAGTCATCTCGCCAAATACTGCAGCCGGACCTTGTCGACTGATCCAGTCTGCGGCGTACAGCGAGAGAAGCATGCCAATTGTGTTGCGGATGACGAAGATAATGACCAGGGCTTCGCCGGTGAGCTTTGGATGACAAACACATCAGCGAGAAAAATAAAGTGGTGGAATGTGAGGGATGCATGACATACCGGCTTGTAACAATCTAGACAGTAAGTGACGGCGACGTTGGATATTGCCGCCACGCCGAAAGCCTGCATGGCGTACCCTACAGCAGGTCCGATCCAGTGGGTCTGATGTGAAATACACAAGCCGAATATCAAGAGTCCGCCTGGCCCGATCACACCGGGAATAACGATAGCCGGGAGGCGATACTCAGGCAAGCGCTGGCCACCACGGCGTTTCGTGTACCGTGTCGAGATGATATCGATGAGTCGGCCGCCAAGGTAGAATGCTAGCACGGAGCCGATGAAACCAGACATCGAGAGCAAGCCCAAGCTTCCGGCGGACCAGTTGTACGGCGATGCGGTAAATGTTCTCGAGGCCGTCAGCTGGACGACGATGTTCCTGATGGAGTTAGTAACGCCTGCCGGACAAGTAGATTAAAACTCACCATCCAACAGATATTCCAATGGCGAACGCAGCCCACAAGAGTTGGGGATATCCTACGTTCCAGATAATGTCGAGAAACGTCCTGATGAACGACGCCTCGGGATTATACCCTAGGGTAACTGACATCCACTGCATTGGCGTCCTCTTGCTCACTCGAGGTCGATGTTTAAGGTACGTTGTCTCACGGACTGTAAAGATAGCCACGACAAGGACAACCCCAACGGAAATGGCGAGGAAATAGCACATCCACCGCCAGTTCTCCTCTTGCACGAGGTAGGCATTTATTAAGGGCCCGATGAACAATCCGCTCGTCAGAGCAAGGTGGAAGACCATGAGATAATGGCCTCGGTCTTGAGGAGCGACCATGTCCGACACTACCGCTGGGACGGTGGCATCAGCCGCCGCCGCTGCAAAGCCAGAGAGGATGCGTGAGGCGAGCAGTTCACCATAGCTTGAGGCACGACTCGACCATACGTTCATCATGGAGAGGAGCAGCATGGACATCAAGTATACCGGTCGCTTTCCCACCACTCGCATTAACGGAACCCAGAATATATTTCCCAGTCCAAAGAGGAAGACGTTGAAGCACACCAGTTCGCCAGCTTGCGTTTGCGAGACGCCGAACTCCTGCACTATAGCCTTTGTAGCTACGGTGAAGTTGCTGCTGTTGACATTGGCAAGGAAGGTGTAGAAGCAGATGGTAAGGTATGTTGTCAACCTGGATATAGTGGACCAATTCTGCTGGGGTCAGCATTGACTACTATAGTTCAAAGTTTGAAAAGTATCCGTCCTGCTGCGACGAGGTGATAGCTCACGCACCTGCGGATCATTCGGATCGGCATCCTCACGTCCCTTCAACTCGGGGGGTATAGCCGCCTCTTCAGCAACAGACTCGACATAGTCCGTGGAAGGCTTTGGTTCGGCCATGGTCGTCATAATTTTGAAAACAAGAGTTGACTTGGGGGGTCAGCATTTAAGAGGGCCCATGGCTGCGTAGTCTCCACCTCTCCACGTCTGGGGAATGGGGTTGATCGAACTATGGGGTCCCCCATAATAAGTCTAGGGATTTCCAAGCAGGGAATCCCGGTGGAGTTTCCGGTCGGTTTATCCGAGTAGATCGACCGTGGCAAATGCTTATCTCGCCAGCAGAAAACGGCTAATCCGATGAACTGTGCCTATGTTTCCGGATATCACGTCGCAAGCATGTCATAATCGACCCTTGTTGCCTTGCTCGTGGGTTCAATGCATGCTCCCCGCCAAGTCCTGCGTTGAGTCAACATTCAAAGTCCAAAGCAATTACTTTGGGGGATACTGGCTCGTCCTCAAAGGGGAAGGGAGAACGAGGCAGACACCCAAAACATGCAGGCCATGGAGTAAAAGCGCCCTACAACGCTTTGTCCTCTTGGCCATGCACAAGCCAGAAATGCGTCGCTCAGAACACTCCAATACTGCGGACGAATTGTCAATCTGTCTAGATGCGAATGACCGGTGAGTTGATCGGTGTTGGCTCGGCCACGGCCAAGAGGAATCGGCACAGAATAGGACTAGCGCCAAACGCGTCACCCGCACGTGATTCCAGGTACAAACGGCGCGATTCCCAACTTTCCCTCTTGTTTACTTACCCCTTCCAACCTTTCCAACTCAATTCGTGTCAGTGACATCAATTATCCACCAGCAAAGTCGATCATCACCCACCATGCCCTACGTCATGCGAATCTACTGCGACGGTGGCTGTCGAGGCAATGGAAGGCCCGGCGCAATCGGCGCAGCAGCCATCGTGTGGAAGAAGCAGAAACAGACGTGGAGGCATCGCTCCTCAGTCGCTTTGCCTCGCAGTCCTCCCCCCACCAACCAGCGGGCCGAGCTGACTGCTATCATTCTGGCCCTGACAAAGGCACTGGAGAAGTACGAGGCTCTCGATAGCTATCCCTACGTCAAAGTCAACATCAAAACGGACTCGAAGTACGCGATCGGATGCATGAACGAGTGGATCCATACATGGAGGAAGAATGGTTGGAGGAATTCAAGGGGCCAGGAAGTCGTCAACCGCGATCTCATTCAATACGCTTATGATCTAGACCAGAGATTGAAAGCAAAGGGAACCGTGACCTATCAGTGGGTCCCGAGAGAGGACAACAAGGTTGCCGATCAATTGGCCAACGACAACATGGACAGCCAGTAAGAGGAAAAGCGACTTTTGACACCGTTTGAAATCAACGAAGCCCCGTTCGAGAATTCGACCGCCGTGGCGTTACCCGCTTCGAAGCGCAATCTTGGACAATGACCTGTCAGACAGTACCGAAAGTGTTAGGCGGTTTGGTTGCAAAGGGTGGGTATTTCAGTCCTTCACCGATGTCCTAAAACTCATTGACATCACGATAGTTTGCAACAACGCATCATCGATCAACATGGGACCATTAGGCGCTCAAGACGAGCGAATGGTAGTTGGATCTATAGGATGGCATGCCGCGCATTGGCTATGGGAAAGGATACCTCTGGATGAGGATGCCTCATAGCGTCAGGACTGTAAGGGTTGTCAGCGCATTGGGTCAGGGTAATGTCGGACGGCCGCCGAATGGCGAGAGCCGGTATAGGGCATCTCGAAGCAGAGAACATGGACGCCAAACTGACCCATGAGGGGAGTAATCGGTTTCGTCCCGTATATGTTCTCAGGCGTCCTGCTGGGCGGGACTGGGGAGGTCAGGGTGGAGGATCTGTTTATGCTGGGAATAGAGCAGATCCAAAATACGACCACGATTTCCGCGGAGTTCGCGAAGTCACGATTTGAATTTTCAGACCCTTCCAGTAATCTGTGAGCTCGGTTGACGACAAGGTATCATCCGTCAATGGACAGGCTAATGCCTATCAGCTCGCCGCAATCATGTCGTAGTTGGATTCCCATCCCCACTCCATCCACCCCCGCCCGGAAGAGCAATTTCGGGCCTGCGGCCGGGGTTGAACTGCTCCGACCATGAGCCTTGTTGGTGTTATGGGATACCTGATTCCTGCCCGCCGTCGACAGTATGGAAGACTCCGCTGTATACGGCAAGTCGCAGCGCCCTCGTCGACTTCGCGCCTGAACAAACCGCAAACGCCTAGATATCGTCGCCCCTTATGACAAAGTCCAGATCCTCACATACCTTTGGGCCTGCCTTGACGAGAGCCTTCGCATAACACCCCCGTTTATCTACAATCTTCCTCGTCAAACACCATCAGAAGCAGCCTCTATTCTTGGGGAGTTTATCCCGGGAAACACCACAGTTTCGATATCATTTTATTTTATGTTGCGCATCATGACACGGAAGCTTTTCCAAACGCAGAGACATACGTTCCCGAGCGATGGCTTGACAATACATATGCGAAAAGACCTGCAGGCAAGCTTCGTGGCGTCTAGCGCAGGGGCCCGGCTCCTTTTAGTCGCTGCTTCATAGAATCCAGCGTTGTCAGACATGGCCATTTCCGAAATCGAAAGCCAATCCGCCCGAGCCGCCCTCACCTTTTCAGAGATCGTCCCCGTAGGCTACGCGTACTCCAAGCTCGTGACTCGCAGCCTGTCTAATGTAGCCTCTCTCTCCTCTCTGTCCACTTCTTTATCTATTCTCCGGAAACGGCCATAATCGCATCCACAAACACCGATGGTGCGTAACGATTATTTAGCGTAACGCCGCAAATTCACATGTCAGTTTTCCGCATTGCCGCCGTCTTCTTTTTCATAGCGGCCATATGACCATGCCCTCATTTAGGCCGGTTATGGTCAAACGACACCAGTAGCATTCTGCCCAATTCCAAATGGGCGGTTGCCGTGGCGTGACAACCATCTCCATCTATCCATCTAGATAACCGGCAAGAGCTACTGGATCGAGTATGAACCTATGAGGCCGTCATGGAGACTATCCGATAGAATTGCCAGGCCTGGCTACTGAGAACTTGGACATGGTCGTCGGTAGCTGGCAGAAAGGTCCCATGTGATATAGTGCACCCATACATGGAACTCTATCTCGGCAAAGATCGGGTACAGCTGGTGTGGGCGATAGAGTTCCCTGCCTAGATACATTGTAGAGCGCGGTTACCAAGCCAGCTCTATCCACTCGAGCACATTTACTCGTATCGGCTTAACGGATAGGGCTCATAAAAATGTCAGCATCGTCTCCTGTAACAGGCTTACTGTATGCAGATCATAGATGCTATAAATTGCTTTTTGCAGGAGACACCAGCCGATTGCTAATACGGCTTGTGAGATACTCCGCGCGTTGTCCTAGCATTCTGGCTCAAAAACACTCTTGTTATCAACAAGATCACACTCCATTTGAGCCGTACAGCTCTAGATGCTCAAGCAATCCAGGTGCCTACTTATTAGGCAAAATACTTTTGGTCTCTGATGTGCCTGCTTTTTATGCACGGAACATGGGTAGCACATGTCACGTGGCGGGCGATTTCCTTCGTTGACTCGGGAGTCGGGAATCCATCGTCCGTCCCTCCATCAACGGCCTCCCATTTCGCGGACGGCGACTACGAACCAATTGAGTTCCATCTATCAAAACTATCGAACTATGTGGTACAATCCAATGTTCACAGACCCTCTCCGGGCCCGAAACATCGCCGACGCGGTGCCCTTGCGCCTTGCAATGCTCGATGCTCACAGTCGCCGGATGCTTTTTCCGTAGCTTGGCGATCGCAGCACTGACCGGCCTGTCGTTGGTCAACCAAGTTTCACACCCACCGTCTCCCATTGATACTTTAGGCTTATGAGGCTTTCATGCCGGCGTGGAGCTGGGCCCACTAGCCATTAGCTGTCCAGCAAGGCGCACAAGACGTGATGTGAGGGTCGATCATCGGCGTGGGGTACGCGTGCGCTGACTGTTGCCGAATAGCCTTAGCGGACGATCTACAACAGGCCCCGTGCGAGATGTATTTGAGGCTACCAAAGATCGCTGATAGCTCGCTCATCGATCTTCGTCTTGGTTAGATTGTCAGACCATGGCCGGCCCTGACTGGCCCTGGCACGCATCAGGGAATAAGGGTGGGTAAGCATATGTTCTTCTTCCTATTTGGGCGGGAGACTGCTTGTTATTGGCTGCTTGAGACTGATATTAGGCTTAGAGGTAAGCCCTGTGCTTCTTATCACCAGCGATGTGCATCACATGGCAATGATTCGTGGGGATGTCGAGGCTTTGCACTCTCTCGATCGAGTCACAACTCAATCACGGGCATTATTGTGGTTTTATCCGTTGACACCCAGCCATCTGAGCACCCCCCATTTGAGCTTTCACGAGGTATCAAAGGGGGTAAGCACAGTTTACCCCACACGGAGGTATGCGGAGGTCAAGAGAGGTCATGACGGCATGGACAGAGATTCGCTTGGCTGGAAATGGATGCTGGCGGGAGATGTGCGGATTTCGTTGCATTTAAGAATGTCCCCTCGCACCTTTCAGAATACTCATTAGGATCTTTTCCGCCTCTAACTTACCTCAGTCTCTGACTTACACAATCTTCTGTTACTGCGACTAAACACCATGTCCCAAACCGCCTTTCGTGATAGTCTGCCTGAGCCGAGCTGTTGGGTTGATGATCCGATTGCAATCATTGGCCTCGGAATGCGTCTGCCAGGCTCCATCCGCACTCCTCAACAGTTCTGGGAGTTCCTAGTAAATAAAAGGAGCGGCCGCTGCCGAGTCCCTGAAGACCGTTACAATGTGGGTGCTTTCCATGGCCCAAAGGGAAAGCCTGGCCATGTCTGCACAGAGTATGGGCACTTCCTAGATGTGGACCTCACCACTTTGGATAGCTCTTTTTGGTCACTACCGGCAAAGGAGCTTCCGCTTCTTGATCCCCAACAGCGGCTGTTGATGGAGGTGATCTATGAGTGCCTAGAGAGCAGCGGGACGGCCGACTACAAATGCAAAGACATTGGCTTGTATGTAGGCGCGCTCGGCGAAGACTGGATGGACATTCAGACTAGAGATCCCCAGAGCCCAGGAATGCACTTCGTCGCTGGTTACAGCGACTTCTCACTATCTAATCGGTTGTCAAAAGTGCTTGGCCTCACTGGACCGAGCATGACCATTCGCACTGCCTGCTCCTCTTCTATGATGGCTTTACATGCTGCTTGCCAGGCTCTCTATTCAGGTGACTGCTCCTCGGCCGTGGTCGGTGGTAGCAATCTTATCCTCTCGCCCCGCATGACGACGACTATGTCAGAACTTGGCGTACTGTCACCAACTGGAGAATGTCGTTCCTTTGATGCCAGAGCAGATGGCTACGGGCGTGGTGAAGCGGTCAACGCTATCCACATCAAGCGTCTCTCCCAAGCCCTACGCGACGGCAATCCAATCCGCTCAGTGATCCGCTCAGTTTGCATCAATTCAGATGGATCGCGAACTCCTTTGTTTGTACCGAGCCCTGAAAGCCATGAGCTTCTGATTCGACGTTGTCACTATCTGGCTGGTATCTCGGACCTCTCTCAAACCGCCATGATCGAGTGTCACGGGACTGGTACAAAGGTTGGCGACGTCCAGGAAGCCAGGGCCGTGGCGAAGGTGTTCGGAGAGCTTGGAGGTATCTTAATAGGATCGGTATGAGAAACAAGCAATAAGTGTCAGAATTGGGCTAATAACTTCAGGTAAAACCTAACCTCGGACACAGCGAGGGCGCGTCAGCCCTCACTAGCATGATCAAGATGGTGTTGGCGTTAGAACACCAAACGATCCCTCCAAACATCAATTTCTCAATACCTAACCCTAAGAGTAAGCTGCCTCATACTGTTGGACCTTGGAGGGCTAATACAGTTTAGTTCCGTTCGAAGCTGCTCGGCTTCGTGTCCCGGTAGAATGCGAACCATGGCCGAGAAATAAAACGGAGCGAGTTGGCCTCAACGGTTTCGGCATTGGAGGAGCAAATGGGCATGTAGGTTTACCATCTACCCTTATGCAATAATGACTAATCTAGTACAAGGTCCTCCTAGAGTCTGCCAGATCTGTACTGGGAGTACCAGCGGATACCATGGCAAGTGATTGCGGCCCCAGGCTGCTGGTCTTTTCTGGAACACACTCCGAATCGGTGAAGCGCAGCATCGCGCAAAGCCTGGATCATTTGGCTAAAAGCCCCGCTGACGTCGCAGATGCTAGCTACACTCTAGCATGCCGCCGCCAGACATACCCCAATCGCGCGTTTGCTGTCGGGTCTGTCGGGTCTTGGGAGATTTCCCCGGTCCAGAAAGCTGGACCGGCGGATCTAATCTGGGTCTTTTCCGGTCAAGGAGCACAGTATCCGGGAATGGGCAGGGTCCTAATCAACACTAATGCTATAGCGCAGGATACGATCCGGCACTTGGATGAGGTGTTGGATGCCATTGATCCTGGAAGATCCTGGACCCTTCGCGGTGAGTCTCTTTCAACGAAATGCCGATTTGATGCTAATTGCATTTAGATGAGCTACTTCGACCAGAGGCTTCTTCACGGTTGTCTCAGGCCAAGTTCTCCCAGCCTTGTTGCACTGCCATTCAGATTGCCCTCGTGGACGTGCTTCAATCCCTGAATGTGCATCCCTCTGCCGTGGTGGGCCACTCGGCGGGCGAAGTTGCCGCCGCCTACGCTGCGGGTGCGTTGACTGCTGACGAAGCCATGACCATATCTTACCACCGGGGCCTGATTGCGGATCAGGTTGAGGGTTCTGGAGGCATGATGGCTATTGGCTTGAGCCGAGACCAGATCGCGGCTTTTGTGGCCAACAACGTCACCATCGCATGTGAGAATAGCCCTAAAAACGTGACTATAAGTGGGGACCTAGCTGCGTTGGAAGCTGTGGCTGTTGAACTGCAACGCAAATACCCGGAAGTCTCGATCACGCGCCTGGCTGTAGGCTGCGCCTATCATTCCGGTAGGAAGTTCTCATTACAATGAATAGCCAAGCTGACATCTTCCAGGCTACATGAACAAGGTGAAGGACAACTATATGGAGCGGCTCGCAGACTTGCGAGTCGAAGCAAGAAAGCTCTCGGCCGTGTTCGTTTCCTCCGTCACAGGAACCCGTGTGGATAATGCAGCAGAGCTTGGCCCTGAATACTGGTGTTGTAACCTCGTCTCTCCCGTTCTTTTCTATGCGGCCATTGGCATTGCCGCTGCCGAGCTACTCAACCCGGTATTCCTTGAAATTGGACCGCATTCAGCTCTTTCCGGCCGTCTGCGTGATATTGCGCCGTCAATCCCGTATATTCCGACCCTGGTCAGGGGCGGCAATGCACAAACTTCTTTCCTACGTACGGCTGGACGGCTATTTCAATTCACCTCACTTGACCTCTCCAGTCTATGCGCTGGGCGGGCCCTTGCAAGTCTGCCGCCGTATCAATGGCATTACGACGACCGATTCTGGTCCGAGTCACGACTTTCCCGAAACTGGCGATTCCGTCAGCATCCCCACCACGACATACTAGGCTCGAAGATCCCCGACGGTAACGACACCGAGCCTCTCTGGCGGTCTCTCATTTACCTAGATAATGTTCCCTGGCTGCGGGACCATATCATAGACGGAAAAGCTGTCTTTCCCAGATCTTGCTATATCTCAATGGCGGGCGAAGCCATCCGTCAACTGACTGGACAACCTGACTTTTCCTTGCGGCGCATATTGTTCCTGGAAGACTCTACATTGCACGATAAGCACCCTACTGAGCTCTTGACGCAGTTTCGACCTGAGCAAGATACTGGGTGGTATACTTTTACTGTCACAAGCCACTTCGAGGGCACGTGGACAAAGCTTTGTACCGGCCAGGCTCGAGGAGGGTGTCACTTTCCTCTTGATATCACGCAAATCCGTCCAGGGCATCGGAAGATCAAGCCAGGCGCCCTTAACCATGCAATGAAGAGGCTAAGAGTCAAATATGGGCCTCGTTTCAGCGTCATGGATCAAATTGCTGTTAGCACGACAACTCCAGAAGCGACGGCCAAGATTGCGGACACGCGCGAGAAGCAGGAGAGCACTTATACCATCCATCCTTGCGTGATTAGTTCCATATTCCAGCTATTCACGGTTGCCATGGCAAAAGGTCAATATATCGACCGACTTGGTACGCCCACGTACATTGATGAAATCTACGTGCGATCTTCGGCTGGTTCGCTCACTACCCAATCCATTATCTCAGCCATCCAGGGAAAAACATGCTTTGGTAATGCCTCAGCCTTTTCTAACGGCAATCTAGCAATTTCCATACGCAATGCGCGGCTTTCTCTAACAGACAATCGCGATAGTCGTGGCGCGAATCCCCATGCTGGCGCCCGACTTATTTGGCAGCCGGATATTGATGCGATAAACATGACTGACCTAATCCGACCTGATTGCGACGAGTCGGCCACACAAGGGCTTGCTTTGGTTGAGGAGCTAGTTCTGGCTTGCATAATTGAAAGTGAGCAGCAAGCTCGCAACATACAAACACTCCCGCACTTGGCCAAGTATCACCAATGGCTATACCTACAAAGACGGCGCGCTGAATGCGGAAACTACGACCACGTCCCATCGTGCCAGGGTATTGCGTCGATGTCTGGTCCAGATCGGAGGCGCTACATGGATGAGCGTTATCGAAAGGCGCTCAATACCCCAGCGCGGCACGTGGCGACTGCGGTTATGCGCATATCCGAAGGGATCATCGCCCTGTTCCAGAGCCAGGTTGAGTCGTTAAGTTTGTTGATGGCGGATGACTTGCTGTCGGCTATCTATGAGTTTGGCCTCTGCGACTTTGCTGATTTCTTCCGCGTCCTTGCTCACAACCGACCCTGTATGCGCGTACTAGAGCTCGGAGCAGGAACTGGCGGCGCGACTGCTACGATCCTACCAGCAATGCACGGTCCCCACGGAGAACGGCTGTATCACCAATACACATATACTGACATCTCGTCCGGGTTCTTTGAACGTGCTCAGCAGCGTTTTAGCACTTACAGTGGCATTGAGTACCGAGTACTAGACATCACAGTCGACACAGCCGCTCAAGGGTTCGATGCGTCCTATGACCTTATTATCGCCTCCAATGTCCTCCATGCCACACCGAACCTACAGCAAACCCTCAGCCATGTGAAAGCCTTGCTCAAGCCTGGCGGGAAACTCTTCCTCCAAGAACTCGCTCCCACCACCAAATGGATCAATTACATTATGGGCACGCTTCCTGGTTGGTTTCTCGGCAGAGATGATCGACCGTGGGAACCGTATGTGTCGCCGGAGCGATGGGATGCGGAGCTACGTGCCGCTGGGCTGTCTGGAGCGGATGCTGTGGTTCATGATGGCCAGGTGAATGCTCATATAATTTCATCATTGCCAGAGGTACCCACCAACCCAGACAGACGTGCCACCATTCTTTGCGAAGAAGGCTCTCGGCATCTTAACCATGTCCTGTCTTGCCTCCACTCTCAGGGATTTGTAACTGATACGCGCTATCCGGGAGACAAACTACCTAAAAGCAAAATGGTTATATCATTACTGGAACTCGATGGTCCGCAACTGCACGGTGTGGATGAAAACAAATACCTAGTATTGCGAGATCTTCTCATGTCTCTTAACAAAACACCAATGCTGTGGGTTACCAGGTCGTCTCAAGTCAACTGTTCAGATCCACGTTACGCAGCGACACTTGGCCTGTTGCGGACAGCTCGCAGGGAGCTTGGGCTTACAGTTGCTACTCTGGAGTTAGATGCTATCAATGATAAATCACTCCTGGCTGTGGTCGAGGTGGCTGAACGTCTCCGTAATGTTGATCCCGAGTCATCATTTGATCCAGTGCTAGAGTATTCTTATGCACGCGGAATACTGATGGTTGGCAAGCTCTACCCAGCGGTTGTTAGTGAAGAACTTCTTGATAACGCGCCAATCGGAGGCAAGAATGCAGCAACAGCAGTGCTTCGAGTCACAAAGCTCGGAAGTATTAAATCGCTCACTTGGGAACGCAAGTCAGTTGACACATCCTCATCTGTCGAGGATTGGGTGGAGGTCGAGACGCGTGCTATTGGCATCAATACCCATGATCTCCTCGTTCTCAACAGTGCTCTTGATGCGACCTTGGGTGCTGAATGCGCTGGTACCATCCGCCGAGTTGGACAAGGAGTCAAGAACCTGCGCATCGGCGACCGAGTTATAGTTTTGTTTCCCGAATCTGGAGCGTTCGTGTCACGTTTCATCACCAGCGAAAGACTCTGTACTCGCATGGCTCGTGATCTAAGCTGGTCTGAGGGAGCCACGATGCCCTATGCCTTTGCTACCGCGCTATACGCGCTGATTGACGTAGCGCGCTTGAAACATGGACAGGTATGTTTCTTCTCTGTGGATGAAGCAGGTAAACTAACTTTAAAGTCTGTTCTGATTCAATTCGCCTGCAATGCATTCGGTCTAGCTGCTATCCAGATCTGTCGCATGATCGGAGCTAATGTACGTTTCTTTCCGGGCAAAGGTTTAGACGTTCAATAACTGATAATTTAGACATATTGCACGGCCGGAAGCGACGCGGAAGTGAGCTATCTGAACCGGCTGGGCGTTATGAAAGAGCACATATTCTCCTTCAAGGATAACGCCTTCATCCATGGTCTGATAGCCGTGACGAATGGCCGTGGTGTCGACGTCGTCCTGAATAATACCTCAGGCGAATTGTTCCACACATCCTGGAACTGTGTCGCCGAATTCGGTACACTGGTAGACCTGCCTCAAGGTGACTTCGACAAACAGCTACCCATAGATGCCTTTCAAGGAAACCGCTCTTTCTCCGCAGTTAATGTTGCCCAGGTGGCTCCAACCCGACCAGAGATCATCCAGGGGTGAGTTATGTCTCCTTATATCGTCCGTTGCTAATACGAGATAGACTACTACGGCGATGCATGCACCATTACGCTTTGGGAGAACTAACTCCGCTACCAGTCCAGGAGTTCCCAGCTGACAGAGCGCAAGATGCGTTTCGTTGCGTGGAAGCTGGAACTATGGAAAGAGTCGCCGTCATCATGCCTGAGGACCTGTCTTCGCTGCATGTGAAACTGGACCGCAGAACGCCGTCCTTCCGTAGCGACGCTATACACCTTATTATTGGCGGTTTAGGTGGGCTTGGGCGCTCTGTCAGCTCCTGGATGGCTTCTCATGGTGCGCGGCATTTCGTTTTCTTCTCGCCCTCTGCAGGCCTGAAAGAGGAAGATGATTTTGTCCTAGAGCTTCGTGCCCAGGGCTGCCGCGTGGACCTTGTGTCGGGCGATATCAGCAAAGCTGAGGACGTTGACGCGCTCATCAAAGGACTAAACAACAACATTCCCTTGGCTGGTATACTGCAAGCATCCATGGCGCTCGAGGAAGCTTTCCTTGCGACCATGTCCTTCACCCAATGGCAAGCAGCATTCGCACCAAAATGCCAAGGGACATGGATCATTCACAATGCTCTGCTCAAACACCGTCGACGGACCGACTACTTCCTTCTATTCAGCTCGCTGTCTGGGCTAATCGGGCAAACCGGTCATGCCAACTACGCAGCTGGAAACGCCTTTCTCGATGCATTTGTACAGTACCGCCATTCACTTGGCTTGCCTTGCTCGGCGATTAATATTGGTGTTATGGAAGATGTGGGGTATGTCAGTGAGCAAGCACATGTCATTGAGCATTTCGTTGCTACGTCGACCCATACCCTGCATGAACGGGATCTCCATGATGCGATTCAGCTGGCGATTGAAAGCTCTCTCCCTTTTTCGCCGGAGCCAAAACAGGAAGCGGCATGGCCCTCATATGTCAGTCAAAGTCAGATTGTAATAGGTTTGCGCAGCACGGCTCCACTGGACGCGGCGAGCAACCTTGTATCCTGGCGACGCGATCCGCGCATGGCCGTTTACCATAACCTGCACCAATCAGCCAATATGGACACGTCCTCAAGCACGCCTACCACCGCCGACGACCGGATCCTCGACAACTTCCTTCACCAAGTCAAGCATCAACCCGATATCCTTAGGCAACCGGAATCTACTGATCTTTTGAGCAAGGAGATCGGCAAGACTCTATTCAACTACATGCTACGCGATCACTCCGACTTGGATATAGATGTCCCACTCACGTCTCTGGGTGTTGACTCTCTGCTCGGTATCAAATTGCGCGACTGGCTCAAACGGAAGGTTGGAGTTGATATCAATGTGGTGCAGATTCTGGCGAGTGGGAGTCTACGCGAGCTTGGAAGGGTGACCGCGGAGTCTATGGCCATGGCCGCATCAGGGAATGCAGAGGGCACAGTTGACGTTGCTGGCGGTTCGTCCGAACCTTAGGCTGTCGAGATGCTCGATCGCCTTTTGTTGCGTTCTGGTAAGTCAGCAACTGGACCGGGTTGTCTAAGTATACTATGTAGGGCGCAACAATAAACGCTGTTATTTTGCAACTACATCTGGCCATGTCCGCTACGGAGTCGACCGTCCCCAATGCTATTATCGCTCTTTTATAGGGACCACCGCAACTGCGACCGGTCTACAAGAAGTTGGTTCTCGGTGTGTTTTGAAGATAGGTGCAGAGGAAAGCTGTTGGCGAGGCAAGTGCAGGTCTGTTCATTGCTGAGAGGCACCTTCCATGCGTACCACTTTACTTCATACGTACGGCTCTTCTGTTTCCCTTTAATTTCTTCGCTTTTAATCCATTGCATTCGCTCCCACCGATCGCACAGTTTCTATTGATTCCGTTCTTTCCCATCGACCACATTCTTACACCATGAGCATGGATACCGACTGCATGGATATCGACAGCATCAACATCCCTCCGCCAGAGATCCCTGGCTCAGGACTCAACCCTCCAAAACTTCTCTCCGCGACCAAGTGCCCTATCAACAGACTTAGCCGAGAGACCCTGTACTATATCTTCCGGTACCTTTGCGACGATGTCGACTCGCTCTGCGAAGCCGCGCGTGTATGCCACAGATGGCATTCCCAGGCCGAGCCCCTGATCTACCACACGATCACGACGGCGGTATACGACCAACTGCCGCTACCACGTCGCTCGTTCGTGATCTCCACGTTGCGGGATTTCCTGGAAGATCGCAAACGTGCAGAGGACCGCGCCAGTGTCCGAAGAATGGTAGTCTATTACGAAGCTGCGCAGCAACGCACACCAGTGAGCCAGACCCCATCCCGAGGAAAAAATTCAGCACGCAAGCCCTTGAGTCCTGTTCAAAATAAAAACGATGCGGAATTCCGGGATACCGTGGCTCACGTTTTCCACATGCTCCAACAATGGAATCCTCCAATCAAGATTCAGCTTGACTTCGTTATATCTTATACCTTGGCCCGGTCCGATCCACTACCCTTAGGGCTAGATGGGCTGAATGAGCTTGATGAACCCAAGCTGATCACCTTTCCTACTATTAAATGCTGTCAATGCCTAACATTCGACTACAAAGACGAAGAAGATGTCTTCCAGCCCATTTGGGAAGCCACGCCGTTCCATATCGCCCAGTACTGCGAGGGCTTGACGACACTGAGAGTCAACACAGATGCGTTTCGGCGTCAAGGTCACCAAGCCTCCTTGCCGAGTAGGCGAGATGGTGAGCACTTCAGCCGCGGCAAGTGTGGTATATGATTGCTAACAAGCCTAGTCTTTGCCAAAAGCCTGGACGGTCTACCCGCCACCCTTGAGAACCTAACCGTTCGAGCCGTTGGCGTCAGCATCCCCCACGTCCTGGATTTATTCGGTCCGGATGAAGATCCCTTCTCTTACCGAATGCTGAACCTCAGTATGCAACTTTATACGCTGGAGCTGTATAATGTGACTCTGGCTCTGGACTTCTGGTGCCCTCTGGATGATAATCACAGGGTCAAGAGAGCCCCTCCGATCTGGCCGAACCTGAGGCGTATAATCTCCGTGGATAATTGCCTTGTTGAAGGTAGCGGTATGTAGCTCATGGACCATGGCCGCTTCTCCTATTATCCACGAGTCTAACCGGAAATCTCGAGCAGGGGGTCTGTCCAACTCTGCGGGTTATCGTCCAGTCTTCTTCTCCCATCTGAACAAATTGCTTACTTCCCTCGGCTACGCAGTCAAGCATATGCCGCAACTTGACTTCATGAAATACGCCATCTCTTCGGTGCCAAAACCGATTGCTCAGTTCGTGGTCGTGAGAAAGAATGACGGCACCGCCAAAGCGACCCTATCCTGCAGTTGTCCAATTGAACACCATTGGGTAGCTCAAGAATCCATGGTAGCGGCATGGGGAGCGTCTTTGGCATTGGCTTTTCAAAGCAGCCATGTCCTGGGGTTTCCTACAAGAGATGTTCAAGTCGCGTATGATCCATGGCCTCCGCGACCGTGATGTGATGTCTTCCTGGCTGAGTTTCCATTTCATTGTATAGCCTGTATGTCTTATCTAGACCCGATCATCGCATTCGTTTACTTAAGTAGACCTCATGTATTCATACCACAACAGATATAGCTCTGGTTTCTTGGAACTTTGCAGCAATGCCGTAGACTGAAAATTCATGGCATACCTATCTCTCAACACCTGATTTCAGAAGCTACGGAATAAGGAGACTAAGGATCATTGCCAGCCAGACACCTCGTGCCTTCGGCGCAATGAAAGAAATAAGAACTAAGGTACGTCACTCAGGCCGCCGTTCAAGTCTAGGTTCGCAGTAATATACAGTATACCGTACTCCACCGTCGTCATATATAGCTTAGTCGCGTCTAGCTATCACTTGTCATTGACTTTCCTTGCTTTTGACATTCCGGTGTATATAGTTTGGAGTTTGATCCGCGCTTTCGACGAAGGGGTGCCCGTTTCCCAGCCAGTCCTGAGCTTGATAATCTAGCTGCAGCGGTACCCAGCCTACGCGGGGCATGAAGGGTTATCTACGTACTCCGGAGATAATATAGGGTCGCGATGGGCTCGATTACTATCTAGGGGTAGAGACGACCATGGTGGAAGATGCTCTGGTCAGCGAGAGAATTATGTACATTATGTACATCTAGCTGTTCTCTACATACTGAATGGACGCGTCGTTCATGCAGAAGGGTAGTTTGAGCTACCTTACGTCGGTACCTCTCTCAACAGGGTGTGCGTGGAATGCCACGCGTGTATAGAGGAATGCGCGAGTACCACCTCGCCAACCCCCAATACAGACGTAAACAAACATCAAGACCACGCGTAGCATATCTCAGCAATGTATAAAGTGGCTGTCAGACTTCAGGCCAAAGGAATCACCTTCAGTCTTTCTCTCTTCTGCATCTTCTCCACCTCCACATACACTTGGATACATACCACAGCAACCATGAGATTCGAGCTCCCTTCCCTCCTCACAGCGATAACGCTGCTGGGCCCCGTCTTCGCCGAGAAGACGATGAACGTCGTCGCCCACCCGGACGATGACCTCCTCTTCGTAAACCCCGACATCCAGCACAACATCGACGCCGGCTTCGACGTGCTCACGGTGTTCCTTACATCAGGCGACGCAGGTCAGTCCTCTGAATTCTGGATGCTCCGCCAAGAAGGCATGCTCGCAGCCTACGCCGAGATGGCCGATGTCGAGAACATCTGGAACCTGGGTGACGCCGGTGTTGAGGGGAAAGTTATTCCGCTTTATTGGCTTCAGTCGCGGCCCGAAATAAGGCTTGCGTTCATGCATATCCCCGATGGGAACGTGGATGGGAGCGGATTCCCTGCGACGGGGCAGGAGAGTATGGAGCAGTTGTGGAAGGGGGAGATTGAGACGATCGGCACTGTTGATGGGTCTGGCACGACGTACTCGCGCGATGAACTGATTGATACGCTGAGGCAGATCATTGATGATGTCGAGCCGGATAGCTTGAACTCTCTTGATTATATTGACCCGTTTGGAAGTGGCGATCACAGTGATCATACTTCTGCGGGATTGTTCACAAACGAGTCGGCTATTGCTTCGGTTTTCCCGGACAGTGTGATTGCGTACCGCGGGTACCCAATCGAGGAAGAGCCTGAGAATGTTTTTGGAGATGATTTGGCGAGGAAGAAGGACGCATTCTTTACGTATGCGGCATTTGATGCGACAGTTTGCGCCAGCGACGAGGCTTGTGTTGGGACGCAGTATGAGCTTTGGCTGCCGAGACAGTACACTGCGAACTGAGTGTTCACATTTTGATGGGATTTTGTCTCGACGAATATTCTTCGCCTTTGTTGTTTCTGGCCTATTGCGAGCTGGGCAGAGTTTTGGACTTGATGAACCTTCGCTTGGGACTGGTACTTTCATCCGGCCTTGATTAGACCTAGTAGGAGCAGGGTTTGCGAAATTGTAAGGCAGCATTGCAGTTACATTATCCTCAATCGTGCAGAGGCCCTAAACAGTAGCGCAGAGGCGAACCGCTCCTTAGCGCAGCCATCTCCTTATCAGGGAAATGCGGTGATATAGAGATAACTGCTGATTGGGCGACAATGCATCACATTTATGAAACACGTGGAGGACCAGGCACTCGGGTATTTGCACAGGGATCAAGAATGGCGAGAGTCTCATTCTTATGCAGTCATTCTGCGCGGACAATTTTTCCATGTCGACCACGGACGGGTTCAGGGAGAAATGCAGACGTGCACTGGCTGCTGGTGTGCCTTAACCTTCCTACTTCTTAGTAGAGTCAGCTAGAATTTCAAGCAATAGAGGCGCGATTATAGGGCCAACGCGATAGAACTGACGCCAACAGGGTTCCCCAACCATGGTCACTTTGCCGTGTGAGATTGGCCGTCGAGTGGGCTTGTACAACCGTAAGCTTTGGCGAGATTGGCTGCGAGCGTAGAGATCGGTATGCTTCGAGCCTCCCGTTGCAGAAAATATAGCCCGCTGTACGAACTGACCACTCCCACGCTGCCACGCACAGCAAGTGCGAGGCTAGTTGAGGCCTAAGAATCGTCCAGAATTTCCCTGCAGCCTCGGAATCGACTTGCGCGGCATAATCGCGGAACGTGGATAATTGGAGATAGGAAACAAAGGCATTCGCTTTCTCGTCCGAGAAGCTTTGTACTCTGGAGAAGGCGTAGTGCCTTGTGGAGTTATCCACCTCCACCCCAAGCCGGCGAAGTACTGTACAGAGTGAAATAGCGAATTGCCTAGTGAAACGCGGCTCCCGATTAGGCAGTCGGCAAGTTTGCTGGCTAGTCCAACAAACCGGATGAATCCCCGGAGTGCTCAGACTTCGCGTCCGCCTAACTAATCAGGAGGGCAGATGCCGGCAGCCATGCAGCCAGCACTCAGCAGTCGCGGCCTATTGAAGACGGTGTTCCGGCGTTCCGCAGCTAAAGTGGCACGCAATCCAACGTGGTATGATTTGCCGGTGGCGTCTGTGACGAGTGTGGACCCTCTACCAATCTCATCACTGGGGATTGGGGAAGCCTGTTGCAATCAAGAGATGAACGGCTGTCTCCTGCCCCATCTGCACGCACAACTGTTTCGAGCATAGTGCAAGTCATATCTTACAAGTTACCCGTGTGGGCTCTTCTCACAGGAACCGGTTATCGGCCAGCGATTCGCCGGCACCGGCACAGGTCAGCCTGCCATGGTATGCCTGCAGCAAATATGGCTTCCAGCCTGACAAAAAGCTGTTCGAACCAGCGTCCGGTGTCTTGGGTAGCTGGAGCCCGAGCGCACTAGCGCGGGCTGCGACGCTGCTAGACATCTTACTGATTGCTCGGATAAGGAGGAGAACCTTGGTTCGAGCAGACGTCCGGATCCAATCAGGCATTTTCTTATAGGCCCGCGTGGGTCTGATTCGTTTAGCAGCGAAATTCAAATGAATTATATGCATTTCCGGGAGCCGGTCTAGACGGCTGCGCTCGGACAGAAGCACTTCTTTGTTGGGCTGAGTCCACTGTCCAGTAAGTCCTGCCATCAATGAGCCACAGCCGCTGCGGGTTTGTCAAATGAGCGTTGACTATGATGCGATTGCCAACCATGATATGGTCGCCCACCTGCCCACCAAGGTTGAAGGAGATATCTGCCTGATATATCCTTCCTAGAGACCTTGACGTTGAAACCGGCGTGCGAGAAGACTATCCCCAGCTCAAAGAAAGACGTTGACTATTTGAGGTACAGTGACGTGCTATTCCCCGCTTGGGCCGTGGCCAAAACCAAATATTAATATAACGGGTGCTAGGTCAGACTCCGCCCTATTGGTCGTTCCTCTCGTCTCCGCGCCCAGCCGTTGAGCCGCAAAATCGCTGCAGAGAGGTCTAACACAATTGCTGAAGGGAGAGATGTGCAACAACGTTCGGGGACGTTTTGGGGTCTGCGGCCACGAGGCAACCGTATACATTGCGAGATGTCGGCCCGCAATCCAAAATCAATTGACTTGCCCTCCTGACCAACGCATTGATGTTTGGGACTGGCAGGAGGATGTCCCAAACGACAGATGCCCGTCGTGCAGAGGAGACACGCCGCCAGAGACTCCTTGACAAAGTATGAGGCGGGGTTGGGGTTGAAACAACGACACAACCCGCGCAAAGTTCAGGAGACGTCTTGGCTGTATTCCGCCCTCAATTCAGCGAACAACTTTTGCTCCAAACGCCCACCCCAAGCGAATGATGCCGCTTTTGATTTTGCCCTTTCGATTGAGTTGTCGCGTTTCAGAAATATCCTGTTGCGAATTAGCCACTTGTTTACTGTCATTATGTTGAATTAACCCACCATTTATCGCCCTGGCGGCTGGCGAAGTACACTAAATGCGGCAATTGTAAAAGTTCGCTACGAGGCAGAGCTTTTCTGACGTTCAGGTCAAAGATAAACCACCGCTCAAGCGGCTGTTCGGAGTCGAAGTCGGCTGGGATGTGGACGTGGTCATAAACGGGCGGGTGGACACTGGCGTGGAAATTGCGGCTAAGAAGCTGCCTAGCCACCAGGTCGCCTAGGGCGAGATAACGTTTTTGGGGCAGACCCGGGATATCCGTAACTCGAGCGTAGACGAGGACTCGCATAGAATTGGCCATGGTCATGTCAAGAGATCGAAGATACAAAGTAGCACAGTAAACACGAAGAAGCTCGTGAGAAAGGGGAGAGAAAGGGAGAAAGTGCTGTGTCCAACTTGGAAGCAAACAAAAGGACCGCGGCCTCCTCCAGTGCAGGCCATTGGTGACCGCGGAGCCCGGGGACCGGTATTTCCGACCGCCAGTGCGTCATTCCCTCTGCAAGAGTGTCTCACCTTCAGCTTTCCTGGATTGTATACGGCTGGGAAAATGGATGAGATGATGGATGAGCGAAGCACCAGGCTGTCAAATCCTGAGATCCTCGCTGCAGAGGCACTAAATCTCCAGACCCTCTTTTAGTGGGTGTCTAGCCACGAGTTATGCGCTGGGGATCCTTTGCCGGCGTGTGGCTAAAGTACTGACCAGGGAACGAAGTACTAGTACCTCGGTTGGCACTAAGGTCTATTCGCTAGTCAGGTACAGTTACTTCTTCTTCCCAGCCCAAGGCACTTGACCCATCTCTTGAGTTTCCGTCGCATCTCTCACATGCCATCCGCAGTCATAGCCGCCGACCGTGCTCACTTCTTCATTTCACATCCCGCTGGTCGCATCTTTGCTTCATTATCGATATTAACATTACTATGTACAGATTATTACAACTATGACCAGGGTCAAAAACTTTTAACCATCCGATGCTCGCCCTCAACGTTGCTTCTTGTGTCCCATGGCCTTCCCCCGAGGCCCAGCGACGGTTCCCATCAAAACATCCCAATGCGTGAATGAACTGGAATAGTTGCCCCGGAAGTACCGATGATGATCATCATGCCAGCTGGAACCGCCCCAGAATGGTATGATCCGTCGCAGGCTCCATGGAAAGTCGTATCCCGAATGCGCGTCGATTGCCTGCAGCTGACGCAACGCCATCCAACCCAACACTGTTATCAGATGCACGTTGCCAGTGAAATACCCCAGAACAAGCGGCGGACAGATCGTGCCTAGTCCTAGGAGGAACGTCTCCGCCGGACTGGCGTACTCGGCAGTCAATCCGAACGGCGCGGAGTATTGATGGTGGATTCGGTGAACCGAACGGTATAACGGGCCCCAATGCATCGCTCGGTGCAGCCAGTAGTGGTATGTGTCTTCGACGAAGAAAAAGATGGCGATTTGTGTGGCGAAGAGGGACAGTTCCGGGAAGGGAAGGGTGTATTGGACATGGCAGACTTCCATCATCGGGTGGAAGAGGACGATCAACGGTAACTCGACGATGAAGTGAATGGCGAGGATGTACTTGACGCATGTCCATTGGTCATTAACCGACGGGCTCTTTTGGTCTTGAATTTTGAACCGACGAAACACGCTCGGACAGGCGTCTGCAACGATCCAGGGAAGACAACGACCGAAATAGATGAGTTCGTGGGCGAGGAAGGTCATCACCCCTGTTGTCTATGAGCAACGAACGTTTTCGCTAACAAACATCTACTTACCAGTTGCCAGAACATCATTGTTCCAGAAGGTGTAATGCGCCCACCACAGCTGTTCCGGCCATGAGAGGCTCGGATCCTGCTTGGCCACATGGACAAGCTCAGGGTATGACAGCGAGCCGGAAGGTAGGGTAACGTTCGCCATTATGATGTGATACACTTCTTGAGGCTCTTGAGGTGCAACGTGTTCGTGTACCTGGCTCGGAATTTTCGAGCCGGTTTTGTACCTGCGGTGTCTGGGCTCAGCCAAATCCCGGTGTGGTCTGATCCAAACACACCACCCCGGATTCAGGCCGGATCCTTACCTCGCCACACTACATCCATGCACGATAAATTAATGTGGATATAGGGGTAGTTCACGTACGATACGGGATCGACAGTCTGCACCACGCGATCGGATCGCGGCTGCCTAGGGATTTTGCGATGAATGCGTTGGGACATGTCCCGTAGGATCTTCCGTACGGTACCGCACACGACTGGCCTCTGGTAACGGGATAGCTTTACTTCTACTGTACGTCTAGCTTGTGCTCATTCTTGAAAAGGTTGGTCTAATTAAAGGTGTAAGAGCAAAATGAGACGAAATAGTGTTGTTTTTGCCTTGGAGCCCTGATATACTGGTTAGGGAGTCCCCGATATATATATTTCGGAAGAGGTGGACGTCGATCCTGGAAGGCAGCCTCGAAAACCGATCAATGGACCATGCCCAGTTTCTTAAAAAGTTTTAAGATCAAGAGTTGTTTATATGGTCCATTTACCTGATCCTAGAGCACGAGAAGTTGAGAATCCTCTATATTGAGCGGTGGAGCTGTGCATCGGCCCATCATTCGGCATCTGAGAGCTCCCACGAGCGAACAATATACTCCTGCCCACAAACCACTAACTTCTCTGGAGCACCATCCGACGATGGAGATCGTATATCCTCGCGCGTTGGCAGTTTATCTGCCTCCGAGCCCAGCGAGTACTTCACCTCGAACCCACCATGAACAAAGTCTTCCCTCCTCGCACTGACCTCCCCACCGCTCCTGACCACAATCTTCGTCTCTCCAACCGGCCGAACAAGAACTTGCCTCTGTCGAAGAGCGATGTAAGTTCCCCAAATACCGCCGATAAAAGTCCGAGTTACCTCCTTCTCCTCGCCCTCTCCCAGAGTTCCGCCCGTCGCGCTCTCCATAACAAAGGACACGTTCTCGCGCCCCTCCATTCGCGGGAATGGTAGCTCCCTCCATACCTCCTCGTATTCACTCACGGGCGCGCCCGGCAAATCAGGACGCGGCATGACCCCAACCTCCAGATCGTCGCCGTTCGGGAGTGTCGAGAATGTGCCGCAGTCCGCGACGCCAAAGGCATTTCGGGAGTCGAGTTCGTGTGTGAAGAGGACTTCATCTGTTTCAAGTCAGTTTCTGTCGGGCGACGAGAAGAAGGGTGGAATGTAGACTGCATACTCGAGTTCGGGTCTTGGAGTCGCTCTCCCGCAATGGCCCAGTCGAGTTTCCCGGTGTCGCGGTCAACGCGGAGGTCGACATACCAGTTTCCGACGGAGAGGACGAGCGTGTCGGTGTTTTCGAATGCCGGCTCGGGCGGCCATCGGAGGGATACTCTTGTTGAGAGTCGTTTTGTCATATTGACAGTGGTCTGTTGTTGTTGTGAGGTAAGAGCTGGAGATTTAGGTTCATGAGCACATGATTCAGTCATCATCTTCATTCCATCTCCCGAGTCTCTTATCAGTTCCCCGCACATTTGGAGCATCACATCGCAGAAAACAGATCGAAAATCATTGGCTGCTCTTCTTACTCCAATCCTTGATCTCTTAGACTTTCCTCTTTCAGATGAGATAGGGTCCGGAGGCTGAGTTGCTTATCGCGCTCACCTTCTATATAATGCAACAGTGATTCATCACAAACAATCGCAATCTACAGCAACCGTCAAGATGCTGACCCTCTATCTAGTTGCTGGGCTTTTAGTAACTCTTTTCTTCATCCGACGACTCCGATCGCCTATCACAAAAATTCCAGGACCATGGTATACCGTGCTCACGAGCTGGGTACTCAAGTACCATGAGTTCACCTCGAATAGACGGCTATACATTCATGACCTGCACAAAAGATACGGGCCCACCGTCCGCATAGCGCCCAATGAGATCTCTCTTGCTAGTCTGGAAGCGATCAGAGAGATCTATGCCTCTGGTGGGAGCGGCTATGACAAGACGGAGCTCTATGACTTGTTTCGTCAGTTCGGGATTAAGTATGACGGAGTGAACAAATCTTCTTTTGTCGACGGTAGCTGACTTGATTAGGACCATGTTCTCGACCCTCGAAAAGCAGAGCGTGAGTTCTGTCCTTCCCGAGTCGGTACGCTGTCTGACAGCGTGCAGCATAGCCAGCGCAAACGCGAACTCGCAGATCGGTACGCCATGACGAATATCCTGCGCGATGAGCACGTATCCGCCATTGCAGACCGAGCGAGGGCTTTTGTCTCAAGATGCGTTGCGTCCGCCGAGAGCGTGGATGTCTACGTATGTTTCCGTCCATGGAATGCCGCCACCGTTTGTTGACGACGCACCTGCAGGTATGGCTCCATTGCTTCGCTCTCGACGGTGTGACAAACTTCATGTTTAGCCCGGGGGGACTACGCTCGCTGGACTCGGAGGAAGACTTTGAAATCATGGAGGAGCTTACTTACCACCAGAGCCTTCAGAGTTCGTTGTCGTTCCAATGTAGTTTTCTGTCATCGATACCTAACAGAAGCAGAGAACCTCCTGCATTACTACCTCCCCGCTCTAGCCCCCTGCTTCCCGTCATGTTTGATCCCGCGCCACTCACCCAAGACAAACGAATACGTCCTGAGAATGTCCGCCCAGCAACAGCCCAGCCAGCACAGCCTCGTCGCCAAACTAGCTCGGAAAGACTCCCCGCTCAACCATGCACAGGTTGCTGCAGAATGCAAGGATCACATGGCGGCGGGCATCGACACAACGGGCGACGGTCTGTGCTTTCTGATGTGGGAGCTTTCCCGACCGCAGAACACCCGTTTCCAGGACCGACTATTCGAGGAATTGACGAATGCGGATCCGGATACCCCAATAGATAAACTGCCTTACCTCGACGCAGTCGTTAAAGAAGCCCTACGGTGTGCGCCGCCAATCCCGATGTCATTTCCGCGATACGTACCGGCTGGAGGACGATCGATCGACGGCCACTTCATCCCGGAAAAGACGATCGTCAGCTGCCAACCGTATACGGTGCACAGGCTCGACGAGGACGTATTCCCGGAACCCGACAGCTTCAATCCGGATAGGTGGATGGACGAGAAAGGGGCTGCTCAGCGGAACCGGCTGTTCTTTGCTTTTTCGACCGGTGGCAGGGGTTGCACGGGGCGGAAGTGAGTACTTTCTGTTCATGCATAACGCGACATTGTGGGATTCGGTTTGCAGTTGCTGACGATGGACCACCCGTAGCTTGGCCATGGTCGAAATGAAGGTTCTCCTCCGAGAGGTGTACTCGCGGTTCCGTACGACGATCGCGGAGGATATGCGTGAGTGCATGGATATCGATGACCAGATTATCTCTTCGAGACCACAGGGACAAACGTGCAAGTTGAGGTTTAGTGAGAGATGACGTCGACTTCCTGCTGCCACCTCTACTCGAGTATTTGGATAATTGCTCGGTCAGCCTTCGACCCTGGTCGTAAGCAAGATTCATCCCGCTTTGCAAATAGCTAACTTAAGAAAAACTACCCTGAATCTGACATTACCTACCAATTCCTTTGCAGTTTTATTCCGTTTGTTAGCCCATGATTCCACAGCTCACAAGTATACTCATGGTTCGGCCGCTGTTTCCAGTTAGCTGATCCAGCATCATGGTCCCAAAAGTCATGGTACTCGAACAGGTAACTCACATGTTGTGTGACGCCCCAACGGGGCCACTTCAGTACATATCGGCGCTTTGGTTACTGGCCCTAATGCAACTAGCGCCTTCGCTGGATATGCACCTCGTAGGCTCGTACAACGTCGGCGGCGGGGATGGATGGCCAGAGCTCTGCGGAGTACGGAGTTCACGAGGTGTCTAGGCCATGATAAGCTCAATTTTGGGAGCTGCAAGCTGGACGCAGTACGAGGGTCACTGCTCGGTGTAACGTACTCGTGTTAGGTCAGGCGGGTCAAACGCGGTCCTTGCAGCCGTACAGGGATGGCCTGTTGGTACGTTTCCGGTCGTTCGGGACACCTTTCAACAGACAGGGATCCTCCTACTCAACGAGTTTGAGCTCTCTGAATAACGCACTCGATCCGGTGCAGCGGAGCTCGGGAACTAACGACGAACATCCCAGTCCTTGGTCTTGACTTGACTAGGGACAGCAACTGCGAGGATAATCCGCGTTGACTTGGAACCGTGGCCAGGGACTTTGGTTTGAAATAACGCTGTGCATCTTCCCTGCAAGGTCTACCGTTTCCGATCAGATGGCATTGATTTCTTAGTCTACTGTTGCCTAGACTGAACCCATTCTTGACACTGACGTGGCCAAAATCAGCATCCAAACGGAGGCGCACCGGCTTTCCGCGAGAGTGTGACACCAGCTTGAACCGCAAGCTGAACTGGGTCGCTTGTTCGTCGCTGGTGGCGCAAACAGTTTTTGGAATGGCTGAATGTCTGGTATCATTTGTCCTGTCCAGGTGTGCGCACTCTATGCATTTCCACGCCCCCGGTAAGTCCCAACTGCACCAGGGAAGTATGCCAATCGAGTTGGACTTTTGTATCGTATCCATGCTGCCGCCTCCCGAAAGTGCATGCGCTTCGGACGCAGTGTCCTCGCTCGCAAGGCTCTGGTTTGCAACTGCTTGCATTGTTCTGTTGATCTCATCCTCGTTCTGTCGAGTCTCCGCATACCCACCATCTCCAACAGCTCTCGAGGCCGCGCAATTGTCCAGCGGTAGCAAAGGCAAGCAAATTCATTCAGCTCGTTGGACATATAAGCACTGCAATTCCCAGCTCTGAATGTCTTTTCTTTCCATGATCAACTCGTCTACTCTACTCATCCATTCCATCTTTACTACCCCTCGCATTTGCCCATCATGATTGACCTAGTGAAGTTCAGCCAGATCAATCTGACCCCGGTCTACTTCATCATCCTTTACATCGAACTCTTCCTTATGTTTGTTTTTGTAGTCGACCTGTACGCCCCGCTCAGGAACCGACTTGACGAGGTCTTGCGCATTCTACGACAGCGTCCCGACCGACAATAGAGATGCTCCATCCCTCTGCGTTCACGAACAGATGTTGGCACCGTTGACGAGCGGTATATACGTAGTTGGTGCCTGTGGCTTTGTTATGCTATTGTTTTTGTTCTCTAACTTCCATACTGCAGATACCCCTCTGATGAGGTGACGCTGGTTCATTGGCGCTCAATGTTTTGTTTCTGATCGAGTGCCGTATGTCTTTGGTTGGGTTAGGTCAGTATTAATGCTGCTTGTGATGGACTTGCTTTATAGCTGACGCATTATCTCTATTAGATCAAGCCCTTGAGATTCTTTCACGGACGTGGACCAGGCATTGGCTCTCCTAGCTTTTTTATCTTTCTTCGAGTGTCTGAAAGTCCAACATTGCTACCTATGGCAAAAGCCAACTTATCTTCTCCCTTTGCCTTGGGAAATGAGAAGATACCTGCTTGTGCAATGTATCTCGTCGAATCCCATCTACATCTTACCTTATCCGTCTACTGCTATCCATGTTCCCGAACGGTATTTCAAGCCTCATCAAGCCCTAGGTCGCTCGTCTCCTACAAGACAACGTCAACCATTCCTATATATAGGACGCAGATATACGCTATATACTCCCCTCACTGCACTGATCAAACAACCTTGCGCCTTGCCCCATCTGATATGCCTCTGACCCCAAGTCAGGTTGATACACTGGCCGAACATCTGCTCGTCGACAAGCAGGAACGAACACTGTCAGGTCTCTGCTTCCCCACTGCCTGGCTTGTTATTACACGGATGTTCACCTTGTTCTGATTGTCTTACCTATTACTAATGGCACTGCAGATTCATCATATTGGCTCAAATTAACACAAACATTATATATACGGTCTTTCGCTTGTCCGTCATCGAATTCTATCATTGGTGTGAGTTACCTTAGCTATTGAGTACTGAAGCACTGAACAACAAGCTAACTGCTGCTAGATCTCCAGACCGGCTTTTTCTTCGTCTATAGCAATGCCTATATATACGACCATGTCCCGACCTTTGAATACAGTCGCAACAAGATCCGCAAAGGCCGTCGATATGCGATGGCTGAGCCCAATGCGTGCTCCTCCTTTCGGATGCCTTCTTTCGTATCCTGCGTTCCGCAAAAAGTCGGCAACCCAACCACGACCAATGATCCAAGCCATGTGTTGAGACTTGCTGTCCATGATCTTTGTTGAACTTCCGAAGCATCTTTGCTCCGCCTAGTAGTTCGAACGGCCATTTCTCTATGCCGTTTGATATTTGTGCGGCACACTCTCCATTATATTCTCCGACCCAACGAGATGGTGCCGAGCTGTCCTAGTGTCATGGGCTGGTCGATACTGGATGGAAGCGACACTAACACGGTGCATCTGGATCGATAAAGAAGATAGGTCTGCCCAATTGCGCAAAACATGGGAGGGCTCGTTACCACACCCATCCATAACCTGCCAGAATGGACCGTCCCTGTACGCTATTTCCTTCCCTTCGTTACCTTGTTGGCGTTTGCTGATCTGTCTTTGTCATAGTGCTGTCCCAAGTCTATCGACTCAGCGAAAGATATTCCTTTCCAAACATCCACCCTCGGATACGCCCACTGAGGTAAACGTCTACCACATCTTGGCAGAGAAGAACGGATCAACAATCGCATATCGCGGCGTAGTACTCATGCATGACCGACCCCTCGACCGTGCCTCCTATCGCTTTTGTCTTTTCAGAAAGTGAGAGCGCTGCGCCTACCATTGATACGCCCTGGGAATGCTCAATCATCTCATTGGTACCACACTCCAACTCACATGCTTGACAGAGGGGTTGAGCTAACCCATACTCCTTGCTGCTTAGATATGGTTCTACGTTTACTGCTCGAAGGAGTCAGAGGCGATCATGGACCGGTCGTGACATTACTTTCTCACCATGACTCCCGCCATCCTGTGCTCTGACCCTTCCGTTCACGTTCAATGATTTCCATCACGAAATACATCCGAGACCGCACAAGACATGGTCATTCCCTTCGCTTTGTTGTTAAAGCCAACTGAAACATAGCTCGCCTTGTCCATGTCCTGACACCATGCAGGTGCAATTCGCCCTCATCTTTTTTGTGGAATTAGTCATGCGAACAACCATCATCGCAACCAGCGACATTGACTCACAGCGTTTGAGAACACAAGCCCAATGTCAGATTTCCTTTTCTGTACAGTCAGGTATGTGCTCAAATGGTGTTCGCGGGAGCTCGGCAAGGAGAATCGGTTTGGAGCTAACAACTCCCAGGCATCTAACTAGCTTGCCATGCTAACAACAATGCTTACCGTCTACCTACAATTGACAAAGCCCGCCGTACGCTGCCATCTCCGCGTTTGCAAATCACCTACAGACGGGGTGCGCTCCGCTAATGAGAACTCGAGCTTGGGCAATATGAAGACCCGAAACACCACCATCTCAATGGTAAAGTTTCCCGTCTGTAATGGTCTAGAGTATTAGAGCTCTTGCTACTTCTGCCCAAGATACGGGAGCAAACACCCGCCCAGGCCCTTCGAACCGGAAACCCTGGATGGAAACATGGTCCTTCCCGACGAAAAAAGCACACCGGATGTTGTTGGTTATGAATTCCTCTTGTCTTCCTTATGATTACTTCTGCATGCGCAGCAATTTCCGACCACAGAGACCTGCGACTTACCGGAAGGGCACACGTTGAACTTCGTAACGCCATTGTTGACGAACGACGCCTCCTTTAAGCGGTTGAGGACATTTCCGCGGGACAATTGCTGTTCGTGTACGTCCGGTCCGAATCCAGTACCAGGTTTCGCGCAAGATCATCACTTTCCGGGCAAGAACTGGGCGTATATCGATGCGTTCTTTTTCTCAGCCGGAGCCAAGTCGAACACAGTACGATCAAAGAACCCGATAATTTTCATTTGTCAAACCATCAAAAGGCAAGATCGTCATCTACTCAAGATTGACTGTACACGGTGGACTTCAACCTGCTTCAGACTTACCAGTAGGTAATTCTTAATCTTGTATCGATCTGATCGCGGTGCCCCAACAATGCGACCATCTCTTTGGAATCCTAAACCCAAGGACGAGTATTTAATCAGTTACGACCATGTTGTCTTTCTCAGGATGTCGCACAATGTGCTTGAGCATTGGCTGCCCGGTTCTTTTTCTCCAGTACCCGATTCATTGACATAATGCAAAGGATCCTTCTCTGGTTCTCGAAGCAGAACTGGACTAAAGTCCTTGAGTACATCATCGAACACATCCACCCCGATGTTGAAGAAAATGCACGTTTCCGTCACACTGTCTTTTGGCGGCTAGCAATGATGGGTGCTGCTGCTTGACAGCGAGGCGAAGCTGTCCGTGGTTCCTGCCTTCATCGAGGCAACTGCTGTTCCGCGGGTTCAAGCTCAATGAATATACCACTTACACATTCCGCACTTCCGGACCCGCATTGCTGTCGGACGGGATCCTGCATTTGGCTGCCAGCGGCGCAGTCCTTCAACAATTATCTATCGGCCTTGGCTCTCTGCGTTTCGCACCAACTGGATATCGCGCGTCCGGTAGCGGCATAGCCGACCCCCTGACATCAGTTGCGCGCCTCTGCACCGGCTTTCTATGACGGGGCCTGATTGTTTTGCCTGCGGCTCTTGTCCTTCAATCCGCAGATGAGGCACGCATCCCGTCGCCGAATGGAAGAAGGCTCTGGTCAAGCCCGGTCTATCAGCCAGACCGCGATGCAAGACTCGGATTACCACACTGGGTGCCAGAAAAAGCCCCTTGTACACCTCCAGGGAGCGGAAGCAAATTCCGTCTAAGCCAAGTTCACTTCATTATGCGCTTCTCTATCATCGTCGTGTCGGTGACGTGCAAGAATCCGACCCGGTCAACTCAATTGTTGGAAGTGTTATCCACTTTTATGCTCCATCTCCGTGCGCTATCCGGCTTGAAGATTAGGAGGAGATCAAAAATGCTGCTAGGCGGTCGCTCTACGCAATGCTCTTTACGCGTATCCCATTGGAAACACCTCATGAGTAAGCAGCTGCCGCCTCGGTGTACATGTTCCCCTAACAGCTTTTGCCAGCAAGACGGTCGGGCCGCCCATAGTATGCAGCCTGTCCTTGGCCAGAACTCAGTGCCTCTCAACGACAACAACTGGATGGCAAGAAGAGCCCATAAGCCTTCATCGAGCACGAACGCAGTCCGTGCTGGCATTGTTGAGAGCAGATGGCGCCGAATCAGCCGTTTTGAAAGAAGATCTGGTTTATGGTTGGCACTCTGGCAGTTACACTCACGTCGTGTTTGGTGCAGGGAGAAGCAAGCATGGCAGGGATTCGGCACACAGCAATGACAAGCGACTGGAAGAATGCGGCCATACGAGGACCACACCCATTGGTACCAGATCGGTGACCAAGTGCGATTATGTTGTCGAAACGTTTCGTTCCTGCCTTGAAAATTATGACTCGAACTCAAGCAATACCTCGTGTGGATGCGGTCGGGTGCCTTCTTCTAGAGACGTCGAGACATCACATCAAACTAAGTACGGCGTTCATCTACCAGAGGGATCAACAGAAACAAAAGGCCCCAGTTCCAACAGTTTCCTTGTGGAGTGCTGCTGTATTCGGGGCAGCAAAACCAGCAAGTTAAAGCCAACATTGGTGTTTCGGCGCCCTGGAAGTACCAGGCGTGGTCGAAGGGCTGGCAATCTAGAGCCATCTAACACAAACCATAAGGGCAACATGGCTGTTCCACAACATGGAATATCCCAACGATCTGGTGGACAGGCGACACCAACATGATGATGCATCTTTTCATCAAAACAAATATGTGATCACGCTCAACCTAGCTTGTCTGCACAGCAATCACCTGGCTGTGACAGCTATGGCACCGCTCTCATTTGACATTGATGCATATCTGAGTTGCCCCAGCCCTGTGCTTCGAAATGGAAGCAACGGGACTGATGCAGAACTTGGTATGCGTTGAAGTACGACGCATCTGCGACTACGCGGACTCACATAGAAACAACTGCTTGCGACGCCCGCCACAGGATATCGACTTTGCAATTCCACTTTCAGCAGGAGATCTCCAGTGATCATGCGCACCCATTCGGCTCGATGTCAGTTCTTCGCCAACATGTTAAGGACCCCGTTGTTTAGTTCTACCGCGAGGTCATGCTTTCATTTCGTGTATCCTTTGGCAAACCTTCAAACTTGAGGTCCATGGTCAAGAAAAACCCACCGCGCCTGATCGACTGATTTCTGATGAAACACGGCTTCAATACAGGTGCAACGACAAGGGGATTCTAAGTGGTTGACGCGATTTGCTTTTGGGCATATCTGGGAACAATGAATCTTTTACGCACATCCATGCCATCAACATCCTGGTGAAACTCTTGAAGGCGAGTCATAGGAAGCGAGATGCACGCAACCCAGAAAAACCACAGCCACCGGATTGACGGTAGCGTCCTCTCGCGATTGACAAGCGGCTCAAGGCCTACATTTACGATTCCTTCTGCATCACCGGGTGTTCAGGGGAAACTGATCTGTCCATGGTCCAGTTTCGGTGGTTGAAGTGAAAAGGACAAAGTGAAAGAGCCCGGCCTAATGCGAGTTTATGCATTCGTGCAGGAATAGAGTACGACGCTACCAAGGGGCAGTTCGTGCCCGGGAATATTGAGGATTCCCCGGATTTCCCCCGTGCCCGTGGCTTCGAAATTGGGGAGGGAAAGATGGATAACGACCTGTTTAGGCGCTTCGTCACATATGGCGTCCCTTGTTATGACACTCATTTCGTTCTTCCGTTTCCAGAGGGCAAAGAAGAGAATGTTGATAGATGTCTCTTCCCCCGGCACTACGATAGGCCACGCCAGCGGCCTTACTCCAAAGGCGTACAGGCCCGTGGATTCGAGTGATGCACATTCCAGGCCTGTATCGCGGCATTGGACAGGGAGGCGCCCATTTGCGCTATCGAGATGCAATGATGGAGAAGCGATATGAGGTTGGATAGAACCAATCTATCAGTCTAGCGATCCCCCTAAAACGAAGCTCTTCTTCATGGCAGTCTGCATTTTGGCTGGTCACCATACTCCTTACTGTTGACGGAGTACAACTCATTCTCCTCGGGTTATTGAAGGCACGCGCAATGTTCCCTCACTGATGTCCGCGGCTTGCCTGCCCTGGCAGTCGCCGATGAGAATTGAAACCCCAAAACATGCTCTGATCCACGCACCATACGAACAGCACGCGTCTACCAAGCCATGCCGGTAACATCCGGGCAACTAGACCGTCACTGGTCTTCATCGAAGTTTAGTTCGCCAGAAAGCCGGTAAGCCCAGGGCATATCCATCGACAACTCTCACGCCTGCGCAGCCGTGACAACGCTCGTTGACAACCCTGCTAACACCAAGTCGCCGTTGCAAGACCCTATTGCCGTTCTGATCTGGTTTCTTGGCCAGTTACATCCGTTGTTCAACTTGTTGTTCCGCTAGGTCTAGCAGCTCCAGGTGCATCGTCCCAAGGGTGGTTATCCATGCCATCTTCCACACGCATGAAAAGCGGGTCGAGTTGACTTTCGATGACGCGATCAAGGAAGATGTATGAGTTTGGCGTTGATTGGATGTCGGATTATGCGCGTGAAGCCTTAGACCGTGTCCTTGTTCTGCACCCTCTAGCCCCTGCGCGCAGTCAAGGTTTGAACTGCTCATGGATACCGGGATAAGAACCCGGTGGTGATCTTCTTTGGACATCACTGCTTCGATTCGCCTCCTTTTATTGCCAATCCACATTTGCTCGACATGGCCATCAGCCGGGCTCGCGCCCCGCTGTACATCGTCACAGAAATCAGTTGCTTGTATTATCTTGCGCAATCTATACCCACTTCCACGACATGAAGCGCACCTTCCATCATACCACCATGACCGCAGTGGCGCGTTTGGCCCGGATCCTTTTCCCCTCAAGTTCCTCAACGACTGGATACCACTCTTAGTAGCCATCATGGCGGTGGTTAGAGGTTGGAAGATTAAGCCTTGGGCGTACAACCTCCGCCTTGGAGTTCCGTCGCCAGTTCCCTGTGAGGATACTCACCCGGGCACTCCACGGCGAGAGTTCAGAACCGAAAGTACTCTGGTAATGCTGGACAGTTAGGGCTTGAACCCTCTGTATATGGCAACAAGATAGAAGTCAACCCTCCGCTTGCCAGGGTAACAGAGCTCATCGTTGTTTCGCTCAATTTTCGCCCAGGCTGTCAATTTGGTCAAGCGGTAGGCACTGGGTGTAAGCTCCGGCACACCTGTTCCTCACTTCTTCTTGTCCATTGTGGCTTTTACTCTTGTATTCGCTGCCTCAATACAGAACTCTTTGCAGTTGTACTTCTCTGATGAGTATACCTTTGTCGGATGTTGCAGAGATCTGGAGTTGCAAGGTGCCTCCGTTCGACTGCCCCGCCATTGCTTGGAATCAACTTTGCTAGTAGTTATCCCAGTTCTCTTTCTAATATATCGACACTCATGATCGTCTTACTACACCTAATCTGATAGAGATGAAACCGGTGCGGCGGCATACCCTCCACTCATCTCGCACCTGGGCTGATTATAGCAATTCACCTCCCTGCCAGCAACTCGCGGTACTGAAAGTTCTTCATATATCTCATGAATGCAGAGTATTTGTATGCTACTCTCCGTTAATACACCGGGACTCGTCCATACCCGTTTAAACAGCTTGCCATATCGTGTCTTTCATGCTACGTCGCGTGGTGGTTTGTCCCACAGCAGTGTAATTTTAGCTTCACCAGGCCCTGGTCATCATTCATTTGTACGCGTCATGTCTAGTATTCGTTCAGAATTTCCACAGTTATCAACTCATCATCAGAATCGTAGATCATATAAGGCCTGGCCGTTCCAAAGTCCAGCGCTAACATCATCCCACTGCGGTCCCTCAGCAGAAATAAGATACCCATCTTCACAAACCTCATACTCAACCTTCGGCACCCGCGCGTAGAAATCATCGTACCCGGGGTCAAGCGCATCCGAGAGGCTCTGAACTGATCCGTCCGGGTGCAGTTCATTCCAGGGTTTGATGCAGGTACTGCCAGCGCAGGACTTGAGGACGAGAAGGAGAGCATCCAGGCGGTTCTTGAAGGATTGCTTGGCAGTTGTGTAGATGTTGTTGACTTGGTAGGGATCGGTCTAGATTATCGTCAGATACTCTGTAATTGCAAACATCAAAGTGGTATAAAGGGAACGTACGTTAAGGTCATATAATTCGTGGTCACCCGTACACCAAACGGCGTAGAAGAGGTTGCGCTCTTCGCTAACGAGGCGGGCGGACTTGTATGTGTTGTTTGGCATGCGATGCCCGTTACCGGGGACTATGGACTCTGGTCAGCTTCCTTGTTGCGTGGCCCAAATTTGGTTGTGCACGTACCTAGATTTGCGTAGTTGCCTTCGAGAACAGCACTACCCCAGTACTCTACCGTGACATGCTCATGGGGCACAGAAGAGCTATTCCTAACAATACGCATCGGGGTGCCGTCAAAGTCACTGCGCAGAGGCAGTCCGAGGATCTCAAAAATCGTCGGGGCAAAGTCAATGTGCGTCGTGACCTGAGAGTCCGTCTGGCCGGGTGTGACTCGGGGACCGCGGACAAAAAAGGGTACGCGAATGTCTTCGTCGTAAGATGTGCACTTCCCAGGAGGTAGTCGGTGGTGGCCAATGTGGAAACCGTTGTCGGAACTGTAGATCACATAGGTGTTGTTGAGCTGGCCGCTGCGCTCTAGACGGTTGAGCAGCTTGTCCACCATCTCGTCGACACCTTGCAGGGCACGCAGACGTTGGCGGTAGAAGAAGTCTTCATACTCAACCACGGATTGGTTCTGGTGCTTCAAGTCTTTGATCCAACTAGGGCCGGCTTGCTAGATACTGTTAACTTGAATTTGATGCTGGACTTGGGAGCCTACGTTGAGTGGGTTAAAAGAAGGTACGCGTGGGACCCGAGCATCAGGGAAGAGATGAGCGTGGCGAGGCGCAGGAATAGGAGCTTGCGGCGGAGTTCCTGAAGCACGGTTGGGTTCTTGATCGAAATGTGGTGCAATAGGGGCCACGGTCAGGAAGAATGGCCGCTCATTGTCTTCAAAAGCATCGTCGAGGAAGCCGAGTGCCTTTTCCTCCGTGACGTCTGTCGTATAGTGACCGGCGTAGCTCTTCGGAGGTTCATGATTGCGTTGGTAGCTGGAGTTCCAGTATGAGTAGGTAAATGGGTCAAGAAGAAAGTCCGAGCCGTTGAAGCCTTGAACGAACGGGTTGTTGTACGTCGACGTGCTATGCGAGTTAAAGAGTTTTCCAACGTAGTAGGTATTGTACCCGGCGTTTTGCATCCACAAGGGAAACCAGTCTTCGTTGAAGCCTTGGGATACAAACTTGGGGTAACCGCCTGCACTTATCAGTATTCAAGATACTGAGTTAGGCAAGCCACATACCGTACGGCGGACTGACGTCGGTAACGTTCGTGTTGTGCGCCTGACGACCGGTCCACAGGCTGACCCGCGACGGACAGCACAGCGCTGTCGTGACAAAGTGGTTCGTAAAATCAATTCCTTGATCTCGAATGCGGCTTGCAACATGTGGCATATAGTCCACAGAGTTCATCGTCAAGTCTTGATCATCAGTGAAGACGAAAAGGAAGTTGGGTCGTGAGCTAGGGATGGCCTCGGACAGGGCCAAGAATCCAGTCAACGCAACGAAATTGCTGAGCTTCATGATTTTTCCGTCGGGTCTGTCGACTAATGCATTCGAGCGAGAGTCGGCCTTTATGCAGAGTCTATATTCCGGATAACGTCAGTCTTCAGGCTGATCGGCGGTTGCACCTTTGTTAGGGCCGATGACGCGATCTGTCAAGCTCCACTGCGGAATGCGACGATTCGGAGACAATGAAGACCTGCTGCCATACCGATTTACAGATTGTCGTCCAGAAAGGTGCCCGGGTTGAGCAATACCGCCAAGCCTCGCCATGCAACTGTCCCTTGCATGGTCTCGCCAAGGGTGGTTGGATAGCCAAGCAGATTACCGGCATCTAGGTCGAGGACATGAAGAACAAGAGGAATTCATTGCTATTTTCAATGGGATAATAGAGCTCAATGTGTTCGGGTGCATACTAACAACATAATCACATCATTGCCAGGTCTCTCGCCTGTAAAGCGACTTTTCTCCGCAAACAGCGGGAACATTCAACTGCCGATTCACACCACCCTCCCAGACGACGTATCCTTCTCTGACCCGAATATATTTGTACTCGGCTGTCTGCCCTGCGGGAAGCCAGATTGTAGCCCACCATATTGGCTGCGAAGATGAGTAGCGGTCGGTGCTGAAAGTTATGCTTCTCGTCAATTCCCAATTCCCAAGGTCCAAGCTCGAACCCACCAGTCGTATATCCTCTCCCCAGACCGTTGAAGCAGTGAGTTCGAGCGTCACGGAGACTGACGACGGAGTTTGACATGGTGCAGCTGTTGCGGTGGGAAATCCGTCCATTGGCGGCCAAGTGCTGATGGTCGCAAGACTGTACGTCCCTGGCACACCGGTGGCTGAGCACGTCGAAGGGACGCTCGGGGCACCTGGGTTTGTCCATGGTGGTGGCGCAATTGCATTGCGACGACGGTTTGCAGCCAATAACGAGGCGTAAGACCAAGCGAGGTCGTTCGCGGAAACGTGAGAGCCGTCGTATTTTGAAATCTGTTCAGCGAGCGACCCATTGTTGGAAGCGTACGTTTGCTATACCGGTACCGGTCAGCCTTTTGTTCCATGACCTGCCGTAGCACTGTCGAGGCAAAGGGAAACTCACCACAATCCGCATAAAACCATCGGCATAGGTCCGGACAGCGTCAATCAATTGATGGTATAACTCCGTTGACGATGAATAAATCCCCGGTACGGCCGTCGGGTGCAATGATTGAAAGAACGGGAGAGAGACTTCGGTAATTGTTATGGATTCGAGATGATGCCACTGATATATGGCGCTATATAGCTGTTCTGCTGCAGCCATCGTACAGAGGAACCATGGATTCCCTCCGAAAAACTGGTCCTCAGGGTAGCGGCCAATGGCAACAGCTTGGTCCTGACCGCGGTCTGCGTTGATATCATACAGGTCGCGAAATGCGTCGACTAATCTGAAATGGTTAGCCAATGCCCGGGCCGAGCACGGCTGAAAGGTGGCATCGTCGCATTCCGATCGAGGGTTGAACGTGTGTATCACGCCTAGGAGTGTACTGGCATCTTTTCCACTCCGACCAGTGTCCAGATTGCTGCGGATGTACCTCCCTGTCCAGAATGACTGTAACAAGCAAAGTACTTGTGGTGCTTGCGACTCGCATTCCGCACAGGAGACCCCTATACTTCGAGCAAACACGCTTGCCTCTGTCAGCGCACGATATGTTGCTGCCAGAGTGAAGAAAGAGCGGCCGTAGAGGTCTTCCCACAGGTCTATTGGTGTCAGATATCAATGATCAGTCGGTGAGATCAGAGCTCACCGAACGCAGGCTGGTTCCAGTACTCGGCCACGTACGATAGGTCGTTGCGTATTATAGGCCACACTATATTTGCAGCCACTTGGTGGTATCCTTTGCTCTGCTTGACGTCAGCTAGACTGGCACTCTGACGAGTTTTCTTCATACCAATAGCCACCACCCGAACTCAATCATCGTGGTTGCCCGCAACGCAGGTCCATCTCGTTGTGGCCGGCCCCATGATCCAGCAAACGCCGTCTCCCCGGCCGTAAACTTTGCTTCGCCTAGTCCTTGTCCGTCCGCCAACCCGCCGCTAGGGTTTTCTATTCCCTGTATTCGAGCCTGGGAAGATATCCACTCCTGGATAACGGGTAAGAGATCGGTGTCGCCTGCCCTGAACATCTCCACCAGTGTCTTGAATACTAAGCTCGAGTCACGCGTCCAAGTATAAAAGTCTAGGGCATTATTAGCGAGCGTGTCCGAGTATGAGCATCCGTTATAGGTAGACTTGCAGTCCGGGTCCAGACTTGGACTTGCAACAAGAACCCCTGGTGCAGCTCCCTCGGCCCATTTCCCATCATTCCCGATAAGGTCAAGAAGAGCACCTCGAGCAATACTCGCCTCGCTGGAAAGCCAGTTATCAAGATCGCTAGCCGTTAAGGTTTGTTGGAGGGGGCGGGGCGCATGTGCTATCCAGAGAGTTGCCACTCCGACGACAAAGAAATAGATGAAGAGCGAGAGGAAAGCCATTCTTGTTGCATTGATTTTATATAGCATTTATACCATATTGCTTGTGTTAGCAACCTGGGCTTTGATGAAAGTGGAGGTTAAAAAGTGAAATGAGAGTTGATGTTGAGGAAGGACGAAGGGGTCCGAGAGTGATCAAGTGACGTGCTGCCTCACTCTTCCATCTCAGCTCCTGCCCAAACCATCCACTACCTCTAAAGATGTGGCCATGGTCTTGTACCGGCTATTCCCATCGCTCATTTTTATTTAACTTGTTATGTGTGCGTTGTTGAGACTCTTTCGGACTGTTTGGTGTTTCACAACGCCCTTTGAGACTATGTGATGCCCAGAAGCTCAGAACCTATTGCGGTTATTTGCAAATGTCGCTAGCCGCTGGCTCGGTCAAGATGGCATACAAGACCTAAGGTCAACCCAACTGCTGCGGGTGGTCACTCTTCCGGCAAATCCTGGGTAGCAAAAAGTACTTTAGAAAGACCGCAGAGCTTCTGAGTTATGAGCGTGAGTCAGAAGGAGGAAGCCATCTGTTTCATGGCGGCACTGGAAGATATATATCAGTACCGGCACTTTGGTCAATACTGTCAGTGCAGATTTGACAACATTGGCCCTGGAACAAGCTTCCACTCCGTTGCACAATGATGACATTCCCTCAATGTTTTTCTTCGTTGCAACGGTGTAATTAAAAAAACACGCGCATTGTCAGACATGGCGAAGCGAGATTGGCAACGTAGGTAAGGTGCCTTCATCTTGCTTGAAAGACTGTACTGTATAAAGAGTACGCAAGGAGCTGCGATGTTCAGCGTTGATCGGCGGTACAAGCTCATGATCGTCTCTTGGATCGATGGCGTTATCAAGGGGACAAATTAGGCTGGCCCACTGGATCATACACAAAATCAGTATCAGGTACTCTCAAAAAGAGTAGAGTTTGGGGACGGGTTTCTTCATACCTTACCCTTGAGACCTCGTATTGCACCATCGTCGCAAATCGCAGTCGCTAACGGATTGGTGATGATTTCGGAGGACGACACACATCGGCTATGGTGGCAAAGTGTTGGAACTCGGTTGGAAGGGTCAGCCTCGTGGTTCACAATCATGGCGAACCTCAGCAGGGACGAGAGCTCTCGCCGCCACCAGATAAGACCCTGCGCTGAGACAGGCAGGGGTGCGGTGGGCCACCCCAGACTCCAGATGGAACCCTACAATCCCACCTCGTGCTGACCAGATATTGAACCTTATCGGTAGTCTGGACTCTGGAGTAGAGCTGCGTTCTTGATTTGTTCCGCTTCACATGTATATATCATTTGCCTGCGACAGCTGAAACCGTGGATGCGGACGCCTCCCGCCTGACAGTTACCATTGAAAACAGTTGTGCAACACACAGCGTCATAGTATCAGGAACAAGGCTGAGTGGTGCCATCTCGAGTCTCGAGTACAGCCTCCCAATGCCACTTGGCAATATTCGCTACCGATGAGGAGATACTCGTGATATCGATCCTTCCCTGCCGACAAGATACTATTATCCAACAGAAATATATAGCTCTTGGCAAGACTTGGCGCGACCGGTGCAATTGAGGAGAAAGGAGATAGCCAGCAGAGGAGAGCCACCAGTTGCAAGCACCAGGCTCCATCCCTGCCGTTGCGGCCGCCCCAATCCTTCGAGGCCTCCCGCAGCTGATTGGCCGAGACCAGGCATGCCAAGCATCAAGGTTGCACTGGCAGCGGCCGTGCTTGTCCACCCACAGCGAGCCAGACGCCAAGACCGTGGCTTCCAGCCCATCTTCTTATCGCTCCTCCACTCCAGATTACAAGAAGCCGAAGCCTCTCAGGCAGGTACCCAAGACTCTCCAAGACCGCCCAGCGCCATAACGACCTTCCAGAATCTACCTAGATGTCGCTTAGTGCTGCATTGGCATGGCCTGCTTGTCGGTTACAGCCGGTTCACACCCTGGGCATTGATACGGAGCGATTTTGCGCACCAATTCGGTGATTGCCCCGGATGGTGCCATCGGACCTTATGCTGTTGTTATCTGTAGTCTGCTCGACACTAAATTTCCTTGCCACGGCCATGGCCGATTAGCCTCCCTGGCACGCGATAACCGTCTTGGACTGGCCGTGATTCGCTGCTGGGCCGCAATTGCTTTTTTTTGTGGCACCCCCCGGCTTCTACCTTAAAAGCTACAACGCTTCCCCGCCAACCTCAATTTTCTTTTCCTCTCCGTGGGACCTCTTTTCTGCATTCCTGTCACCCAGCGCCCCAGAGCAGACTGTCGCCATGAACCCAGCCGACTCTGTCGAGATCGGCGACGCCGTCGCCGCCCAGAAGAACGCTCACCTCGATCATCTTCCCTTGGGGAAGGAGGTACACCTCGAGAAGGATGTCATCGCCAGAGAGTCCAGCATTGAGGAGGTTCCAGCTACCAAGGAGTATCATGCTGGCGGCGAGGAGAGTGAGGCTCTCAACAAGCTTCACCCAACTGCCGAGGAGATGCAAACTCTCCGCCGCGTTTCTGGTAAAATGAACTGGATTACCTTCTCCGTGGCTTTCGTCGAGCTGTGCGAGCGTTTCTCCTACTACGGAACCACCGCTGTTTGTATGCGAAGCTCACCCTGGATACCGCAATTCGTTTCTTGCTAACCCTGGCCCAGTCGTCAACTTCATCCAACAGCCTCTTCCCCCAGGTTCAACCACCGGTTCCATCCCCGGTACTGGCTCAGAAGTGCCTGGTGCCCTCGGTATGGGCCAGCAAGCCTCTACCGGTTTGACTTTGTGTAGGTTCCGCGCGTCCTTGACCTTGTGATGCTCCCAATGCTAACCTGTCGACTTACCAGTCAACTCTTTCTGGGCCTACGTTATGCCGCTCGCGGGTGCCTTCCTCGCAGATCAATACTGGGGTCGTTTCCGAACAATCATGTTCTCCATCGTCTGCGCTTTGGTCGGTCACACTATTCTCATCATCTCCGCCATTCCCCCCGTGATTGCCAACCCCAACGGTGCTATCGCCTGTTTCGCAATCGGTCTAATCATCATGGGTATGGGTACTGGTGGTTTTAAGTCCAACATCTCCGCTTTGATCGCGGAGCAATACCCTGATGAGCGGCCTTACATCAAGACACTGCCCTCAGGTGAACGCATCATCATCGACCCTGCTGCTACCGTTGCTCGTGTCTACCTCTACTTCTACCTTTGCATCAACGTCGGTTCGCTTACCGGTCAGATCAGCATGGTCTACGCCGAGCGATATGTGGGTTTCTGGCTGTCATTCCTGCTGCCCACGATCATGTTCTGCTTCTCCCCTCTCGTGCTGTACCTATGCCGCAACAAGTACATCCTGGTGCCTCCAACTGGCTCCGTTTACACCCAGGCCTACCGTCTGATCAGGGAAGGCATCAGGCACCACTGGTCTGTGACCACGGTCAAAGTGGCTGGCATCCCATTCAAGAGGTATTTTTCCAATCTGCGGTAGCTGCGCATGAAATACTAATGGTGAATAGATACAAGAAGAACGGTACCCCCTTCTGGGAAACCGTCAAGCCCAGCACTCTGGGAGATAGCCGCCCTTCCTGGATGACATTTGACGACGCGTGGGTTGACGAAGTGGCCCGTGGTCTGAAGGCATGCCGGGTGTTCCTCTGGTACCCCCTGTACTGGCTCGCCTACAACCAAATGCTTAACAACCTCACCTCTCAAGCCGCCACTATGAAACTTGGTGGCGTCCCCAACGATATCATCAACAACTTCAACCCTCTCGCCCTCATCATCTTCATTCCGATCTTCGACCGAGGGCTCTACCCCTTCCTCCGCCGTGTCGGGATCAACTTCACGCCCCTCAAACGTATCACAGCTGGTTTCTTCATGGCCGGGAGCGGGATGATAGTCGTAGGTAAAACCCAAGGGTTAGATAAGAAGTTTTTTTACCTAACTTATTTTTCTTAGGCAACGGTCACTCAGCACTACATCTACAAGAAAGGCCCCTGCGGTAAAGAGGCTAACAGATGTCTGGAGGAGGGCATCCACGTCAACATCTCTGTTTGGGTGCAAGCTCTTACCTACATCCTTGGCGGTATTTCTGAGATTCTGGCCTCGGTCACATCCCTCGAATACGCTTTCACCAAGGCGCCCAAGAACATGCGCAGTCTCGTCCAGGCTGTCTCGATGTTCATGAACGCTTTCTCAGCTGCCCTTGGTCAGGCCTTTGTTGGTCTATCCACGGACCCGCTGCTCGTGTGGAACTACGCTGTGGTTGCGATCCTGGCCTTTGTTGGCGGCATTGGCTTCTGGTTAACCAACTACAAATTGGATAGGCAGGAAGATGAACTGAACTCTCTTGCTCAGTCGAAGTTTGTGGGTCAGGGCATGAAGCAGGATGAGGAGGCGAAAGCCTAAGTAATATTTCTAGTTGCGATGATCAATGATCATGTCATGTTGAGATGAATATGATTCATGAGACCTGATGCGATTTATGTACTAATAATCTAATACCGAATATCTATGTAGTCAACGGTTTACCACTCTGATCCTACCTCCTGCACGAAGTTTGAATGCACAAATTGATCATAAACCTTGACAAAGCCCTGTGTTCAGTCTTGAATAATATATCTCAAAATGCCTTTGTAGTTACTGATTCTTTCGGCCATCTTTCCGATCATCTCTTCTACCTGTCCTCACAACATAAAAAGAATCCTTTCTGGACGAGTAGCAGTTGGTTCTTTCTCCCAAGATTGTTCTAATAGAATACATTTCACACCCACAGTGCCCCCGACCGGACTACATTTTCCCGCCGGAGGCTCCCCGGCTGCCAAGGCCAGGCTGGCAAGCGCGAGTGGGGTTCCCCGACGGAAGAGTTGGCAATCTTCGACCACCACCTCACCAGCTCTCACCTTCGCTCAATGATGTCTAATACAAACAACGGGAATACTGACCCAATCACCCCGACTTCTCCATCCACCGGCACTGCACGCCCTTACCGATCTCACAGGGTTCCTGCCTGTGACTTCTGTCGGAAACGGAGAAGTCGATGCACTCAGGAGGTCGCCGATCAACCATGTCTTTTGTGCCGCATGCATGGGGCAGCTTGCTCCAGGGCCGGGGCCAGCAACACGCCCGCCCCCGCAAAGAGGCGGCGTGTGGGAAATAGCACGCCCCAGGAAGATCAGCGGTCGCAGCAGAGACTTTCGCCGTCGCCCAGGGCTAGACGCCAGTCAACGACTGCGACCGGGCTAAACGATGTGTCCAATCAATCTGGGCACATTATTGGGCCGGCCATGGCCCGTGACGCTCAGGTCCTTGAGCAATGCATGTCTTCGATCCCCCTGGCCAACTCGGCCGTCTCCTACGCGAGGCCTAATCCATATAGTGTTTACTCCGATGATACCCGCAACCCCGTCCTCTACATGAAGGTACCGAGGCAGCGTAACGTCGTACCTTCGGGGAACGGTACAGCAGGATTTCGACAATTCGAGGCTATGGAAAAAGTCGTTGAGCCATTGGGGCCTGAGCTGTGCAGCATGTTTGTATTGAACTCCCGACTCTTCAGGGCGCGTCTGACCGTGTTCTTTTTAGCTACTTCAATAACATCCATCCGGTGTTCCCGATTCTAGATGAGAAGACCGTTCTAGAGGCATATCAGCAGGATGGTCTCCCGTATGCCCTTGCATGTGAGATCTATGCTTGCTCGCTGCTACTCTGGAAATCATCATCAAAGATCAAGGCCAGCAACCGTCCGGTCCCGGACATAAAATATATGTGGAATCTGACGGTCAGCGCGATGAACGATGATTTCCTGAGCCCCAATTTCTCCACAATCTTGGCTTGCATCCTAGATCTACTGGGCCGCCCAATTACGTCCATCACGTACAACGCGGTTAATGTCGGTCGGGTGGTTGCGCTGTCTCAGAGCTTGGGGTTGAATCGCAATCCTGCCACTTGGGGTCTAGACCCGCGCCAAAAGAGCCTACGGATTCGGACTTGGTGGGGGATCCTGATCCATGACCAGTGGTATGCTCGTGATGATACTATGATGCTTGTGAATAGGAGAGAACTGACTGTTTCAGGGCGAGTCTATCTCATGGAACACCGCCGCATGTTCATAAATCCGTCTGGGATGTGCCGTTGCCGGATTCGGATTCGCTCATGGTCAAAATTACACCAGGCGAAGCTTTTCCAAGTGATGCTCGAGTCCAAGGAGCTTACTCCTTCATCTCTCTTTGCTCCCTAACGACCCTCCTCGGACATATCCTCCCATTGATATATGTCCTGGAGGTTCAACCTCTAGAAACCTCTTTTAGGGCACTACGACGCCACGAAACTACACTGAACGAGTGGGAGGAAGGTCTCCCGACATGGCTACGACCCACCTCTCCGGCCTTTCAGCGAAAAGCAGCAGGGGCGCTTAATCTCCAGCTCTCCTTCCTTGCCGTCAAGATGTGCCTTTCGAGGATCGCGCTCCTGGAGATCCACAGAGCAAATGAATCGCCAGCCGAAGAAGATAAACTATACTACCGCTCGAGATGTCGGAAGGCTGCGAGAGCAGTGATTGACTTTGCGACCAATTTGGCTGGCGACGAACTGGATGCTTTCTGGTTACCATATACAGCATACCACTTCACTTCAGCGGCAACTCTGACCCTCCGCTGCGCACTGGAAGCCGAAAACGCCGACACCGCGCAGGACTGCGTTGCGAGCGCGAAGAAACTCATCGACTTCCTGCGCCGCATGAAGAACGAGGTTAACTGGGATCTTGCTGATATCTGTCTCGGACAGTGTGAGGCTGTCGTTGACAAGCTGTGCGATACAGAGTATCTCGAGATGTGGCGGAAGAGCCCCCATCCGCCTTCACAGAATGCACCAGACAGGGGACACCAGAACCATGGTCATAATGGCGCCTCGTTAGCTCACTTGCCTGCCCGCAACGCTATACTGGACGCTGAAAATCAGAACGAGATCACATTCCAACAACAATCCTCAACCCACATGGCTGGCGATTCTGGAAACGATTGTTTTGCGGACCCGGGCTTCTTACAAACGTTCATGACGTTTGGGTCTATGCCAGGCATGATGGCCGAGTCTCCGGCGTTCCCTGACCTATGGCAGATGCCTTATCTGGACGAATACGGCTTTCGCGGGCTTTAGCATCGGACATGGTCAGCTCCTCTACGTCCTATCAATCGACTGACGCACGAGGGCCCTTGACGCTCGGTAGCGGCCGAAACTTGGGCCCTTGCTAGCGGTGATCTAATTATGACTTCGATGTACTCTCCGACCAGTGGTATCCTCACATGGACAAATCGCCACTGAGAGTAAAGTAAAGTCGGTTCCCATCGAATTTACTATCAAAAATGTAAGAGAACCGGTGTGACGGTCAATTGAACCTATATTCGTTCGTCCATTGTTTCATCAAAACAGCGCTAATTAGAGTACAGTCAACCATTATGCCTCAAACAAATTATCCAACATCACAGCACGTATCGGAAGCGAGGGTTCTGTTATTTTCTTTGTTAGTATGGTATCAAGAAGAGATGCGAAAGCGAAACTAACCTCAAAATCAGTTAAGTCGGCCAACTCTTCCTCCTCTGACTCGGGCGCATTAGAAGCAGCGGCATCCCGCTGTTTGTTCCTCCGAATTAATAGCAGGCGCAAGCAAATAGCCAGGACGGCCTGCGCGGCTAAGCAGGAAATGATGAGTTTGCAACCCGTCTGGTAAATAGGAGCTTCCTTCGAGAGGAAAGCATGCGGCCCGATGACGTTGCCAGCACAGTACGCCAAAAACACCAAGGCGACACTGGTCGCGCGCTTCGTGTACCCGCCCAGATTGGTGGCAGGCATCTGCAGCGCAAGGACTAGACTACACACGTAACCGCCGGTGATATAATACCCAAACAGCACAGCAATCTTTTGGGTCTCGTGTGACAGTTTCCACAACATGATGACACCGACTAGCGAGGGGATCAGGTACATGAACATCACGATTGTTCGGACGTTTGGAACTTTCGAAGCGATGAATGTCCCCGACAGGACCCAGAGGAGCTGGAAGGCGCCGAAGGGGATACCCAAGGCCACGGTCTGAAGCGAATCATCCGTCAAACCCTTGATGATGAGCTTGCTGAAGTTGGAAAGACCGCCGTTGATGGTCTCGTTGAGCAGCATGAACATAAACAGTATCCAGACTTGCGGGTCGATCAGGGCTTCACGGATCTGGTTCCATTTAATCTGATGACTGAGGATTCCAGTGCGGCCAAGTCGGCCACGGGCAACAAGAAGGGCTTTCTCCTCGAGCGTGAAACGCTTTGCGGTGATGATGTCGTCAGGTAGGAAATAGAGCATGATGAAGCCCCAGGCAACGGTAATACCGCCGAGGATGAGGAAGATGGCGCGCCATACGGCTATGGTTTTGATCTGGCCGATACCGTATGTGAGAACTCCGCCGATGATGGCGCCGAACCCATTCATACTATAAAAAATGCCTGCCCTGAATGGCTGATCGCGACGGGTATACCACATGCCCACGATCATCATGAAACAGTTTGTGATGGGGGCCTCGAAGATTCCCAACAACAAGCGACAGGCGGCGATGCCTCCGAAGTTGTTACAGGCTGCCGTGATCATGAGAATCGACCCCCAGGCAATGATATTGCCTGATACGACCTTGGCCATACGGGTCCTCTGTGCGAGCATCAGCCACGGATACTCTGCGACAAGATATCCAAAATAGAAGATCGAAGCCAGCCAGCTATATTGGTCACTGCTCATGTTGGTTGATGGCAGCAGGTCGAAGACGGCGGAGTAGGCCAAGGCTGTCTTGTCAATGTATTGCAGCATGTATGTCCCTGCTAAGAGAGGCAGGAGGATGAGGTCGACCTTGCGTACGAGGGCCTTGTTGCGGGCCTTGTCGGCCAAGAAGCCTTCAAGGTCATCGTTGGTGAAGTTGTGCTCTCTCAGAAAGATATCCGCCTCGTCCTGGTCGGTGACCGTGACCGTCCCAACTTGGACGTCTTTCTCTGGGACACTGCTTGGGGGAAGGGCCTTTTCGTCCATAATTGAGTAATGGATTGGAAAATGAAAATAGGACCGGACAGGTCCAATATATGGATGGACGAGTGCTATCTCGTATCTTTGCCATGGCAGATAACCCCAGATAGCAGTGGCCGTCGATGCTCTTATCATGTGGAGAACTGATAGACAGGACAGTTCATCCCATTGTTTTCCGATGTTGCGGGGTGCTGTTACTCCAACTCTCTCCAACGGACTCTGTCCGAGCACGTCAACGCTTCATTGGAGGATAAGTAGAGCTCGTTGCCCGTTGAGTCCTCTTCACGATCAATTAATCCGTCAATACTGTCCTGACAATTCGCAATGGCACGCCCTTCAGTCACCCTTCCCCAGGGCACCGTCGTCGGAGTCCAGCTCGAAGACAAATTTCCCCAGCCCGTTGACGCCTTTCTAGGAATACCCTATGCTCGCCCTCCCGTTGGCGATCTGCGCTTCAGACCAGCAGAGAAACTCCCCGAGTCAAAAGAAACCATTGACGCTTCCAAGTATGGTCCCGCTGCTCCAGGAAAGGCCCTGTTACCAGGTGGCCCGAAGCTCGAACAGAGCGAAGATTGCTTGAGCGTGAACATTTTCCGCCCCTCAAAGTCGAACACGTCTAAGAAGCTCCCCACGGCCATATACGTGCATGGCGGCGCGTATAATCGGGGGTCGGCGGCGATGCATAAGACCGCCTCGATGGTGGCTTGGTCTGAGGAACCCTTCGTCGCAGTCAGTTTTGGGTATCGTCTTGGGTCACTGGGTTTCCTGCCGTCCAGTGTGTCGAAGAAGGAAGGCTTGCTGAACCTTGGTCTCCGCGATCAGGTATTCCTGTTCCAGTGGGTGCAGGAGAACGTTGCGCAGTTTGGAGGAGACCCAAACAACGTCACACTGTTTGGTCTTTCTGCTGGTGCTCACTCGGTGAGATACCTTTCAAGCTCCTAGACTTTAACCCACTGACAAAGACAGATTGGACACCACCTGCTCAATTATGACGGCCACAAAGCCCCACTCTTCCACCGAGTTATCATTGAATCCGGATCACCAACCTCCCGTGCTGTCCGCCCCTACAACGCCGCTGTTCACGAAGAGCAATTCCGCGACTTCCTCAAAGAAGTCGGCTGCCCTTCGACTTTGTCCGAATCCGAAATCTTCCCTTTCCTGCGCTCCCTACCGAGCAAAATTATAACAGATGCGCAAACCACAGTCTTTGATAAGTATAACCCGTCCTTGCGCTGGGCCTTCCAACCAGTCATTGACGGAGACATTATTCCTCGGAAGCCGCTAGACACATGGGCTCAGGGATTATGGCACAAGGTGCCAATTATGACGGGCTTCAACTCGAACGAGGGGACAATGTACGTCGACAAGTCAATGTCAGACCCGGCGCAGTTCCGCGCATTCTGGCATGAGCTCCTCCCGCAATTGGCCGAGGAGGATCTGGACACCATCGACCGACTCTACTCAGACCCAAGCACCGATCCATCCTCTCCGTATGTTGAGACCAGAGAGGGCCATGGTCTTGGTCCGCAATACAAGCGCATCGAGGCAGCGTATGGACACTACGCATATGTCGCGCCTGCCCGGCAAACAGCACACTTCGCCTCCTCTGCTCCAGAGGCCCCGACTGTATACCTCTACCATTGGGCGCTTCCCAGGACCGTCGTCGGCCGTGCAAACCACGGTGACAACATGTACTATGAGACATTCAACGACGAAGTCACGGGTATCTCCGAATCGCAGAAGGAACTTTCAGGGACGCTGCACGCGTACCTCACCAGCTTTATCACGAAGGGAGATCCTAATGCCATCAGTGGCCGTTATGGGACGCGGCCGGAGTGGAAGCCTTATAACCCCAAGTCTCCTGGTGTTCTCGTCTTTGGCGAAGACAATGAGGAGCTTATTGGAGGCAAGGTTGGGCCACCCGCGAAGTTTGTGCCTGACGACTGGGCGACGGAAGAGACGAAGTTCTGGTGGAGCAAGGTTCCGATTTCGCAGCTTGCGTGATTGTTGTAAGTGTTGAATCTTTTGGCATGCGGGGTCATAGTAGTAGGTTGCCGTTGATGTGCAACGTTGGTTGTACTCGTTGAAACAAGGTGCAACTGGATTGAATATATAGATTACATACACGAACTGAAAAAGAATACTTTTTATACCATGCCTTTCCGAGGAAATATTTGTATAGCTGTTGACAGCGAGCGACCATGGCCAGGATACTTCGGCCGACGAGGCTATACCTACCTCACCCGACTCTCCCCACATGGGCCTTTCCGCCGCGTTCTCCGACGGAGAACTGCAGATTAGATAGAGAAGAATAGATAAGACGAAGATAAGATACACAGTCCACCAATCATGTCTTGACTTCTCCGACGTGTTCTGTGAGTAAATTGCCCGACGTTTACAGGAAAGGAATTGTAGATTTGGAGTATACAAATCGATCTGCTGCCAATCTATTAAAGCTGTTGACAAGTGAGATACACAATTAGATAAAAGCATTACTTCACGACCGTGTCCGGCATACACTCCGCAGCTAGCTGCACTATATATATCTGCATTTTATACATCCTCCCCCTCTTCAACTCATTCAACTCACTTAATTCCTATCCCACGATCTTCTAACTTCTCTCTGTCTCCCTTCATCCCTACATCGACCACGGCCAAAATGCCCGTAACCACAGTCCCTCTCCCCGAACCCTTCGCCTCCATCCCCCGCGAAACCCTCACATTCGGCCCCTCACCCATCCAACACCTCCCCAACATCACAAAAGCGCTCGGCGGCAAAGTCCCCATCTACGCCAAACGCGAAGACGTAAGCTCCGGCCTCGCTTTCGGCGGCAACAAGACCCGCAAACTCGAGTACCTGGCCTCCGACGCACTGGCCCAGGGCGCCGACACCCTGGTCTCAATTGGCGGATTCCAGTCAAACCACACGCGGCAGGTCGCTGCTGTTGCGCGGAAGCTCGGATTAGAAGCCGCGCTGGTGCAAGAGAAATGGGTTGACTGGGAGGATAAGAACGGGGTTTACGACAAGGCGGGGAATATCCAGCTTTCGAGGCTGATGGGCGCAGACACGAGGCTTGATATGAGCGGGTTTGGAATCGAGCATAAATCCACGCTGAAGAATCTGGAGGCCGAAATCAAGAGCAAGGGCGGGAAGCCCTATTACATTCCGGCCGGGGCCTCGGATCACCCGCTTGGTGGGCTTGGGTTCGCGCGCTGGGCGTTTGAGGTCGAGGAGCAGGAGAAGGAGCTGGGTGTTTTCTTTGATACGGTTATTGTGTGCGCTGTCACGGGGAGTACGATGGCGGGTATGATTGCGGGCTTCAAGCTCGCGCAGAGGGTCAATGGGTCGCCGCAGCGGAAGGTCATTGGGATTGATGCCTCGGCCACGGTCCAGCAGACGTTCGACCAGATCCTGCGGATTGCGAAGTTCACGGGTGTGAAGATCGGACTGTCAGAAGATGATATCACCGCTGAAGATGTTATCCTCGATGATCGGTACCACGGCGGCGTGTATGGGATTCCCGATCAGCAGACGATTGACGCGATTAAGTTTGGTGCTGAGACGGAGGCGTTTATCACGGATCCGGTTTACGAGGGAAAGTCTTTGGCTGGGTTGATGGATTTGGTCAGGAAGGGGGAGATCAAGGAGGGGTCGAATGTACTTTATGCCCATCTAGGGGGCCAGCTGGCGCTCAATGCTTACACTGCTATGTAAAGTGTTGCTTTTGGCGACCACGGCCTAGCAGTATATATATGATAACAAACACGAACACACCTTCCCAAGTTCGAAACTAGACTACAGTGGTGCTAGGGTTGGATGCAAGGCATAACTGCTCACTTTATATGCAGAATGGGAATGCGGTGCAACATTCCTAGGAGAATTTAGCAGCCAATCATTGACACCATGGATCGTGTATATCATTGCGTGCGTCGTGTCTAAACTACAAATAATAAAAGTTAAAAATATACAGCATTATAGGGTCTTCTTCTTCCCCAGGAACTCCATGTCCTCCTCTATGTTGCCGTACTTGGCAAACAACAGATCGCTGAAGTAGTTGTCTCGAGGCACCCAAGGGCCACGGTCCGCCGCCCTCGGCAGGTCTTTCTCTGCTTTCGTGACGTACGTAGACGAAAGATTGAGCAGTCGTCGCGGTTGAATGCGAGATTCGAGTGCGGGCGACATGCGCGGCGCAACAGCCTCGAACCCGCGCTTCTCGAGGTTCTTGAGAATGCGGCAGAGTGTATGGGCTGTAGCGTCGGCGCCGAGTGTCCAAGAGGCATTCGTGTATCCAATGATGAAGGCTGCATTGGGCATGTCTTGAAGCATCATTCCATGCCAAATAAACTTCTCGTTGAGCTGCACAGGGGCACCATCGACGCTAATAGAAGCGCCACCAGCGATTCTCAAACGGAGACCCGTCGCTGGCACAATCATGTCAGCCTCCAGGAACTCGCCCGAGTCGAGCTGGATGCCTTTTTGAGTCACTGTCGTAATGGTGTCGGTCTTCACAGATGCTTTACCCGAGTGCAAGCTCTGGTAAAAATCTCCATCTGGCGTAATACAAAGCCGCTGGTCCCAGGGGTTATAGCGAGGCTTGAAATGTGGGTCCCAAGGGACGTTCTTGGGCAATAATGATTTAGTTCTGAAGCGAAGAATGGAGCGCGCGATCAGCGGAAAAGCCTGGCAAAAGAGGAAGAAAATGCGAGAGGTGAGCATCCAGCTGATGCGGATGAGACGGCGAGCAATGAATGCTGGGAAAATCCGGGCCATGAAAGGTTTGTTGCGGTTCGGCAAGGCCAGAATGTACGTAGGACTCCGCTGGAGCATGGTGACGTGCTGTGCTTTCTCAACCAAATTTGGGAGCAGAGTGACTGCAGTGGCACCACTGCCAATGACGACGATGCGCTTGTCGGAGTAATCCAGATCTTCAGGCCAGAATTGAGGATGGATGACCTGCCCGGTGAAGTGGCCAAGGCCCGGAATTTCTGTTTGCAGCGGAGTCTGATAATCGTAGTAACCGGTTCCAAAAATGATGAACCGGGCGGCGATGACCTTCATGCGCTCGTCGGCGGTGTTTTCGACAGACAGCGACCAGGTGTTGTCCGCTGAAGACCAGTCGGCGCCGCGCAGGCGCTGGCCGTACTGTATGTGTTGATCAATGCCATGCTGCGCCGTCGTGCGCTTCAGATAGTTGACAATGGCCGGGCCCTCTGCGATCGGGTTATCTTGGTCCCACGGGTGCCAGGCGAAGCCGAATGTAAACAAATCCGAGTCGGAGCGAATGCCTGGGTATTTGAACAGATCCCAAGTACCACCGAGGTTTTCGCGGGCCTCAAGAATAGTATAGCGAAGGTGCGGAAGTTGAGTCTGCAGCCTGTAGGCGGCGTTGATGCCAGAGATGCCGGCGCCCACAATCACCACGTCGTAGTCGGTCATGGTGCTGTCACTGTCACTGTCACAGTAATGCAGGGAGGAAAAAGAAAAGGTTGCGGCATCCAAAAGGGTCACCGGTCTCTATCTGGGTTGATTATATAGGAGAAGGGCCCTGGACGATCTTGCTCTCGAGGCGTGGAGAGGAAGAGCCTGCCGAGGCTGGCCCAATTAGGAAATCGTCGCGAGCCGAGGAAGACTCCCTAAACACAAGTCCAGGCACCACCACAGTAGTAACGTTGGGACCTGGTCCGAGATGCGATCGAAGGGTGCCCTGGATGGAGTAACGCTTGCGACTCTTGCGAGCGATTCTCCCTAACACATGTCGCTCCTTCCTAGGCTGCCCCCCTGCTCGGTACCGTGCTTGCCGTGATCATGATCATGTTGTCTATATAGGCACCAGGGGAAAAGATAGAGCATCGATCAGGCCACGCAAGATGCTCACGGTCGCCCAGAAACTCGACTACATCCCCGCGTTGGCGAGCGTTGCGCTGACCTTTGTGTGGGCGTTGTTGACTCTCGCTTTCCGGGCTCCAGAGCATCCCACTCACTGGCTGCTGCACATTGGCTATGCAGTTTTCCGCAAGTTGACAGCGCGTCTGTCGGCGGCTCAGATGCAGTATGTTCTCGTTTCTGAGGTGCAGTGGCTTTATACTAACGTCGGCAGATATGTGCTCCCCGCCAGCAACCTCGTGTACAACCATTACATTCGCTCTGTGCGACAGAAGCCCCTGACTGTCCAGCTCGACCATGGAGCAATGGGCCATTGGATTGGTGACCCCGACGCAAAGAACATCCTGGTCTGGTACCACGGTATGATTCCCATTAATAATACTCCGTGGGCGTTTTCTGACAACACCAGGCGGCGGGTTCGCTCTCCCCGCAAACGTCGGCTACTTCAAATTTTTCGCCAAAATCGTCAACGACTGCAAACGCAACGGCCAATCGCTTGCAATCTTCGCCTTGACATACACCCTCGCCCCGGTAGCTACTTATCCAACCCAGCTGCGACAGGCGGTCGAAGCTCTACGGTACATCCTCGTTGAGAAGCGCCACTCCCCAGCGAATGTCCTGCTGGGTGGCGACTCGGCGGGCGGGAACCTGGTCGGCGGAGTCCTGTCCCATCTCACACACACCCACCCCGCCATTGAGCCCCTGAAACTCGCCGATGACGGCGCCCTCGCCGGAGCCGTCATGATAGCGCCCTGGACATCGCTCCAGCCCGACCTGAGTAACCGCGTCGTCGACTCGCGTGGCGATCTGATTACGCCTGTTGTCGGACCGCTTTGGGGAACCGGGTACGTAGGGAGCGCGCCGAAGGATTTCTACACGGACCTCTCGGATGCGCCGGTCGAGTGGTTTTCCAAGTTCCCCGTTCGCAAGATCCTAGTTTGTGGAGGCGAGCGCGAGATCCTGTTACCGGTTATCGAGGACTTTGTGGAGAAACTGCGCAAGGGATTCAGGGGGGAAGTAGAGTTTTGCATTGGCAAGGGTGAGGGCCATGTTGCGCCTGTTTATAATTTGTATTTGGGGGATAAGAGGGAAACGCAGCAGGGGGCTAGGGTGAAGGAGGTTATTTGTGGGTTGTTGGAGAAGATGTAAGCCCGGAGAAGGATTTATGCTTAATGAGTAAGACAATGTACTTACCTTTTATCTCAATACAGTTCATATAATAGATAACGAATCTTTGAGCTGATATATATATACAGCGGTCCAGGATCTATTCAATACCAAGTCTTCGCCTCGGCCACGTTCGGAAATTATACCTACAGTAAGGGTTCATACCAAGATCTCATTCTTCACTATAGTTCATTTCATCGTAAGTCAATAACCTGAGTATACATACATCTATATTTATTTTGCATAACTACTGCGTCTTCAGCTGCTTCTGTTGCCACTCGCGCAGCTTAATAAAATCCTGGGATCCGACTCCTCGCGCATACTCCTGAAACCAGTTCGGCAGCGCCCGCAACATGCTGAGTGGCGTGTAGTATCCGGGCAGGATGATCTGCCCGCTGCGCTGAGCGAGGACCTGCTTCACAACTGCTTCGGACACCATCTCCGGTGTAAGGATCGGTTGCTTGAATTCTGAACCCGCGTCGGTCAGGACCTTGATCATGGGCGTGCGAACCCAGAGTGGATGTACCACACTGGCACAGTCAGCTTAGCTTTAAGAACGGCTGGTGGTTCCTTGGGATAGAACGTACGTAGTCCGAACTTTCGGTGCCTTGTACCATAACCGCAGTTCCTGGCGCAGTCCTTCGTGGAACGCGAGCGCGCTTGCCTTGGTGCAGCTGTACTCCACCATGTCGCCGAGGCCAATGAAACTGGCCATCGAGGCAATCGTGATGACATGTCCGTGGTTCTTCTCGATCATGCTCGGCAGGAACTCGCGTACCATAAGGAAGTGTGAAACCGTGTTGACTTCGAAGGTCTGGCGGATTTTGGCCTCTGGTTTATCGAGAATTGTGCCATCGTGGCCAACGCCAGCGTTATTCACCAGTACAGTAGGATCGCCATGCTCTGCGCGGATCTTTGCTGCGACTTCAGCGATGCTCGCAGAGGAGGTGATGTCCGCCTTGTAGAAGGCAACGCCGGATGCTGCAGTAGATTAGCTACTGAAACGAGATGATTCTTTGAATGACGTACGCAGGGTAAAGGTCGGTTCCTGGATATCAAGAATCACCACACGAGCTCGCACTTTGGCTAAATCAAGCACCATCTGCTTGCCAATGCCGCTACAGCCTCCTGTAAGAAGGACGAGATCGTGGCCAGGGTCAAACCTGTCGCTCTCGCCATTGTTCATTGACCAATTGGTCAGGGCGCGGTTTGTCTGTCGCACGACAGCAAAGGCCAACAGCACCAAGAACGCTTTCGGGACGATGGGGTGTAGCAGGATGTTCTGCACGGCCGGCGGGAGCTGCTGGACAATAGGCTGCAGCCATTGTCCGAGGACGAGAGAGAGGTGCTCGAGTGATAGCGACATGGCGGCAAGGCAGATGCGAAACTAGGAAGTGTACTCAGGTGGCATGACTGGACTGCATGATCGCGATTATATACCGAGCTTGGGCCATGGTCTCCATCGGACCAGCGAGCCGAGGCACGCGCACAAGGGTCCAAGGGATGAAGGGATCATTGTTGTTGAGGCGAAAATATGGGGAAGGGTGTTGCGGTGGGCTTTCCGCTTTGGGCAATGCTTGCGATGGCGATCGCTTCCAGCAGCTCCGGCTTCACATGAAGTGCACGGGCTCAACTTTATCTGATCCAACTCCGCCCTCACATCAACAACATTTGGACGTCTTGCATCATTTGTTCAACCCTTATTTGGCAGCCTAGATCTACTCATATATCGACCGAGGTTGCCTCGCTCGGCCACGGTCAACAAACTGAGATGAATGGCTGAGCCCACAATGATCCCTCTTCTCGCTTTCACCCTTGGGGAGGCCTTCCTCCTCCAGCGCTCTGTCTTCACAGATACACCATTTAGAACCGTAGCACTCGGCTCAGCCGCTGCCAATCTGGTTCTCCTGGCGATCTACAACCTTTGGATATGGCCGTTCTTTTTCGATCCATTGCGCCGGTTACCTTGTGCTCCGGTATGTACACGGTACCTAAACAGTAGCTGATATGCTAACTCGGCCAGGGTCACTTTAGCATGACCCGGTTCATCTTCGACAACCCGCGCGGGCGTCTTCCCCTTGAGTGGATGAAGACGGTGCCTAATGATGGGCTTATCTACTTTCGAGATCTGCTCAACCGAAGCCAGCTCCTGGCGACGAACCACCAGGCGCTGCTCGATATCATGAGTACGAATACCTATGATTTTGAGAAGCCCTGGCGAGCACGCGAGTTTCTGGCCCGCATCATCGGCTTTGGGCTTATTTTGAGTGAGGGGGCTGCGCACAAAAGGCAGCGCCGGGCGCTTACGCCGTCGTTCAATGTGAAGAACGTTCGTGCCCTCTACACACTCATGTGGGACAAGACCGACCAGCTTCTGGCGGAGCTGGACAAGGAAATCGGCCAGCATCCGATGGAAGAAACAAGTGCAGACAGTAGTGGTTGGGGCAAGGTCGAAATGAGTGTTTGGGCGAGGTGCTTTCACCCCCTTCAACTGTATCAACAGACAGTAGCTAACTGTGCAGTCGTCTCACCTTGGATATCATCGGTCCCGCGGCCATGGGCCGAGATTTCCGCACTCTTCAGAATGCTGAAAACAAAGTAGCCGATAGTTTCCTCGCCATTCTAGAGCCAACCACCGAGAAGATCGCCTTCCTAGCCATCAATTTCCTTCTTCCGCAATGGTTCGCTAAAAAGCTTCCGTGGCATCTAAATCAAGTCATTGACGAGGAAGTCGGTTACCTGCGTGATTTGTGCAAGGAAATTGTGCATGAAAAAAGAGCCGCCATGGCAGCCACCAAGGCCACGGCCGCCGAGCTGGAAGCCGATATTCTCGGGTCGATGATGCTAAGCGGCGACTTTACCGACGATGAGCTAGTAGACCAAATGCTCACCTTCCTTGCAGCAGGCGTACGTCCTCCCATCACCGAGTGCAATGCGAATGCTAACAACAACAGCACGAAACAACCGCTAGCGCCCTGACTTGGACCTGTTATCTCCTGACCCTCCACCCAGATGTCCAGGAACGTCTCCGCGCCGAGATCCGCGGCGCTATCCGCTTCTCTACCCGTCCAATCACATACTCCGACCTTGAGTCTCTCCCGCTCCTTAACGGTGTCTGCCAAGAAGTTCTCCGACTCTATCCCACGGTCCCCTCAACTCTCCGCGAAGCAGTCCGTGACACGACCGTGGCCGGAAAGCACGTACCTAAGGGAACGAAGCTCGTCCTATGTCCGTACGCGATCAACCGCTCGCCCGAGTTCTGGGGAGACGACGGTGATGAATTCCGCCCTGAGCGCTGGATCGATACGGATCCTGCGACTGGGGAGGCAACCGTGAACAATCACGGCGGCGCCGCAACTAATTATGCCCAGATCACGTTTTTGCATGGGCAGCGGAGTTGTATTGGGAAGGACTTTGCGCGTGCTGAGTTGAGGTGTGCTGTTGCCGGGGTTGTTGGGAGGTTTGAGTTTGCGATGCAGGATCCTAAGCAAGAGATCCATATCGCTGGCGCAGTGACGACGAAGCCTGTTGAAGGGATGCATTTGCGGATGAGAAGGGTAGAAGGGTGGTGATTCGGGCTTGTATATGAGGAACTTGAGCTGTATGTATTGTATATGACTTAACGATGAAAATAATATTCGATACGCGGGCTTTGTGAACGCAGGCGCATCCGCAGTGCGGATATATCGTAGGTTATACATGCCAGAAGCTCCACCGCACAGGCACTGGTATTGACAAGACCGATTCAGGAATCATACTATACCTGAAAAACCACGGGGCCGTGTGATATCCCCACCAGATAACATAGGCCGCGTCCAGGATCCAGAGAAGTGCCCTCCCGGGAAACCAGTCGGGGAAAGAGCGCTCAAAGATATGAGTCCTTACAACTTCCTGCGCGGCAACGTAGAAAGGTAAGAGAAAGAAGAATATCATCATCATGAAGACAGCAAACGGGTCTCTGATAACGGCATACGTCCCAGCGGCGTGTACAAAGCCTGAAAGTACGAACGAGAGAACCCCCACGAGTACTCTGCGCACAGCCGGAGAAGTTTGTCGAGGAATAAGGACTGTGGAAGTACTGATTAACGCCCGACGACACAGATCATGCCACAACTTGCCCCATATATCTAGTCAGACGGTCAGAATACTATGTTCGGGTAGTACCAGGGGAAATACCTTTCAGCCGAGCTCGGAAGATATATCTCCACGAGCCAAATATAGCTGGATACATCCATGGATCTCCGGCCAGTGTCGGCGAAACGACATACAGCCCGCCCACAGCGAGCAGGGCAACCACGGCACGGATGCCATCGACGAAGCCGTAGCAGGCTGCCCAGCACGCCGGGGGCAGAATAAATCGACGGACGAATCTCTCGCTCGCTTCTGGTGATATGTGGAGTTGAAAACCAAGATACTGCGATTCGAAATGCTGTAGGGCAGCCGAATTGACCAGAGAATGGAAACTTGTGCAGAGCTGCGGATATCTCCGCCCGAAAAACGTTCTATATGCGTCGAAGAGAAAGTATGCGACGACGAGCTTGAGGACCTCTTTGGCGAGGAAGGTGAGACGGCTTTGATGCGGACCTTTCAGGGCGTACTTGTCTGTTCCTCTGGCTGAATATTTTTCCTGAGTTGGGTGCGATACAGCCCCATTTTGAGCTGGAGGTCTCTTGCTTAGCTTCTCCAGCCGAGGTAGATACTTGTCCGAGCCGTGTGCCCACCCTATATTTCTTGGGTTAATCAACAGATCGCAAGTCCAAAAAAGCCGTTGGCAACTCAACGCCGGTGGCATTGGCTCCCAAACATATACCGGGGACGTGGTCGAATCATCGCGTATTTTGACCAGTCGTTCCAACTGCCTTGGCTGGTTGATGATGAGCAGCTCGACGGCGCGAAGAGTAAAAGCAACGGAAAGGAATGCGTTTGCATAGGTAATGATGGTGAAGGAGCTGGGCGGGTAAAGGATCGAAGCGATCACGCTGCATATAATGGTGGAAGAATACAATCCTCGCTTCAAGGACAGAGACAGTGGAATTTTTTCGTCGGCAAAAAGGAATGCGCCGACCAAAAGAATGGTTGACATTTCCCTGAGAAAGATGATGGAGAGAAGCTGTCACATAAACCTTGGGACATGATGACGCGGGGAAATCTTGCGGAGGCATTCGGAATATTACCTACCTAGGCCAGCTTGTCATCTTCATGTGGGAAGCCATTTTCTCAACGTTGTTTGACAGATGACACTGTCGCCTGTTCTTCCTGGTTTCAAAGTTCGAACAAGTATAACTATGCGCACATCCATGATAGGGTACCTCGTACATTTCAGGTCCCACGTGAAGATGATTGACTGGCATTGTGCGATCAGGATAGGGCGGCTCATCGGACCTGCCCAGGTGCGGTAAGTCCGAGGTCCGGTCGCTCGGAGTTAAGGCAAACGCACCATTCAGCTTCTGTAATGATTCATTCCGACCATGTCCGCGCGATGAAAATAAGACTACTGCCAATCGGCCAGTTAAATATCTGACATACCCCCATACGTCGTTCTCATCGTCCGCTGCGCTCTCAATTCTGTCCGTCTTCCCGCCTGCATCAGCCGAAAGTCACTACTTCAAATCACCTCCATTCTCAGTGAAGTTCTATACCCGCTAGTATATCTTGACTCTGTCTGGACATAATGGATGATGAACACGCCGAGTCATCAGCGCCACGGAGACGCAGACCAGCACTGTCCTGTACGATTTGCAGGCGTCGCAAGCTGAAGTGCGACCGATCGCTCCCCTGCGGCCAATGTAGCAAAAGCAAAACGCCGGACTTGTGCGTCTTCTCTGCACCAAAACCATCTTCGAGTGCTGCATCCGGCTCCATTATTGCGAGTTCATCCTCCGAGCAAAGACATGCACTGAGCGACGAAGCCAGCTCCGTGGGAAACGGACTTTATGTGTTTGACTCCAAGCATCGCGTTACCAAGCCTCGTGGGCGGCAAGATGAACTACAAGAACTGCGAAGTCGCGTGCAGATGCTGGAATTAGCTCTTGCTAGAGGCAATTCAGTTCAACCACCCGAAAGCTCAGCCTACGACTATGTGTCGGAGCGCGCAGTCCGACCGGGCCCAGATCCCATCTCGGATCAAGTACGGAATTTACCTGATAGAGCTTGCTTCCGTGGCAGAAACGGTCGCACACGTTATCACGGACGTTCTAGCCCGGACCTAACATTGACGTTCGTAAGTGACCAAATGGGGATCTTGGTGGTTGCCGCCTGCTAACCATAATAGCTCCATGACGTACTGGCGTTTCTTCAAGGCCGTAAGAAAGATCTCAAGGCTGAAGGCTCTGATTACCAAAGGATGAAAAAGTTCAGGTTTGAACTGAAGTCTCGCGAATCAGAATACCAGGGTGAGGTGAAGCGAGGAATGCCTGCCTCACTCAAGGAGATGCTCCCACCGCGGAATATCACAGATGAACTGCTGAACCTTTACCTAACGACATTTGAGACTACATATCGAGTCTTGCATGTTCCAAGCTTTCTCAAAGAATACGAGGCCTACTGGGCAGAGCCCGAGGCTGCTGACACAACCTTCATTGCAAAGCTGCTAGCATTGATGGCTGCAGCAAGTTGTTTTATTAGCTCTTCGACTACGGTCAATGGTAATGATACGTTACATGATGTTGCTGTCACTTGGATGCTCGGGATTCAATCCTGGATTGGGTCTTTGTTCATGAGTGCCACAGCCAAGTTTGACATTATGCAAATACAGTGTCTCTTAATGATTGCGCGACAAGCGCTGGCTGTCGACGGTGATGTCGTCTGGCTTACCTCAGGCTCACTCATTCATTCAGCCACGATAATGGGGATGCATCGAGATCCTACACGTTTCCCCAAGATGACACCATTTTGGGCGGAGATGCGTCGTCGGCTATGGGCCACGGTCTTGGAGCTAGATTTGCAAGCGTCCATTGATGTTGGGGTTCCGCCGTCCATTGACCCCGACCAGTATGACTGCGATCCGCCATCGAATTTGGATGATTCGGATCTCACCGAGGAAATGCTGGAGGCTCCTATGGCAAAGGATAGAACAATATTGACCCAGTCCAGCTTCCAGACTATGCTTTCTCAGTCATTTCCGTTACGGGTGCGCATCGCTAAGGCCGTGAACAGTTTGCAATTTACATTGCCATATGATGAAGCGTTGCGTCTTGGAGAAGATCTTGTGCGATCCATGAACGAGGCTCTGATACCGTTTCCTACTCCCGCCTCGGACGGGGTCGCATCCTTCGCGAGGTCGTTTATGCTCTTTCTGCTACACAGGTCGCTTCTCATTCTGCACCGGCCTTTCTCCTTGAGTATCTCTTTGTCACCCAAATATTCTTACTCCCGCAAGGTTTGTTTGGAGTCATCGTTGGAGATGCTTAACCAGTTCGAGTCACCGCTACCCAGCTTGCAGTCGTCTCGAACACCTTGCTTAGGGCATATTGGTGGTGGGATGTTCCGCGAAGAGTGTGCTCATGCTGCTACAACGCTCTGCATAGAGTTGTCTCTACAGTTTACAGAAGCAGGGTCAAACTCAGCACCTTCAATGCATAGTGGATCATTAAATGACATAGTTCGGTCCCAGCAGGAAGTCTTACTACATGTTCTGGAGCGAACTCAGGAAAATTTTGGCAGTCGGATATCTCCAAAAGGAAATGGCTGCAAGGTCTTCGTCTTCACGAGCATGGCCCTGGCGTCTATCAAAGCGCGGCTGAATGGCGATGATCCTTTGAAGAAAATCGAGGAGGCTGCGCTGCGAGCAGTGAAGACATGTCATCACGTCATCCGAGGTTTGCCTTATGAGGATTTCCAGGGTCAGCCTGAAAGCGACTTATCGGATGTTGGACCGTCCGCTATACACACACCCGACTTTGGCTCTTCGACATCTGAGTTCTCATTTGATCCCCTGTCGATGCTGACCAGCAACCCGAACGATTTCTCGCCTCTCGACTTCAACAACATGTTTGATCCCTCCTACTACAAGATACCGGAACTTTGGGACCCCAATTTCCTTGCGCTTTGAATGACGGATAAACGATACACATCAAATTAATCTGCAATGCCCCACGGGATGTCGTTCATGGCCATAAATTTGCGAGGATCGCGCAACGTCGCTCATCAAGTCGCCTTGCTGCAAGGTAGAAGGATCACGAAAACATTAGGTAAAACCTGTCGACGGCCACCGGGGTTATCTATACAGGCTACAGCAGGGTGTTTCCGCATTCTAGTTGACTGTCAATACTATGGCAATCAGACGGATTATCGAGTTCCAAGCTCGATTTCGATGTTACCCAGTGTCGTGTATACTTGAGCGACCTCAAAAGTGGACCGCTGTTCCGTATATCCGGATGACGTGGGAATGATACACCACGGCTTTAGCCAATACACATATATCCTCTAACATCATGGATTGCAAGGTCATCTCATATAGCTATATAGTATAATTAAAAGATGACAAAGATCGCACTCTTCGGCTCCAGTGGCCAGATCGGCCAGGCAATGCTACGAGCCCTTCTCAGCACAACCTTCCACGAGATCATCTCGATTGACCAGCCTGCTTCGGAAGACAAGGCAAAAGATATCGCTGTCGGCTCAGAAGATAAGAGGCGACTGAAGACTGTTGGGATGGATATACTGGAAGCAAGCACGGATGAAATAGCCTCGACCCTGGGCGGAGTAGAGGTTGTTGTCAGCGCTTTGAACGGGAAAGCCCTCACAACGCAAGGCAAAATCCAAGACGCAGCCGACAAGGCTGGCGTCAGGCGCTTTTTCCCTAGCGAATACGGCATGCACCATATCTACACGGATGAGAAAGGTCGTGGAATCCTACACCCTGTATGACCTTCTGCAAGCCCCCTACGAGGCAGACGAACGCTAACATAATATATAGACATGGAACATGAAAGAGGAGGCCATTTCCATAGCTCTCCATCATCCGGCCATCGCCGCAGGCAGAATGACCTACACGCTCATCGGCTGCGGCGACTTCTACAACCAGGACCGAGAGAAAGTCTGGTGCCCATGGACTCAGCGAGATGCGCCCTCTTATACCCTGCACATTCTAGGCGACGCCGATGCTAAGGTCGACTTCACACATATCAACGACCTCGCGGCATTCCTGGTGGCCACTATCGATAATCCCAGTGTCTCGGAAAATAAGTCGCTAAACATCGTGAGTGACCACTTAAGTTACAACGAGCTAGCGGCTCTCTTGGAGAAGTACTCGAAGAAGGAAGTGAGGAAGGTGGTATATCCGATTGAGGCTATGCACCGCGCTTGGAAGGATCCGCAGGATATTCCGGAAGAGGTCAAAGGAAAGAGCGCCTTTCCGGATGACTTTTGGATGCTCGTCAAGGGGATGCAGGGGTCAGGGCGGTTCTGGCGGCCACCGGGCCAGGTCCATAATGATCTGTTCCCGGATCTGAAGGTCATGACGTTCGAAAGATACTTCCAGAGCAGATTTACATCTTGATATCTCTAGCCTTGTACATACCTCTACCTAATGCACGCAGAGCATGATTGATGCTTCTATTTGCGAAAGGTGTATATAACTAAAAGAACTGTATAGACCTCTCTTCTATACCTATCAATCACGTGCCGGGCCCGCGGAGTCCGGACAAGCCGACTGGTCTTCTCCACTCCCGCGACCTTCCTCTTCCAATTCTTCTCCGGGGTTCTTCCAGCCTCTTGGTTCAAATTAATAATGGATCCTTCGGCGATATTTTGCCTATTTCCAGTATGGCGGCGCTCACAGCGCCAATCGCGAGAATCCTGAAAAAAAGAAAGCTGCCGGTTGCGCACGTTCCTTGATGATCTTAGGGTACCGTAGGTTCACCACCGCTAGGTTGTCTGCACCCCAGAGATTCCTATCGCGATAACAAGATTGAACTCAAAGCTGATCATAGATTTCCATAACCGCCTATCAAACATGTCCTTCCTATCGCACCTCCAGATCACCCATCTTCAGCATAGGCGCGTGCTGTGAAGAGGAAAAGTGGAAAACCCGTTCGCAGTGGGGCAGCCATGATCTTTGGTGGCCACCCTACCGTATCCTCAGTCGATGCCAATCAGCTCTCTTTCTTTTGCTCGCTAGTCCCTCCTCCCACATCATGCTCTGCTTCTTCCCTGGTACGCTAGAGAGACCCAAGCTCCAGACCGGAATGACCTCGGGCCTTCTCAGGCGACCTGCCAGAGGGGGAAAATGACACGCCGGATGTTCGAAAATTCTTATTGTCACCGTTTTTTCTTCGGCGCCAATCAGAGAGATCTGGCGAATTTGAAACCCTCAGCATGGGCACCTTTCCGACTCTGGCCCAGGTGGCGCCTCCACTGAGAAGCAGCCTTAAGACATCATTGCGTGCCTGTGCGGGCCTGATTCCATCCATGATCGATACGCAGTGTCAACATCTTGACTCACCATCTGCTTGTGCTTCTTGGCTTCCTGATTGATCTAGTGCATGTAGTATATCCGCTGGCTTCTGCCTGGCTCAACAACGTATATAACGAGCAACGCCTTTCAGTCTGTTGATCGTAAAGGTGCACATTAGTATATGCGTTCCAGTTGACAGCGAACTCCTTTTCCTCAGTCCCTCTTGGGCAAAGTAAGGTGCAATGCCTGCTCGTCTTCACTCTCGCCCGCAAGGTAATTCTACTCTCACTTCCTCACAGGACCCTGGGAACCAAGCAGACAGACCATCCTCTCCGCAGGTGAACTTGACATATGAAGATGAAGATGCCATTGCAGAAATCCACCGCACACTTACAAACAAAGGCCATGGCCACGACTACTCGGAGCCCCATTCCTCCTTCGACAAGTTTTTAGAGGCAGAACTTGAAGCAGGAAGGAAGAAGCCCAATCTCGGAGTAGGTTTCCAGTCACTTTCGACGTGGGGTGCGGGAGGAGAGCATGTCAATGTCAAGACGCTAGGAACCGCATTATGGCGAACTCTCACCTTCCAAGATGTCTATGAAGGGACGGTAAAGCCGTGGATGAAGAAGCCCGAGCCGGAGAGTGGACGTCAATTGATCTGCGATCTCACTGGGGTGGTTCGGAGTGGCGAGATAATGCTGTAAGTACAACCATTCTGTATGCACTTTATAATGCTGACCAATTCTCATAGCGTTCTGGGACGACCAGGGGCTGGCTGCTCGACATTCCTACGCACAGTCGCTGGCTACCACTCGTCTTTCCTTGGTGTGACTGGCTCAATTGATTATTCCGGCCTCAGCCTAGAAGATGTCAAAAAACACTACCGAGGTCAGGTTGCCTATGTCCCGGAAGATGATGTGCATTTTCCCACGCTCAATGTTCGGCAGACTTTGGAGTTTGCACTCCAGAGCAAGACGCCAAAAAGATATCATGATAGAATTCCACGGTACCTCGAAATCTATGGCAGAGTGTTCGGGATGGCGCACACCATGGATACATTAGTTGGAAACGAGTATATTCGAGGAGTGTCCGGTGGTGAACGCAAACGAATTTCGATCATCGAATCCCTGGCCACAGACTCATCAGTGATGTGCTGGGATAACTCGACCAGAGGCCTTGATGCGTCGTCCGCTCTGGACTATGCTCGGAGCTTGCGTATCATGACAGATACTTGCGGCAAAGCTACGTTGATGACCCTGTACCAAGCGTCTGATGCTATCTACGACCTGGTCGATAAGGTCCTGCTTATCGATGAAGGGCGAATGATCTATCAAGGGCCCGCCCATGAGGCAATGGCATACTTCCAAGATCTGGGATACGAGTGTGGAGAGATGCAAACTGTAAGCGACTTTCTGACCAGTGTCACTGTTCCAGAAAGAAGAAGATTCCGGCCAGGGTGGGAAATGCGCGCACCGAAAGGACCAATCGAGCTGGAACAAGCGTTCAGAAAAAGCGCTGCGTTCTCAAACATACAGCAGGAAGTACTGAGATATAACGATCAGGGCCTCAGTGGGAAAAGCCGAGCCGAATCGCATGCCGATACCGATTACGGAAGTGTGGAGGACATCAAGAAGGCGCTTCAAACCGACAAGTCTCGATTTGTTTCCTCCAAATCTCCATATACTATCTCCTTTTTCCGACAGATAATCCTGTGTGCGAGACGCCAAGGATGGCAGATCCGGGGTCACATGTCACCTCTGTACATCAAGATCATTTCCTCAGTGATATACGGGCTTCTTGTCGGTTCCATGTTCTATGACCAACCGCAAACGACAGATGGCATGTACAGTCGGGGAGGTGTGATCTTCTACTCGTCCATTCTCCTGGCTTGGCTCCAGATGTCCGAATTGGAAGAGGCAATGCAAGGCCGCGACATCCTTAGTCGGCAAAAGAAGTTTGCGTTTGTCCGGCCTAGTGCTGTATGCCTGGCTCGGGTTATTGCAGACATTTTCATCGCCGCCCTTCTTGCTTTCCTCTATCTGATCGTGGTCTATTTTCTGTCAGGATTGAAGTCTGACGTAAGTTTCCAAGAGACATGTGTACGTTTATGAGCTAACCATATTCCAGGCCGGTGCCTTTTTCATCGATTTCCTCTTTATCTATATGTGCACAATATCGTTGACGGCTCAATTCCGATTGTTTGCCGCCGCGTCTTCCAACTTCGAGGTTGCCCTTCGCTACACCGGATTCCTTGTCTTGCTCTGCATTGTTTTCGGAGGCTATGTGCTCTCTGTAGACAAGATGATGGCCGATGTCCCCTGGGTCGGCTGGATAGCCTACATCACACCAGCGCTATACACATACGAGGCAATGATGGCCGCAGAATTCCACAATCTGAATTTCACTTGCTCACCAGCCTCAGTTGTCCCCGCAGGACCAGGCTATACTGATGTTGTTTACCAGACATGTGCCCAGGCTGGAAGTCAAGTAGGCAGCACTATCGTGAACGGGGATGACTACTTGGCCGAGAAATACGGTTTCTATTTCAGTAATGTTTGGCGCAACTTCGGTATTCTCTGTCTATTCACCGTTGCTTTTGTCGCGGCTCAATGCGTTCTGAGTGAAATCATGGAATGGGAACCGGACAGTGCCGGACCAGTCCAGTACAAAAAGTCGCGGAAACACCTGAAAACTACCAACGGTGACGATGAAGAAGGGCGTCCTGTGCCTATTGATCTAACAGCGCCAGCATCGTCAAGTCTAGATGGCCAATCTGCGCAAGCTCTTACTGCAACCAAGTCGGCCTTCACTTGGGATAACCTCGAGCTATTTGTGCGAGTGAACAAGGAGGAGCGTAAGTTGTTAGATGGCGTTAGCGGATACTGTAGACCCGGTTCCCTCACTGCTTTGGTTGGAGCTTCTGGAGCTGGGAAATCAACATGTAAGTGACCCTAGCCCGTCTGGGTTTTGCATATTCTGACCCTTACAGTGTTGACTGCACTTACCCAAAGACAAACCTCCGGCGAACTCACGGGCACGATATATATTGACGGAAATCCTATCGACTCTTCATTCAAATCACGCATCGGCTACTGCGAACAAATGGATATCCATGATGAGAGCAGTACTATTCGCGAAGCCTTCGAGTTCTCTGCACTTCTTCGCCAGGATTCGGACGTACCTGATAGCGAGAAGTTGGCTTATGCAAGAACGGTCTTAGCGACATTGGACTTGGTTGACCTGCAGAACGCCATCATCGGCTCGTTAGATATCGAGAAGAGAAAGCGTGTGACTATCGGCGTTGAGCTTTGCGCAAGACCGGAACTGCTATTGTTCCTGGACGAGCCCACAAGTGGTCTAGACAGCCAGGCTGCGTCCAGTATCTGTGCGCTTCTAAGACGGCTCGCCGACCAGGGTCTGGCGATTTTATGTACCATCCACCAAGCCAACCAGGAACAGTTCGAGCTGTTCGATCGAGTACTGGCTCTAAGTCCTGGTGGTAAGACCTACTATTTTGGAGAAGTAGGGGAATCCGGGCGCTCTATCTTCGAGTACTTCACCAAATATGGTGAGAAACCTGAGAATGTCACCAATGCTGCCGATTACATTATTGAAGTTGTTGTTGGAGGTACAAAGAACACGGCGAGCAGTGTCGATTGGGCTGAAGTTTGGAACCAGTCTTTCGAAGCCCAGCAGGTCCAGCAGGAAATATCTGGGATCAGAAACATGAAGCGTGAGAGCTCGAATGTCGCTGCTGAACCACGCAGCATGCCCGCACTTCCTCGCCAGATTCTTTTCTTGACCCAAAGAACATTTCGGCAGTTCTGGAGAAGTCCCGAGTACCCATACTCTCGACTCTACGCTTCGTTCTTGCACGCCCTCATCAACGGTCTTACTTATCTCCAGATCTCTAATAGCGCCACAGACCTGCAGTCCAAGGCCTTCTCGTGCTTCTTGGTTCTGATGCTGGTACCTGAGTTCATCAATGCGATCAGTATGCGGTTCATCATGAACCGTGACCTGTGGCAGGCTCGAGAAGGGCCCAGCGGAGCATATGGATGGGTTGCGTTCTGCACTGCTCAGATTATCTGTGAAATACCGTACGCCATAATCAGTGCAGTGGTCTTCTTCGTCCTGTACTATTTCATTGTCGGGCTTCCTCTGGGATTCGCTGCGGGATACAGCTTCATTATGTTTTTCTTGTTTTTCCTGTTCGCAACTTCCTGGGGGCAATGGATCGCTGCCTTGAGGTGAGTCTTCCAACCAGCCTTACCCTGGCCTTCTCGCTATTAGTTCATGCTAACATCCGGATAACACAGTGCCGACTCAATGGTGGCAGCAACTCTAATGCCCTTCTTCATTATCATGTGCGAGTTGTTCAACGGTATTTTGCAACCTCACCAAAATATGCCTGTGTTCTGGGCGTACACTATGTACTACACGACACCCTTTACGTACTGGATTGGAGGCGTCTTGACATCAGTCCTCCGCGGCGTGCCAGTCATTTGTGATGAGAGCGAATTGACCGTGTTCCAAAGCCCTCTTAACATGACCTGTGGGGAGTATGCGGGCTCATGGCTTGCTGAAAAGGGCGTTGGGTATCTCTCCAACCCTGATAGTTCAGGGGAGTGCGGATACTGCGAGTATAGTTACGGAGATGATGTAAGATCCCTAGCCTTGAGTGCGTTCTGTTCCATCAGCGCGTTGCTAATACTGGTGCTAGTATCTCTCAACCATCGGACTTGACTCGTCCAAGATCTGGCCGTATTTTGGCATTTTCCTGGCGTTTGTAATCACCAACTACCTGATGGTATACCTGCTTTTCTATGTGAGGTCGGTGATGAAGCCATTCTGGCGACGTACATAATCTGCATCTGCCGAGCTGTGTATCTATTAGACAACGCTAATATATACTGCATTCTCATCAGGCATCTCAATTAATCGATTCAATATACCCTGTACCTTGCACAAGTTATTGTTGTTTGACCTGATTGGTGGGATTGAGTCTTGTTCTTCGGAGAAATTACGGCCAGGAGCTTCATGAGAGGATCATCGTGCCCCAGATCCGGGGTAGGATCTCCAATTTCAATTTCGAATGCAGCAACTGCCGCGTTTCATTTTCCGACGTCTAGAGACACTCAATGTCTTTTCCCCCACCAGTTGAGCTCTTGGATCTCCACCGGAAATGGCCATGGCCCATTACAGGCGGAGAAATTGCAGCACTGATGCGTGCGATGAGCTCACACAGCTCGCCTTATAAAAGCTCGATTTAGCAGAGCTGCTCCAGCTCAATTCAGAAGATCAACCACCAGATACCATGAAATTGAACTTCTTCCCTCTCGTCGCGCTCTGCGCAACCACCGCCAGCAGTCTTGCTTTCGATTCGTTCGCTAGCCAACCAGCAGGCGCAAACGTATACTCCGTCAAGGATGTAGCGGAGCTCAGAAGAATCGGCGCACACAACCATCCAAAGCACCATGACCGACGGACGGTGACAATACGCCACTCACACAACGATACTGACGACATCTCAGCTGACTTTCTCTGGGGCTTGCGTCGCGCGAATCATGGTGGACGGTTGCTTCTGAAGAAGGGGAAGAAGTATGTTATTGGGCGGAAGCTTGATCTCACATTTTTGGATAATGTCGAGGTGCAGCTAGACGGGGAGTTGAAGGTATGATTCTCTCAGAGCGTGCTGTGTGTACTCATTAGCGAATCGCCGATGCTAATGTGGCGTCCCAGTTTACCGACGACGTAGAGTACTGGCAAGAAAACAACTTTTACTATGACTTCCAGAAGTCGATTTCCTTTTGGCGATGGGGAGGCCGCGATGTCAGCATTTTTGGAAGCGGGACGCTGAATGGGAATGGACAGCGGTGGTATAATGAATTTGCTGGGCAGGAGATTCTGGTATTGTTCAATTCCTTCTTTTCTGTCTGGGCGACGATGGAGCTAATGGGTTGAAGGATCCTGACAACACGTACTACCGACCCATCCTCTTCGTGGCGGAAAACGCAACGCGTCTCTCCGTGGAAGGCATCACGGAGCTCAACTCGCCATGCTGGACGAACTTCCTCGTTGACAGCAAGGATATTTCGTTCGATGGCGTCTTCATCAATGCCTATTCAACGAACGCCTCGGTACGTCTCCAGGCTTCGATTTCTTCCAGAGATACATATGACTGATCATACCTGATAGGCTGAACCGAAGAACACCGACGGGTTCGACTCACTCAGAGTGAACGGGCTGTCCGTTACCAACTCCCGCGTTGACATCGGTGACGACTGCTTCTCTCCCAAACCCAACACCACCAACATCTTCGTGCAAAACCTGTGGTGTAATAACACCCATGGCGTTTCCATGGGAAGTATCGGGCAGTACCCTGGCGTCGTGGATATCATCGAGCATGCGTACATCGAGAATGTCACGCTCCTCAATGGCGAGGTATGTGAAGCCCCCAACCTGCTGCCAGTGCCTACTAAGCCTAACAATTGCAGAACGGCGCGCGTCTTAAAGCTTGGGCCGGCGAAGGAGTCGGCTTGGGGAGGATCAACAACATCACGTACAAGAACATCCACGTGGAGAACACCGATTACCCCGTCGTTTTAGACTCATGCTACTTCAACATCGCGGCAGACGAGTGCGCGGCCTACCCGTCGCAGGTCAATGTGACGGACATCACATTCGAGAATGTGTATGGGACATCGTCGGGTGCTGAGGGGGATGTTGTTGCTGAGATTATCTGTTCGCCAAATGCGGTCTGTGAGGGCATCGCACTGAAAGATATCCATGTCAAAACGCCAGAGGGACAAGAGGGTATTGTTGTGTGTGAAGGGGTCTCTGGGGGAGTTGGAGTCGAGTGTCAGGCTGCTTCAGATTCTGAGTAGGCTGCTGTGTTAGTGGTTGCGTGAAGACTTATCAACAATGGTTCTCTAATAAATGTTACCTTCTCCAACCCTTTACTACTCAGAGCTTGGGGTGTGGACACTCATGGATCCTGATGTTGGCTACAATCAAAAGCTGGTCTGGTTGTGAAATACCTAAACCTTGGCCGGTAGCAGGGAGTCTGAATTTGACCAGGCATGCTGAAGCAGTTGAAGTTTGGTAGAGGGCGTGATATAGTAATAGGCTGCGGCCGGATGGTTAAGATGAAGAGCAAAGAAATCGTGGAAACAGTGTGATACAGACTGGGCCATGGCCAGGCTGGTGAGTCCAGTGCAGTGTTTGAGTGGGAATGTGTCTCACGGAGTAAAACAGCCGCCATTTGGCTCACAAAACTCCTCTCCCTTTCACCATCTTCCCTTTCCTCATAACACATCCTCTTCCATCCTCTCCCATCAACCACTCACTCGCCCTTCGCCTTGTCATCATTCACAAGCATCATGGCGAGGCTACTCGATCTCCCTAACGAGATTCTTCTCATCATCTGCTCTTTCTTGAACCATATGGTTCTCAAGGACGAGCTCCAAGCTCTGTGCCTAACCTCCAAGCTTCTCTACTCAATCGCACAACCCTTCCTGTACACTCGTTTTGAGCAAGAGGCGCGCTGCCAATGTTGCAACAGCCGAGGTATCCTACCTGGACACCTCGTTGCCATGGTCCGTTTAGTTAGGACACTAATCGAACGCCCTGATCTCGCCGCTCGTGTTCAATCCGCCACCATCGACACCTCTGGGAACGATGGCGACGATGATCATGTCCGTAAAGCCGACTTTGACGCTGACACGTTGAAAACGCTCGCAGCTGGCTTCCAGCAGCTCCCTACCGACAAGGCTCAATTGTTCATGGAGACAGTAGAGATGAGATCAAACCCTTACCTGCTCCTCTTGGCTTCTCGCATGTCCAACCTCGAGCATCTAGAACTCGTGTTAGGTGATGAAGGACTGGATGACCTTGCGCCTTTGTTCACCCCGTGCTCTGAAGACGTCATGATTGAACAACCATACCTGAGGAACTTGAAGTCAGTGGTCATAAGGGATATGATGCTTACCGAATGTGATTCCATGATGAACCTCGATGCCGTCATGGAGCTTCCTCAGCTCGAGAACTTTACCTTGATCGGCCTCAACGGCGACGCTGAGGGTTGTCCGCTATTCGATTTCGAGCCAGGCACCTTGAACATCTCAACTCTTACACTTGCAGCAGCTTGCCTCGACGCCGAGACTCTGACTCAGATAGTGGCTGGATGCAAAGAGCTCAAAGTCTTCAAGTATTTCGGAAGCAACTTCGACGGGAACACCATGAACGAATCAATCCAGTTTGACCCCTCAGAGCTTGTCTCGATTCTTGCCTCGCAGCAGGAAAATATCGTGACACTTTTCTGCAATCTCGACTGGGAGGTGATCGATCCCACCAACTGGAGCAGATGCTCGAAGTACGGCTCCTTCGCATCATTCACAAAGCTCATGCATCTAGAAATTGACCAGTACCCATACACTCCGAAGCAGGAACTCCCTCCCAGCATTCATTGCCTCCATATCAAGAACATCAGCTTCCCGATCATCGATGTCGTGGGCTCCCTGAACATGCGTACCATCGACTTGCCCGAGCACGAGCTGCATGACGAACTCCCAAACTTCTCGATCCTCACCCTTGTTCCCCGTGATGACATCCCGAATGGAATGTTGGATGTTCCCGCCCGCTATGACCATACTGATGAAGATCTTAAGACCATGGGTGAGTTCGACTTCGCCTGTGAGACGCTCTGGGACATTGCCAAGGAGTGCCGTTTCTCGGTGAGGGTGGAACATGACGTTTGGGCCCGGTTCCATGGTTACTTTTAGGTGTTCGCATAGGGTGGAAAGCGTCCATAGTCAGAAGGCTGATTTCTGCGTCTGTTGTTGTTCTAGGAGGCATCTGTCGTGAATTGTTTCGAGTTTCAGACCGTGGTCAGGTATCGGTTCTGCCGGAAGCTGCAATTTTATTCGAAATCATGGTCTAGCCTATCAGCTAGGAGTATTCACCACATAATAAGGACTTGTTCGCTACCATAACCGGGCCATGGACGATCATACCACCGCCATTGTATGTGAAGTATTGACCGGTTTGCCCTATATGGTACAATTAACCACTCCGCTATAGATAAGTCCCGATGACATTCTAAGCAATGGTTCGGAATATGGGTGTAACCATTGATATCCCGAGACACCTAGCAGCTCACACCAATAAAGTGACGCTGAACTGCCGAGCAGCTTACACGGACCACGTTCAGAAAGCTAGAAACAGCTGCGTCTCTGCACTGGCGAGTAGCACGGCGGCTTCGACCTTATTTAGAATGAGCCCGGGATCGGAACACGAGAGCCCATCGCTTAGCTTTCCTCTGCCGTTGTTAGGTTTTAACGACATCAATCTTCTTTTGGTAAGTGGGAATTTGCTACACCAAGCCCTTTTCCTGCGTCTAGCAAACAATTAGCCTACCATCTAGCAATACGCACTCCAGCCTACTTTATGCTGTCTTGTCAGGATGACGAGACGTGCATGGTGGACGCGCAGCGACCAAGGCCAAGAAAGGCTGAGTCCGCGCCCAAAGGACCATCGGAGTCGAAGAATCATCTTAGCCTTGGGAAACGGCCACTCAGGTTCGCCACAATCTCCCAGTGCTGGCGTCCGTCGGGAGCCCGAAAGTCAAATTCAAGTTCAACGGAACCAACAAAGGAGGGCGGCGGCGGCGCAATGTGATGCCAGGGCACAAAGGCTTCGTATCCCCATGGCGCTGAATTTACTGTGGCAGTGTTTCAGACTTTTTGTCATGGTTGTCATCGAAAGAAAAGGACCTGGCCTTGGATGCTTTGACATATATAGAGGGGCCATCCCGAGGTGGTTTGCGTCTCCATCATAACCAAACAACGATCTTATTCTCAAGACCCACGATGAAATGCTCGATGCTTTCATTGAAAGCCGTTACATTAGGACTCTGTATGTTCTCCTGAAAGCTATTTTTAGTCCAGGCATTACTTTCACCTTTTCGACCCTGCTGACCTGAACAGGTTCCTTTGTCGCGGCCCAAATTTCCACCTTCTCGCCCAGAGGACAGAGTGAGATCTTCTATAGTATCACAGTTCCTGAGACCACTGTGTCCTCGGGCTCTGGGCCAATCTTTTTTCAAATTCAAGCTCCCACAACCCTAAGATGGGTAGCTCTTGGTCAGGGGACAGAAATGACGGGTGCAAGCATTTTTGTTCTCTATTCATCGTCGTCCAATGTGACGATATCTCCCCGCTTAGGGACGGGGCATGTCCAGCCCAGACACAATCCTGACGCCGAGGTTTCCCTCCTTGAAGGCAGTGGCGTTCAATCTGGCATAATGACCGCGAACGTGCGGTGTGATACGTGCAATTATTCAGCCAACTCTCCTTGGATCTTTGCATATAAACAAGGTGCCTCCCTCAATTCAGACAGCCCCGAAGCCGACATTAGCATTCACGATGACTTTGGCACAACCAGTATTGCCTTGTCAAAGGCCGTTACGACGTCAGATAACCCCTTCCTCGAGTACGACCCAAGGGACCCCAGCAATCAGCCTAGTGAAATTGGAGGACAGGCGGAAGGCGGCGCAGGTATACTGATTGCTCACGGTGTCATCATGAGCATTTCGTTTGTCATTCTGTTCCCATCTTTTGGACTGCTTCTTGCTCTTCCTCTGCGTGGCGTTGTCCCCAAGGTGCATGCGCCACTTCAGGTCTTCACCCTTTTGTTGGTTATTGCAGGAATGGGGTTGGGTCTCAAAATGGGAACAGACGGTGATATTCTAGATAACGCCCACCCAATTCTTGGCCTCATTGTCATTGGTCTTCTCATTTTGTTCCAGCCAGCCATGGGCCTGTTACAGCACCTGCATTTTCGGCGCACGGGAGGAAAGAGTATCTTTGCCATTCTCCATCGATGGCTAGGTCGTTTTGCGATCATCCTAGGAGTCGTTACCGGAGGCCTTGGTTTCCGCTTGGCAGGCATCGACCGTAATCCCAAGACGCCCAAGAGTGCTGTGATTGCTTATGCTGTGATTGCCGGCGTAATGGGCTTGTTGTACATGGCTGTTCAAGTGTTGAGGGCTGTTAGGAAACACGCAGAACAAAACAGGGATCCGCATAGGCGCAAGAAGTCCGATGGTACGGCAGAGTCTGGAGTCAATGGTCAGAATGCAAGGTGAGATGTGGAGATAGACGATACTCTTGAGCTTAGCGACGGAATGATTAATGAATGAGACTGACATATGATTTGTTAATGAGCTGATGATGTTGTCGAGAAGTGACATACCAGTGTAGTCCAATTAGCGTGAGGTTGAAGCCGATTGCGTATGCTGGGCTTGCTGGATACGGATCGTGGTGGTGGCTGTGCTGGGCCGCGTACCGAGATACGTAGCAAGCCACCTTCCGTATTGCTCTCTTCGAACAGACCGGTGGAACACTGGCCTCGGCCTAGGCAACAGAGAAAGAAGAAAGACGGCGAGGTCCCTAAAATAGGATGACTAGAAGGAAAGGTTCCACCCCGTCTTCGAAGGGTCTGCCACCTGCTCGCAAGGTATCGCCGTTGTCTCTCGTGCTCCCAAAAACATCTGCATTCCAAGCTGGAGAAATTCCTATTCCAAGATTGATTAATTTGATGGTGGACGAATGACTGACTTCGACATCCCCGGATCCAGCTTATCTCCAACTCCCCATGTTCCCACGCTTTCCCCGCTGTCTTCGACCTTCCCCGCTCACTTGAGGACCCTTCCGAAGCGTACGGACAGATTCCCTCAGCAGACCCTTCTCCAAAAGTGAGACCATGGTCTGTTACTTCCAATACTGGCTTTGCGATGTTTGGAATTCAAGTCCTCATCGCCCGCTTGATAGAAAGCCCGAATGGTCCAGATGAAGGAAGAAACAGTTGGGTTTTGATCTTGCAGCCCCGATAAACGCCATGCTTGCTCTTCTCCCCTATCGGTATCTATCCATCATTTGCCAGGCTATTCTACCTGCAAATTGTTGTTCTCTGGGGTATTCCCGGATTTTCTCGGCCTGCAGTAGACAATCTGGCCATGGTCGACTCGGGAGATCTCCGCACCCTTTTGCCCTGGATTGGCGGTTCTTCCTCTTTGGGGAAAGTAAGTGGGCGCTTCTTCCTGATCCGGACAAGCTTGTTCAAGACTCAGCGTCTTCTTTCTTACCCCTGGGCTCGCACGTCGCGAGTCAGTATGGGAAGACCAGACGTTATCGCACTCTCATACCATTACGCCCGCCGCGGGATACAGGGCCGCATTCCCGTATAGTGCCCTTCGCAGTGGCGGCTTAGCCATCATTCGACAAGGTTAGTTGCTCAAGCTTCCTGGGCTCGATATACACTGGCCGCCGTTCGACTTGATTGGTTTGCTATCTAGAACTGCAAGGTACTCACGATCAGGTATCAACAGCTCTGAGGGTTCAATGTCTTGGTATTTTCAAGGTTTCTTTCTTCAAGGCTCCGAGAATCTACAAAGAAGCAATCCCAAGTAACAGCACGCTGAAAGTTCCACTTCTGGACTCCAAGCCACCAAGACCCTAAAACTGCTGAGCAGACCGCTAGCTATGCTCTAGTCAAGAACATGGGGTTTCTCCGCATTTTCTCCAGGTTATCACGGTAAAACCTCGGGGCATTACCTGCGTACAGAAGAAGCAAAGGCGGGGCATCAGAAAAAGCAAAGAAACGAATGCAAGCATAGGTATATGACCACTTGGCCAACGCTCACTGTGCTCTGCTGCCGTATGAACACAAGTTGCTCAGCACCGTCTACTGAGGAAAGCGACCAGACTCGTACAAAAGTATGACTGTGAAAGCCACTCGGAATCCTGGCCATAGTCAACTGGAGGCCGTCCTCCCCGAGACGACATGGTGGAAGAGTCCTCAGTTGCGCCGTCTCAATTTCTGCATATTGTCCTTGATCTTTTTCTGTAAGTGGCCTTTTTGCACCCATACCACATATAGCATGTTGACATTACCAGCCTCTTCAAACGGCTTTGACGGCTCCTTGGTCAATGGACTCCAATCGTTGGACAGCTGGATGGACTTTATGGGACAACCGACTGGTACCTGGTTAGGTTTCATCAACGGAATCTATAGCGTCGGTGCACTTGTCTCGACCATTATCGCAGCTTGGTGCAGTAACAAGTTTGGCCGAAAGCCTTGCGTGTGGATAGGCATTATTTTCATCCTCGCTGGTTCAATCCTAGGCGCCGCTGCTCCCAACGATACCATCTATATTGTGTCAAGGGTGCTCGTCGGTATGAGTGGCGGCTTCATAACTAACGCTCCACCACTATTGTTGAATGAGATTGCGTACCCGGCCCACCGGAGTATATCATCCTGTCTTTTCATGATAGGGTACTACGTCGGATCCGTCATCTCCTCCTGGGTTACTTTCCAAACTCGCACATACAGTTCGTCTTGGTCGTGGAGACTGCCTACACTGCTACAGATGCTCTGTCCTCTTATCGCCATTCCCGGTTTCCTCCTTACTCCTGAGAGTCCTCGCTGGCTGGTTAGTCGGGATCGTGTGGAAGATGCGCGTAAAGTGCTTGCCGAGTTACACGCGAATGGTGACCTAACTGCACCATTGGTTACCTATGAGGTTCAAGAGATCCGAGAAGCGATTGCTGCGGAGAAAGAATCGGACGCCTCGTCAAGCTACTCGGACATGGTCAAAACACCAGGGAACCGCCGACGCCTTTTGATCACCGTAACGTTAGGTATCTTCTCTCAGTGGTCTGGCAATGGTGTGGTCTCTTATTATCTGGCCATGGTGCTGGACACTGTCGGTGTAACGGCTACAAAAGACCAGCTACTTATATCCGGGTGTCTCCAAATATGGAACCTTATATTCGGCACCATTGGCGCATTGCTGGTGGAACGGGCTGGCAGGCGTCCTCTGTTCCTGACTTCTGCAGGCGTAATGCTTGTCAGCTACATCATTATTACCGGTCTGTCAGGATCATTTGCGTCCACTGGCTCTGCACCGATAGGAACAGCGGTGATTCCATTTATCTTCATCTACTTTGCGGGTTATGATATAGCTTTGTGAGTGCAATTCTCTCCTTTATCAAAAGTCGTGGACCCTAACCCGCCGCCACAGAACTCCCTTGCTGGTGGCTTATCCAACTGAAATATGGCCATTCACACTTCGCTCCCGTGGCCTGAGCGTCGCCTGGCTTTCTGCAATCGGGGCCTTGATTTTCAACACCTTCGTCAATCCTGTTGCGCTATCAGCCCTTGGGTGGAGGTATTACTTCGTGTTTGTCGCTATTCTCATTTGCTACGCTCTTACGTCGTACTTTTTCTACCCGGAGACCAAGGGATACACTCTGGAGAATATGGCCCTTATCTTTGATGGTCATGACCGGACAGTCAATGATTCGGAAAAAGCTGGGTCATCTGGAGATGGTGGTGAGAAAGTGCCCGGAACCAATGAAGTGGAGCGAGTGTAAGGAACGGGGCTACACAAGATTCGATTGGCATACTGAGCTTGGGCAAGAATGGCATGGTGATAGAACCTGGACATTTGTTTGCGTCCTTGCACCATTAACCCATATAAACCAGTTCTTTAGTGGAACAGGGTCTATCCTTGGTTAGACCCAGTTTGCTTTTGCAACAAGATACCATTGCGAGCTGTGGTGCTATGATTTCCCATGTTGTTCTGAGAATGACGTGGGTCTCCTGCAATTCGCTAAATGAATCGGGTAGCACCCTATACTAAGCAACTGAATGAGATAGCACCCGTACAAAATTAAGCCTAATAAAGTATAGCGCCGCGTCTTAGCTAGTAAAGGCCACCCCGCTAAGACGCCCTGTAGCTAATAGGAATTCGCGGCGGCCAACATTAACTCCTTACCACCAAGGCCTTTACCCCTGAGATCTTTCCGCAGTTACTAAGTTATTAAAACGCAATACCAAGCTAGCAGGCGTACAAGGCCTCTGCGGGCGCGCGGCGCGCGCGCAAAGTTATTTGTTTTAAATAATTACCCCTTTTTAAATTAACCAATGAGATTCCTCCGTTATATTAACGTAAATTTAAATTTTAAAAGCTTGGAATAGCTTCAGAGTACACGGTTTAGTTAGTATAATTAAGGGTGCTATTTTATTTAGTCGGGCGATAGCAGTGGAGAACAAGTTTACTAATAAATTACTAGGCAAGTTGTGTGACAAGTCCAGAACGGCGCTATTTCAGGGTTCTATCCCATTCAGTCGCTTAATATAGGGTGCTATCCGATTCATTTAGCGCTCCTGCAATTGTTCAAAATAATTAGTCGCGAGTTCCCGCCACGGCGACCCTCCGCATCTCGGCCATTCCCCGCAGCAAAATGCCCGACACCACGCCTCTTTGACTGCGAACCGACCTAATCAACCCAGCCAAAAGAAAATGACCTACTACCATGCTTTGATTCGCACCCACCACATCACCTCCCGCAAAAAGGTCTCCGCGCTGAAAAGCGCCGCTCAGACCCTCAACGTCTTCGCGCTCCTCCGCTCCGGCGGCTGCCCGGGGATAATGTACGTCGAGGCGAAGGATAAAGATGCTGTTGAGTCATGGGTTAGTGTGGTTCGGAACCTACGATACAAGGACTTTCAGCTTGTGAGTCGCCCGGCCTGTGTGTTGGTCGAGGAAGACGCGTTGAAGACGGAAGGTAAGGGGACAGACGGTGGGATCAAGAGAGGAGAGGCGTTCCTAGGAAATGGGCTTGATGAAGTGGAGAGCGTCAAAGAGTTCGGGAGTCTGATGGCACAGAGAGGCGTTTGGCAGTGGTGGAGGAAGGGAATGGGATATGCTCGTGGAGACTGAATTACGTTCGGTATCCGTGGTCGAGTTGGTGCGCCTTTACGACTCGATACTTCGGCGGCACGCTACTGAATTCCGACTCGCCATTCTCTTTTCTTTTTCTTGTATCTGGTGAACTCGAGAATACGTGACACCAATATATACATGAAGGAAAATATCGGACCTCGAGCCAGCCTAGTAGGCATGTTCGGGGTGTCCGGCAGCACAGATGTACTTCTCTTCTGGCCCAACTCAAGCGAGGGGAGCGATACCTCTGGTTCCAACAATAGCGGAGTCAGAGGCCTCGTCTGCGTCTTTGTGATCGAACATCTCGGATCCCCCAACCATACCTTCCCCGTGCAGGTCTCAAATTCCTTCTGCAGAGCGACTCGATCTGTCCAGCCGTTAACGAAGTCGCCGTGCAGGCCGTATCCGGTTCTGTCCCCTGTTGCGTACACCAGGTTCTGGGTCGTAAGGCTTCTCGGGCTCCGGGGTCTTGATCTTCTTGAGACCCTTGATCAAACCAGAACCGCCCTCTTCGGCAGTGACGGCGCCAGGATAAGCAGGCTTCTGAGCATCTGTGCCGCGTAGAGCAGCTTGTTTCTGCCTGATTCGCTCTTCCTCGCTGCGCCGGGTAATCTGGGAACGGCTCTGTGTTCAATATGAACTCAATGAAGATCGAGAAGATGGCACCGGGTGAGACTTGGGACGAACACCTTTTTTGTACTCTCCAATTGCGGGATATGTCATCTGCGGGAAAACGTGAGCCAGTCCAGAGCGACTTACGTGGCTCCTGTGGTCCGGGCTATCGAGGTTCTTGCCATCCCAGCAAGACGGAAAAAAATATCAGCGACTTCAGCTTCTCGCAAGCTTGACGGGGAAGGTGTTTTGTCCCGTTTGACTTTCCATTCGCCTCTATGCACATGTGTGGGATGGCACGTTGAGCAAATCTGAAATCATCATACGTCCTGTACACTTTAGACACCGGCCCAAATCAACGAGAAACAGGCCTCTTACTGCAGCATTGGATTCCCAGCGACAACACGCAGACCGGCTGGTGGCGCCAAAGGATATGGCGACCCGTCTTGACAAGTCCGCGCACTGGGAGCGTAGTTGCATGACGATTAAGATAATATACCGCCTGCGCATCATCGTCATGGTGAGCGACTACATTCTTTCGCCCAATCACTCGCCTTATGGCCATAGCCGGAAGAGCCAGTTTCAATCCAAATCGCAAACTGAAAACAATACACTAGACTGATACTCGACCATCTCGAACGCCCCAAGTTTAATTTCGTGATAAAGGGCCAGAACCCAACAATTCCTCTAATCCAGCGCAACCTCCCACATCGTCTCCCGCGCGTTCGGCGCCGCCTGCATATCCATTGTCCTCTGGAATGCGGTTCCCCTGTCACCACTCCCGCCCGGACGCCACGATCGGGTCGCATAGTTGGGCTGTGAGCCTAATGGCGAGAGACAACTGAAACTAAGCTCGTCGGTATACGAGAATGTGCTGTTTGCTTGGGTGGTTGCGTTAATTGGGGTGGTAGGCGCGGTTAGGGTTGGTTTCGTGAGAATGAATAGGGATAGGGCTAGTATACAGCCTCTGTTCGTCGTGATAGGTCTGCATCATCGTTGTTTCAATGGGTGAGTTGAGAGGGCTTGAAGAGTTGGGAGTAGTTGATGGTGGGAGGGCTGCATCAAAATTTTCCTTGCTTCGAGTATTATGGTATATTCATGTCTACGGAGTACATTATTTACTTGGCTACCCACATACCTGACCGACCTCTCTGTGCCTTGATATTCTGCCCTTCTTATCCGGAATAAGACCCCTGTGGTAGAACTGGTCCAGTACCATGAACTGTATCCAGCTCTATGTTCTGATCTCCCTGGAATGATGAAGATGCACCGTCCTACGGTATGATACCTACAGTCTCAATTTATTGCATATTAATTTGCTTCTCGTCTATAGTATTTCGTCAAAACTTTGTCTGAAGCTAATGTTAATGAAGTGATATCTGCCTATATACAACCATTCAGCAAGTCTAGTTTACAACATACCTGATATGCCTTTGAGAAAGTCAACAAAAACGCCGTAAATTCATACTAAGCTTGATCCGCAGCCGGCGCGTCATTCGCAGATGGTGAGCCATTCTCAGGTGGTGAATCATTCCCGGGTGGCGGTTCATTACCAGGGGGCCAATTCGGCGCAGGATAACTGAGGAGTTTGCAGACATCCTAATAGAAGCAGTTAGCAAATCTCTTTTCTAGAAAATCTAGTGTATCTTACCCTTCGCTTGATACGGAAATCATCATAAAGCTTCATCCATACATCCCGATCACGGCACCCGCTCTCATGCAGCGAACCTGGATTGACCTTGCACTTTGGGAGAATGTCCGCAAGCATCTGATGTGGCCACATAACCCAGGGCTTCGGCAATGGCCAGTCTGAAAAATGCACGAACTTGGCGTCTGCAATGACCTTATCAGGATCCCAAACTTCATCATCGCTTCCGAGGAATATGGTGTGGTTTTCCGATCGGAACTCGCCCGATATTAACCCGTAGTGCCGGTGTGGCAGAACCATGGCCGAATCGCCGTAGAATTCATTCAGCAACTCCATGTCGTATTTGATCCGCTTATTCTCGCCCTCACTACTCTCAATGCCAAGGGCGGCATCCACGAGAGCTTTGTATCGGCGGTACGAAGGCTCGATCACGACGAGGAGGGAGGAGAGGACTTTCTGTCCGGGTAGAAGCCAGTATGCGCGGGGCATTGCGACAGGTGCGGGAGGGAGGAAAAACAGTTCGTCCATAGTCTGCAGAACGAGGATATCAGAATCGAGGTGGATGACGCGCTTGAATTCAGTTTCGGCGAAGGCGAGCAGTTTCGAAATGCTTTTCTCCCATTCCTCGCCCGGTCCTATTCACAAGAACGACATTTGTTAGCATCTTGTAACGAGTAAAGTAATATGCCACGGTAAAGCTGTTAATCACACACCTGCATCCGGCTTGATCATCTCAAGCTCAATCGGCACCAGCACCGCTTTGTATTTTATCTTCGCCAGCTGGAGCAATTCCCTGTCCCGACTGTTATCGCTTTCAACAAGTACTTCCCAGTTCTTTGGATAGTATAATACTCGCTGTGCTCGACTTCCAAGTCGCTCTAGCGCATCAAACACCATGACCGCGTTGCATAGGTACGGACTAGAGGTGGCATATTGAGTGTACGCGTACTTAGACCAATCGACCAGGTCATAGTTGATGTGCGGAAGAGCTGGAGGAGGAGCGGGTTCGCGTCGCAGAAAAAGGATAAAAAGGATAAAGACGAAGATGGACGCCCAAGTCCGAATGCGTCTTATTTGGCGCTTGACTATGGCGAGAATCGGTTCATCGGGGATATCGAAAAAATCAGCCTCGGAGGCCCCAGAGACTTTTCGTCGATGGGATGTCATGGGTAGTCTGTAAGTTAAACTGGGAATAATTCAGGCGAGCGAAGTAAAATCCCATTTTGGGATAGATGAAATGTGTAGACGTTTCCTGAAGTGTGCGTAATGTCCAGCCGGAGCCTCATCCCTGAGATCAGGTGCACGTGATTCCAAGACATCCCAGAGCTCAAGACCTGACATGGGAATTATCTCGTTATTCATATATTATAATTAATTAATCTATTCATTGATGCCTAAGCGGGCCCGAATTGTCTTCTCGTCAAACGAGTTGCGGAGCGCCTCCATAGTCATCAGGCGACGCGGCGCCTTTCGTCCAGTCAATATCTCGAACTGCGCGATAGCCTGTTCGGCAACATTATCAAGGCCATCGACCAGCACCCATGGACGCCCCATTTCGCTGCGGAAGAGACGCATCTGTCTGAGTAGTGGCGTTTCCAGAGGTTTATACGCAAACTGCTACTAGTTAGTCAAATGCAAAGGTTCGTAAAATCTTGAATCACCCACTTCAAGGACTACTCCGCCAGTTGGGCTTCCCAACCATTGCATGGGCATCTCGAAATTTGCCGGCGGCTCATCTCCGTCTGGGTCTGCTGGGACGCATGAGGCAATTATGCACGGTGGGCAGGCATCGGGCCAGTCATCGTGCAACGATTGAAGTACATAAACCACCTCTGTCGAGCCCACTTGAGACGCGGCCCATGAATTGAAGTGCCGAGCGACGCGCTCCGCGCGGGACAAGGTCCGATTGTAGATGAAGATTTTTCGACAGCCTAGTCGAAGCATAGCATATATAGCGGCACGTCCCATGCCACCAGCTCCAATAACCAGGCCCGTTGTCCTTGATGGACTGATGGCGTTACGTGGTGAGAGGTTTCGATTGATGCACGTCATAATGCCAACCCAGTCTGTATTCTCGCCATACCATCCCAGCACAGGTCCAGCCAGGTGACGACGGCTAGCTTGCTCTTGTAGTGGGAACATAATCCCGTCCGACTGGCCTCGGAGCGGCATAATTGTATTAATTGCCCCAATGGCTTCAGCATGGCGGCTCTTTGCTGCGAGTTTTTGGAAAACTTGCACCCTCCAAGGTTGAACAATACTGGCACCACCGAAGTTTGGATCCCGGCCCAGCTGGTCTAGTGCTGCCAGCGTTGGCTTCTCTGGTATGCTGTATGTATGATCCATGCCACAATGGTTGAATGCGGCATTGTACATGGCGGGCGATAGACTGTAGGCTACGCTGCCACCCAGTATATAGAATTGCAGGGGATCCAAGACGTAACTTTGGAACAGTGCCTGGACAGCGTCGCGGGCCAAGATTTGCGGGTCTCTCTCATTGCGAGAGCGACGATCGATCGCGGAATGCGAGACAGATGTGAGAATAGAGTTGAACACCTGAGACGTACGCCCAAGGCTACCGATGTTGAAGGCTATTATCGGTGGGTGGTCACCCGGTAGCATTTCAATCTTATTTGTAAACTTGGCAATAGCTGTGTTATCCTCTCGCTCAGTTGCCACACGTAGAATGCGAACTAACTGGCATCCTAGCCCAGCAGCATTGAGGTAAGCCGATAGGCATTCTTCGTTATCCCAGGCCACACCAGAGGACGGCTCAAAGATACGCTGGCCAATGATTTTTGTCATGCCCCTATTGCGGATGACTTCATCAATAAAAGCATGATCTTGATCCAGGTCGACTACCAGGTACTCAACGGCGAGCCGTAAACAGTGCTCCACGATCTGAGAGTATAAATTGCGGCGCTGTTCCGAGCATTGGTTGCCAGTAACTCTCAGCGCATGGGAATCGACTGACAGAATTATCGGTGCGTGGGTGTTTCTCCTTAGAACAGAAACTTGGTTGCTCACAGTCATCGCCATTTCCGGGCTCCAGCAATCGACACACAACTCAATGGCATCTCCGCCAGACTCAAGTTCCAAAAGTTTTACTCTGTTATCGATCAAATCTGAAGAGCGCACGAAAATCGCATAGGTGTAGGACCGTAGCTCCGGCGGCGTCTCAAGCAGCACAAAAGGGGAGTCATAGCTAGAATGCCCGACGTCTGTACCCGTCACAAAGCGAACAAAACGTGTAAAATCCTCCTTTGCCTCTTTGAGTTTGAAAGAGTAGCCGACTGAACGTCGATCTTGCGCTTCTTCGTCCGGCTGGGCGGCGAAGCTCGAGCGGTCCTCCGTGTTATAGTACTCGAAATTTGAGCAATTGCGGTGGAGCGGATCACCTTCACCCAGCAGCTTTGCGGCCTGATCGTCCAGTCCCAACAATTTCTGGATAGGTCCCATGTCCCGCGCAATGTACACAACAGGATTCGTGAGGGAGTACTGTCGGAGGTATTCCTGGACGGGACGAGTGAGGCTTCCTAGCCCGCATTCAATAACACAACGCGAGCGATGGTTGTCTAGCATCAGCTTCAGGACTTCAATGTCACGCTGCTGAAACTCCTGGCTTCCATATTGCTTCAGGTACTCATGCCGCGAAAGTCCAGTAACTTCCTTGAAGTAGTGATCCTCCGTAATGAAGCGACGCTTCAACGCAGTAGCGGCAATAAACCCCAGCGACCGTTTCCCACATCCCCGGATCCCAATAAGAACCAATGATGCCTCAGGGTCCACCTTGCGGTGCACATTTGCATCACGATGAGGCATAGCGGCACTGGTCGAAAAAGAGCGACAAATCCTCTTCCTCGGATGGGAAGGTGGAAAGTTCGAGTGGCCAGCCACGATGAATGAACTCATCCGTAAGGCACTGTGTAGATATACTAGGTAGGATTCTTTATGTCAAGGCTTCATATCTCATCCGTCCATGTTTCGGGGGTAGACCGGCAGGGATGATGATCGCAATGCAGAGTGAAGGGAGGCTTCGAGTAAGACAACGCCGGAGGGCAGCGATGTCATGCTGCGAGTGCGTTCAAGGCAAGCAGAAGGAGGGGCTGTCTGGGACGACTAGATACTGAGCCCGAGAGCAGCAAACCAGGGAGCGACATGGCCGGGGAAGAGCGCACCCCAGATGATGTGGGCGCAAGTGGGTTGGTTGGCTTGTTCCACGGCAGATCGAGAACTGATTGCGGTTCTGCGGCGGCTGACCGCCCTGCACCGGGTAAGCTCTTTGCCGCAGGACTCGACTCGCAACTTTTCCCCAGAAAACCCTCGAGTCCTTGACGAGTCAAGGCCCCGTGGCTGGCTGGTGACTACCGACTCGGGATACCGGGCCTTTGTGGGAATTGATGTTAATGCCATTATCGCAACATAGACAACTCACCGTACTAGAGACTCTCAATGTCACTAATCACGAGACGGCGCCTGTGCTCAAATCCGAGAATCCTTTATACAACCAGCTACACCTTAGCTGTCACAGCGCAAGTGTGGGGTGATGGTACTCCCGTACGGAGAATTGTATAGGTCCCTTTACAAAATACGCCTCGGTCTAATCTAGTCCGAACAGAAATTGCCGAAACTCGGCGGTTTAAACGGCGCAAGGTTTCTGATTGAATAATATGAATTCGATTTACGGAGTAAACCATTTGCTGAGCGATTTGCTGGCGTCCGGAGGATTTCCAGCCTGCTATCATGGCAGGTTTATTCCGTGATAAGCCGAGGGAAATGGTAGACTTCATGAAGCATGTCCTCATCACACAAAGGCCATACCAGGACATTGATTGCGGTCAGTGATCATGTCTGAAAGCAGTAGGGGGAGTAGACCATACGGAGTACTCCGTAGAGACTGGGAGACTCGAGATTGTGGAGAAGTGGGGGGCGAGTGAATTGATTTGGATATCCGGACGGATTTACTATTCCTGAGCCTGCTTCTCTTCATCCACTTCCCGAGACTTCGCCCCGAACCCCCGTCAAGGAGCCGTTCTTGCTCCCTGTCTCAATGGGTCTGGCCTCTCTTCTCCGGGTTCTGCGCCGTTCAAGGTGTTTGTTAATTGGGTATTCTAGCGCCCTCATTCGCATATCCTATCCTGCCTATCCTGCCTGATCCCTGCGGTTATTCCAATTGCATCGAGCGACAACCCCTCCCCCCTTCTATCTTTCTCGCTCGCCTTTACCTTGCGCGCTGCAATGTACTATTGTGGTTTCCTCCGCCTGATATAGCGACTCGACAGCGTGACCAGCTCTTCTTACTAGCCGAGGCTGTATGGCAAGTCGCTCGTGCACCAAGTGATCCTTCAATGGACGAGGGTCCCGATAAAGCTCCTCGGCGCAAGAGGGTTTCGCGAGCCTGTGATAGGTGTCGCGCAAAAAAGGTATTTGTCACAGCCCTTGCAGGCTTCCAGGTCAGCTGCCTTGATTCATAGATCAGTTCTAACCTCCAGTCGCTGTTAGGACAAATGCGACGGCCTTCGTCCCTCTTGCTCCGCCTGTCTAGCTTCCGGTCAAACTTGCTTATATGACCCTCACGCGAAGAAACGTGGCTTGCCCGAGGGATATGTACGCGGCTTGGAAAAGCTTTGGGCCTTGGCTATCTGCAATATCGATGGCTTCGAGGATATCATGCTCTCTCTTCTCGGCACGACAACTGACTCCGTGGGGCGGAGGGACAGATTGAAGTCCCTTTGGACGGATGAGAACGCCTCGGAAACGTTGCACGAGTCCTGGAAAACATGTCGACTCTACAACTCTCTCGAGAAGATGCTGTCCTCCAGTTCTGACCCGTCAAGTCCTCACGGCGTGGGTAAACGCCTTCGGGAAGAACACGGGCCTGTCTCGATTGATGCGGCAAGCGAATGGGGATTCCGTATTGACCGCAGCTCTACTCCCCTGTCGCAGGATGCTCCTCGCATTGTAGAGCCTAGCGCCTCTCCTACTGCTAAACGAATTCGACTGTCTATACCAGCGGATAGCCGGCTATCCTCTGTAACGAACGGTATGCGCTCCCTGCAACTACCACCTCACACCTCCCAACTATTAGACATGTATTTCGCCGTCACCCATTCTTGGTTTCCCATCGTTGCCAAACACAACATACTCCGAGCCTCATATCTCTACGCAAATGCGCCATCGATATCTGTTGCCAGGCTCTCTCCGGGATCAGGCGACCATGCCGCATTATGGGCGGTTCTCAGTTACGGGTCGACACCGGAGAATGGCGTTTTAGGAGCTTTGTCAAAAACAAAGGAGTATTATGCGGTAGCTCGAAGCTTGATTCCTTTTGAAACGGAGCGTTACGAACTTGGACATGTCCAAGCTCTTCTTCTTTTGACCCTCGTCAACATCGGTCTCGAGGACTGGACTGCAGCTTGGATGCTCAGTGGCCAAGCGGTCCGTATGGTTATATCCATGAACATAGCTGCCTTCACTGACACTCGCCGATCTGAGGGATTGAGACAAGGGAAAGCTGTATTCCTGGGATGTTTTGTCATTGACTCCCTTTTGTCATTCCGCTTGTCTAGAAGACCGAGCATGCATTCACGAGACTTGGTTGCCATAGGCTTGTTAGAAGAAGATGGGCTGGAAGAGTGGAATTCGTGGGCGGATGTTTTACCACCCACCGGCGGTTCTCAAGGAAAGAGCCCACCTCGCCGTGGTCCTTTACATTCGCTGAGCTGTTTCAACCGTCTGGTTGAATTGGCTAGTGTCTTGAACAAGATTGCTAGAGACTCCATAACAGGGTCTAACGCACATATATCTGCGCAGCAACTAGTTTCGGAGCTCAAGCAATGGGATGACCGCCTCCCACTTGGATGTCGACTGATTGGGCCTGAAAGCATCTATCCTGAACGGCATTCCGCACTACTGCCACATCAGACATACTTAGGACTAACATACGTTGCCACCCTTTTGTCGCTTTATCTTCGAATAGCGCCCCACGAAATGGGCATGCACCGTTCTCAGCGACCGGCTATTGAAGGCGCAAAGAAACTCCTCTATCGCGCCTTGCCCATGATCTCTCAACACCTCGATAATTTCGCAGTTTGCAGCTTGCCGCCTATCTTTGAACTATCCCTGCATACCATTGCTGAACAAGCATTCGTCCTTCGCAACAAGATCGAGAGTGACTTGTTCCCTTTTGGCCGATGGGCAGAAGCACTGTTGCAGCGGACATCCGAACTCGGCGCGGCCTGGCCCGTCTATCGCACTCTGACGACTAGAATCGAACAGTGGTATCGCTCCAGGACCATGGCCAGCTCCCCATCACAGCCATTCTCCAATGACACGGGCAACAACCCAGCAGGAGGGATAAACAGGCCGTCGAACTATAGCCCTTATCAAAATCTGCTATCCATACCTCCACCAGAGAACCGAGGCCTCAACCGCAATGCTCAGCTACCACCACTTGCTAGACGAAATACGAATGACGTTGTGGAACCTGATTACTCTTCCTCTATTATGGGTATCACCATCCCCGTCGATGGGCAGTATATGACACCCAAGGACACAGCTATAGAGACTACCGATCCACCTTATCAAACTCATTACCAACCCCACCCGCGTTCCTACAATGGTAGGGTCCCATCCTCGGCAATGGATATCTCAGACCCAGCAAATGAACTAGACGCGATGCTTCACGGCTCATCCCATCCGCACCCTCCAACGCCAGACTCCTCCGTGTCCAATCCCACAATATCAAGGCCTTCCGGCGCCGCCACCGCTACCTCCACAAGCGGGCACTCAATACCATCAGCAGACAAAAACAATACCACCTCCAGCTCCGACAATCAGGAACCAAACGATGTCAGTGCCGCCAGTCTCGACGCTATCTTCAAAGACCTCGCATACCTCGACACAACCGAGTGGGCAACCAGTCGTGAGGCAGGACTGAAGGATTTCGGCTTCATGGACGATACCACGTTCCAGGAGTTCTGCCACGACCCTCAGCGTATCGCGGGGTCACAGCCGTTGGTGCATCCGCCTTCAATTGCGGATATCTGGCCGCCTCCGGGCTACTTCCCCGAAACTTTTGGGGATTCAGCAGAGGGGGCCATGGATAATTAGGTGTTAGGGACGGTATTTCCTAGGTTTCTTAACGCATCTTTAGTTGAGGCGGGATCGCTAAATCTATCTATGCAATATTCTTTCTTCATCATTGTGATACCCACCCACGAAAGCGAGATTGAGGCTGCTCTCGGACAGTGTCTTTTTGTTCTTGGGCTCAGTTGCCTTGGCAAAACTACGTATATATTGCAATTCTCTCTATAGACATGTCTTAAATTAACGATACAGTGTTCGTGGATGACAATCCCCAACCAAGTGCCATTTTAGTGGCATCCAATTGCCGCCAACCTTCCAACTACAGTGGTTTCCATGAAAAATTGATGCCGTTATAGGCACTATCTTTCCCAAGTCCAGAGACCTCTCAAGCCGAATGCGACAGATACCTTATCCAGTGATGTACTGCGCCTTTGTACATCTTCCTGCATTTTTCATGAGCGCTTTGATTCGCGTGTCGATCCAGCCTGACTGGAGCCCCTGTTGATGAATGCCCCCGATCGCCTTTTTTGAAATCGAGCACCCATTATCCGAGAAGGAAAACTGAAGACAGTCCGTAATCAGATAACATCTCTGTGCGCATCCTTCAGCCGTTGTAGGCGAGTCACTGTTGTTCCGTGGCTGCTGATCTGCGGAGAGGTTGTCCCAGTCGTCTTTGATAGAGTTCATCTCGTCATATATTTTCCATTTGAATATATCCTTGTGTAGCAGGGACTGGTCTGTCTGTTGACCACGGTCCAAAAGTCAGCGGGTGCAGTCACCAAAAACTGTTCCGTGGCAACCTACGTATCTGAACCACTGCTGCTCTAGCAACCACATATCCAAAACATCTTGGGGAGACATATGATGGAATGATACGGCGGGATAACACCAAGGTTGACGCCCGTACGCCTTGGTGAAATACTCAAGTTCCCATACGCTAGACGGCACCAACATGGGCCACGACCAGACAAGTGGTATACCGATGTTACTAAGGATTATTCCAAGAATGTGATCCCCAGCCCAATCGCCCGCCGTCATCTGCTCAACGGCCATGAAGTTCTGGGCACGGTACTGAGAGACCAACTGCATGGCGGCGTTAGAGAGCACTATTCCGGCGCCACCGTAAGCAAACACCTGACTTCCCATCTGCATAGGGGCACCCAAATAATAAGCCCTCTCATGATTGAATCGGGACAGCCAACGGGCCATGTTTCGCCAGACTATGTACGTATCCGCTTCGAGAAATACATACCAATGAGCCTCCGGGTGCACGAGCAGTGCTTCGTCAATCATGGGCACGAACTTCCACTTGTCCAGTTTCCACCCAGGATTGCCAGGTTTCCCAAGAGGTCCGTTTTGATCGTCCAGTCGGTCATCTGCAATGAGACCATCACGCCCAGAAGCACGTAGCCGATTGTAGATTCCAAAGTCTGGGTTCGTTTGTTTCGTATCTTCGCTAACACTGCGTAGAACATCTTGACCATGTACGCCGTAGATCTCTTCTTCGTAGTCTGAGAAGACAGCGTAGTGCGGTACGCATTGGAGTGTAGTCTTGAAATGCACAGGAACATTGTCCAGGGCTTCTGTAGCGCCCGTCTTCAAAATGACTAGAGTTTTGTCCATGTTGGGGAACCGGGTGCATGCAGTAAAATTATCGTCGCTGGCTGCGGGCACCAGACTCCAATCAGATCCATCGTGAAGTACCCAATCCATGTAAATGATAGAGTAGACGGCGACAGCACCAACCACGATGAGCACGCCTGAGGTGCAATACCGTAGGCAACGACGCGGAAGCTGCAAAAGAGACATAGTTAGATCTTTATTCTCACTGCATTGTGTTCGGAGCAGAGCAATCATTACCATCAGGGACAAGACCCGTATCCTGGATGCCGGTAAGTGCGACTGTCAAATGTCAAATGCCAGGCAGGACATACTCCCTTGTGTCCATCACATGAGCCCTGGCTGCCCTGGAGAAGCAACACTCCAGAAGTGCCTGCAGCAGTAAATGTAGGTTGTCACTTAACTGGGTACTAAAGCCTCTGAAAGACTGGGCTGACCCTTATTATCTTTTATTCACTTCACACAGGATTTGATCATGCACTTACTCCCACACTGAACGCTGCTGAATATAAATATCCCCTCCTCTCCTCCAGAAAATGAACCATCACGCTCTTCTTCTCTCGCATTCTCTTGTTCCCTCTTGCACCCATCACTACTACCATCGCCGTTGCCACCGCTGACCCCAACGCCAACTCCCTTGACACCATGCGGTACCTCAAGCTGTTTTTCGCCTCCTGGCTCCTGGCTGTTGCTCTTTATGTATCACAGGAGCCATGAAATCCTACGGTACCTTGACGGCTGGCCCGTCTACTTTTATCACCTCTTATGTGCCAATGCCGATGTCTGTTCAGACCACTGTCGCTTCTGCCTCGGTTTGAACTGAAGTCAACATGTTCAAGGCAGCTCGCGACTCGACTCCAGATTCTTCGCCACCCTGCTCCTCGAACACCTGTGGTGCTGCTGGTGATGAAGCTTGTCCACCTCAATCAAGTGGGACTTGGTTGACCATCGAGCCACCTGGCGGTGCTGAGATCCCGACTGTCAATGTGGCTGCACTGCCCTCTGAGCGCGAAAGATCGTACCTTGCGGCTGTGGGTGGTGTACCCAAGCAGTCCAGTCTGTTCAAACAATCCCACCCCGATCAGCGTCGTCTTATCCCCACAAATCGCGTCAAGGACAGCCACTTTCAGACCTAGCGACTTTTGATTCGACTCCATACGTTAGAAGACAACACAATTCCATCAACCGTAAACAAGCATGGTTCACTGCAGGGCCGAATCCCGTCACCGCCTGGTGGCACGAGTTTCTGCGCCCCGACGACAGAAATAGCCGCCTCCGCACCCATGGTATTGACCGTATCACTGGATGTACTGTGGTCTTCATCATCTCCAGAAAGGGTATCTGGACTGGTCATATCAAAGAAGACCCTGTTTTCGTTGATCGTCAGCGGCTGCCCACGCCAGACAGATTCATTTTTGAGGCCTTTGTGTCACTCACGGGCTTACCAGTCGCAGGCAATGAAGCCTTGAACCTTCGGGATCTGGTCGGAGACGAAGTAATACCAGGGCCCTTGCACCGCATATATAGGCCACAGGTTATTGTGTTAACGCCTTTTGCCCGGGGCAACGCAGCGCCCCTTAGATATCACGAACGAGCACACTTATTAGCAGAGGAGTTTAGCTTCCTTGTTTATCCAGACGGGCCTCCGATGGACGAGGGACCCATGATTTCAGGATATGAAGTTGAAACTCGCAATTCACGCAAAGGGGCACAGCGGGTGTTATTTGAGCTTGCTGTCCGGGACCGAGAAATGTGGCGTGTCGTTGAATTCCAAGACCAACGACTGTGGATCGGCCGTTGGCGGCTGTGGATGCACGATAAGCACGTAATGGAGCCTTTCTTCTGGGATGAGCAGGATTGGCATACGGCTAAGCGCTCACGACGAGATCAACATCCGATTGGAGATCAAACCGTGACCCGGGAAGACACGGCCATGACCACGGTTGAGCTTATAGAACGATCCGGCGTTAGCAACCAAGTCTGCTTTGGCGGCCAGTTGGGCGACCCATCCCACGGTCCTCCAGATGATGAATATGTCGTCGACCTTGCCCGCAAATGCGAAGAGGAAATCACCGCGATTCTGCGTCCTGGACCGTGGGAGGATTCCGGCGACTAAACTACAACGCGGAAGTCAAGTGGATAGAAGGATACGAAGGGCCTCGCTAGGACCCCATATATCCAGGCAGTTCCCAGTGTGGCGACCTTATTTCTGCAAACGTTTACAACTGTCCAGGCGGATACGGTGGTTCCCTTCAAGTCGGCTGTTTGGAGTATTCAGCCTCCAAGGAGAATTACCACCTCGACTTAGGCATCCGCCATGTATTGTTGGTCACCGGAGTGCATTGAGTATTCCTTCTTAACATCTACAACACTTTTGTTTCTTGTCTCATTTCTCTCATGTATGCATCGCCACATCTAGACGGGTTTCGTCACAATTGGATTGTCGCCTGGTTCTTCGGGTATCTTCTTCCTGTACAAATCAATCAGTCTTTGGACTCCGGAGTAGATTTCTCGGTGAAATACCATTGTTTGTCTTCCAATGTGTTCAAAACTCGGCGAGCATGCTTTGCCCTGCTCGGTTTGGCGTGTGCCCCAACCATTATTAATTATGTTCACATTGACATAGGTATCTCTTGGGTGCACTCGTACTAATTAAAAATTGTCTTGGATGGCATGTGGGAGACAGCTTGGGGAAGTGACTCCATGTAACCCTCCTGAACGGCCAGTCAACCTTCAGATGAGATTCAGGCACAAGCACAGGGAAGCTCTGGGCATCGAAATCAGCCATGATTCACCCGTGATGTAGAAGTAGTCTGAATTTAGGGCAAAAATAGATTATCTATTAACGGATCATCGTGATAAACATAATCGTACTCGATAAAGCGAACGCCCAAAGACCGGCCAAGGCACAAATGCGAGAAGTCCGCTTTGCAAGCTCCAAAACCTAGACAACAGTTTAGCTGAAGTGCTTCCTCCTATAGAACACGAACCGCCATGCGAACCCAACTCCGGCAATGCAATATGTGCAGAATAGACCCAATAGATGCAGTGCGTAGAAAATTTGTGATCGTACTGCTGTTGCGAGATCGTTAACCCCTCCAGCCAACGTTCCTCATTAAGAAGAGGATATCTTTTGCCGTGTTAACGGTATCCACCACTCGGTCAACCAGAACATCGACATTGGATGGTTGTTCGTGTTCCTGCGAGCGGAAACCCAGAGAAGCCAGATAGAAATTCTGCGCGTCTTCGTCTTCATCAGCTGGATCCACAAACCACGAATTGCTCGAATCGTCCACATCTTGGGTCCAATCCCGACCATGGCCAGGATCAGTACGGCTATCGCCTAAAGCCCCCGGTGACCCTTGGGATTGTCGCGTTGTCGCCCCTATAGATGAGGAATATAGTCGACGTCCTGGAATATACTTTGTCCATGACCAAGGATTGATGACCGAAGAGGGCTGGGGCTCAGGTGTATCGCCACGATACTTGAGCGTAGTTGGGGGAAGAGGTGCGATCGTTTTGTTCTCGCCGCTAGAGTTGGCGCGTGGTGTACTTCCCCCGCTGGGAGAAGCTGGTTTCACAATGAAACTATCGTCCCAGGACAAGTCACCTCCGAACTCTAAGAATTCCTCTTCCTCGTCTTTTCCTTCCACGGCAATGCATTGTAGGACCTCCTTATTGAAATGGATGTGACGTCTTTCACTTGGCGAACCAGCGCCTGAAGGCGAGACAGAAATTGCAAATCTAGTGCGAGTGGCCTCAAGTGTCTCATCAGATTGTTTATCAGTCTCCAACTCAAACTCTGACAGGCGTACGCCAAGCGTTGTACGATTCCGAGAATGCCCGGCCTCCTGCGCTTTCAAAATAGCCCCGGCATGTTGCAGAAGAGTGTGCTGGGATAATGAGCGTTGAAGCATAGTCTCTGAGGCAGTCCTCTTCTTGAGGATAGATTTTCGGTCAGGGCAATTGCTCGGCGATTCTGAGCAGCTCGGCGGAGGAGACAGATTCAGTGACTTCACTCGCGCACGCGAAGTTTTGAGGGGCCCATACAACCAGGTCACATCACAATCCTTTAGCCTATTGATCTGTTAGTTCAAAGCTTAAGTGCTCATTCGGGAATACAGTCAGGATAACATACCAATTGAGGGTGTCTGGGGAAATGGTACCCAAGTTGTGCCTCAATTTGGTCCATGTTCGCCATGAAGCGTTTTCCAACCTGACGCCATTCTCATATACCTCTCTGCGAGCGACTACATAGCGCCATGATGCCCAAATATCTTCTTCTCTCCACTCATGTGAGAGGTAGTCCACATGCCTCGAAGGCTCCTCCTCAACCGAACTATCGTCGGCCGCGGATATTTGTGGAGCTGAGCGAGTCGAGTCCGCCGACAAGATATCAGAAGTGTCGGAGGCGGCGCTGGGTTCCTCGGGGAAGAATGCACTATCATACGCCGGCAACAACAACTCATCGTCTTGGTCACCAGGTTCGCTGGACGACACGGAACCTGTGGAGGAAGTGGGGGTAGGGGGGAAGTTTTGCGATGCAACCGGGGCGAAATTAGGCGATGAGGGAGACGAAGAGGCTGCGGAACATGTAATTGGACTTGGGTAGTCGGACGTATAGATATGCGGAAGTTTCGCCATGGAATCATCTGTTTCGAGGAAGTATCTCTGCGTTACGGGTTGTCTGCCCACTGGGTCTGGGGAGAAACACAAACGGCTGTCCGCCGGGGACGGTAGCACAGCAGTCATATTAGCGGAGCATCAACTTCATCTATGCCGGGAGTCGAAGATCTCCTCCCACTCGCGGTAGACTGATGAAAGTAGAGTGCACTCAGTACCGGGGACAATGCCGGGAAGGGATCGACAGGTTGCAGAAGACGAGCGGCGATAAGTCAATGATTAAGGGCAGAGTCGATAAATAATGTCTTCTGTTTCCCTAAGTCTCTGGAAGATCCGAGGTACGCGTACAGTGAGTAGAAAGGGCGAGAGTGGTGACGGGGGCCGAGGGTTTTATAAACGGGGATCGCCGTTTTCATTTGGCCGGGGAAGTTCTGGAGTTCTAGACAACAGGGAGAGGGAGGAAAGTTGCGCTAGAAGGCAAACAGGAATGTAAGTGGGGAATGGGGATGGCCTCGGAAAGCCTTTTCGGTGCTCAGACTCTGGCGCTGCGACTATCGAGAGAGTAAAAATCCCCGCTGTCGGAGGACAAGAAGCAGGACATGGACGACCAGGGTGTCTGGAGCAGGAGATATTATTAACGTGCAAGGCTCAATATCTGGCTGCAGAGCGATCGGACGATCGGCCTGATATGGTGGATTACGGAGTATGGAGCGAGCTGCGAGGTTGCCACTAGGCCGGGCCTAACTTGCCAAACGTCACATTAATCCTTTTTGGCTGGTAGGCTATCGGACTCTCACTGACAGCTGCATGCCCAGGTGGTGAGCTGTCCAGCCTCCCAGAGCTCTGTGCTCGCCGCTAACCAAGAGCGATCGAGCTTGTTCCTTTGTTCTTCCCCTCTCCAGAATGCTCTCCTCCTGGTTCCGGTCCCGCTCGAGGTCCAGATCCGTCAACAAATCAGCCAATGGTCGTCCTCTCGCTGATCGAGTTCGAGAATCGAGATACGAGTCCTCGAATTGAGTTGCCATTGCGCAACCTGAAAGTCTATTACTCGATCTTCGCATTACCATTCCAAGTTTCAACAAGGTTGAACCACCTTCGAACCAAATCTCCTTGATACAGATCGGAAGAACCCGGGCATCGCTCCTTGAGGTGGCGATGGTGTTTATTTTGCGGCTTCCGCGAGCAGTCTGCCATCCCGGTCAAAGACGTTAGGCCCCTTGCAAGTTCCATGCACGGGCGTTGAGTATTCACATCATCATGCAGGGCTTAGCGCCATGGACATTCTCCTATCTCAATAACATTGCGATAAGCGAATCTCCTTACCTATTGGCACTGCGTGCTGATCGCTGCCGCTGACGCGATAAGAGTGCTCAATGTTGGTTCTGATTCCGGTCCGCGCTGGAGACTGCAATCCGGTTTCAGCCTCCTGTTATACTTGACTTTCGATGGGACAGTGTGTACTTGTTTAAGAGAGCGCGACTAAAGGTTCGTACGCCAGCGGCGCTGGAGGCTTGCAATATGCGCTACTGACTCGTGCCCATTCAACTCCATTGCATTGGAGGACCTTGGGCAAGGCCAACCGGGAAGATAGCCTGAGCGGCGGCACCAGAATTGTTTCTGCTCCACACTCAATGGGGCCCCGGTAACGCTTCATGCTTTGCGTCGATATCACTACACCTGTTCTGCTGATCTGGCTCTCGTTTTGTCTCAACAAAGGTTTTCCTGTCCAGAGACGTTACAACCACATCATGATCAGTATTATTACAAGAGCACAAAACTTGTGGATTGATTCTAATTGCCATCCAATCGTCGCCTCCGCAGTCAGTACTTCATACATATCGATATCAGGAAGCCAAAATTGGCCAACATGTTCCAGAACCGCGGCCGCAGCCGGGTGGCTGCTCTCCGGCTCTGATTATGCAAGTTGACAAGCCGATGTGCATATGCGAAACATGGCGGCGATTGTTCTATCGCCGCTTGATAGTAGCAAAGGGGTGCGAGTGCGAAGCCAACCAAAGAATTGCCTTTTGCGCATTCACAACGTCGTCCCCCAATGGGACGGAAGGCGCACGTTGCAGGGGGTAGGCATGCTTCGAAAGGTCCATAGAGGGCCTATTTACATCTCACAATTAGCGCCAATGCTCCTGATACAGGGAGACTATCGGAATCTCCATCTCTGGGCCACGGCCGCAGAACAGCGCTTGGTTATCTTGTCTCACCTTGGTCTAGATTTTCTCAGCTATGTCAAATACGTCTTGTTAACTGGCGGGGATGTACGCTCTTGCGCTCGATGGTAAGCAAAGCGTACGGAATTCCACGCGGCGCCATATTAGCTTTGCCGCCATGCAAAGCCACCTAGAGCATCGATCGGTCCTTCGCTTCTAGGCAAGACTCGGAGCCTTGACTGCGCCTATCATAATCATCGCAGATAGCACAATCCGAGGTGGATGTGCGCCAAAACCAGGGTTTGCTTCCCAGACATATATGAGGGGGCGCTGGACTCATAGTTATTGCGATATATGAATCAGCGCATGTTAGTACGTAATAAGCATCGCTGGTTGCGACTATTATTAGTGCTACTTAGGGCATTCCACTACATCCACCTGCAACGGTCTCCAACGGCCCTCTCACATGGGGATGGTTAACATGACAAGCACCGTGAGTACCCCGCTGGATTTGACTCGCCAGAGAGACGAGAAATGTCTAGACAAAACCTCCGAGGCTCCGACCCCACTGCTGTGGCTGCTCCTTAGTTTGGCGGATGTCTGTGCTCTTGCATCTGCACATCCCGGACGGTGTCAAAGTATGTCTTGTCATTGGATCACAACTATCAGAGCGATTCAAGCTAGCACCACGGGCCTTTCGAAAGAACCTAGTACTCGGACTAAAGGGACGGCTCTGCCTGCCTTAGTCGGAGTCTGCCTTGTTTCACGGAGCGTTCGATGAAAGATGATTGCCACGACCGAGCATCGGAACCTCGGATGAAACAGAGGATTTGCCTAACGTGCTATCGGCACGTTCCCCGAGTTGATATGTTGATAAGGCAACGTACCAAGTGGGTTTCCCCCAAACGTGCAGCTCCAGACTTCAGTATACTCCGTAGATACTCATCGGTCTTGGTTGACCGTTCAGGATGCAGATAACGTACTGACCAGCCCCCGAAATGACGGACTTGAGGGACTGCATTACCTCGAGACTCCAACGCCTGCCATTTGAGTTGTCTGAAAAGGAAAATGGGTAGACATCACAACGTTTTGGAGTTGATATTACATTCTCAGCTACTTAGCTTGACGGAACCAAGAGACTCAGATGTAAGTACTTTGTCCACATTGGGATATCGTCCACTACTACTCCGTAGATGGTAACATAACTCAGTCTCGCCCTTGGAATAGCAGGGATAAATATATTAAGATAGGCGCCACGCAGAACAAAGTACCGGTACATACGGAGTACGTCGACGGTCGGTTGGACCTTCAGTTCTTCATCGAGCTTGCGGAGAACTTATCATTCCCCGTTATGCCCAAGATTTCTCGATGCGAGGCTGCTGCGTCACAGTTGTAGTACTCCATACGAAGTACATTTAAAGCGTCCCGGCAAAGCACATTAGCAGCCTGCGCGCACGCCGAGATACACGCACAGTAGAATTATGCCTGACTACACAACCTCTGGAATGCAAATGATCAAGATATACCTATTTTGATAGCCCAGCTATGGTCCATGGCATTACCATAACATGGTAAGTATCTATGATATGAGACAGTCACTTTGAACTCCTAAACATGGTCTATAGCATAGAGACTGGACAGTTGAATATCGATTGATTGTACGCAGGCCCCTACAAGTGTATGACTAACTATGCCCGCCTGAGGCACAAGTGGATGAAGCACAGAAACGGCTTAGCGCAGCGAACATTCACCCCCGCGTCTCTGGACTGGCGAGGGAGGTATCTGATGCTATCCAATATATTGTCAAACAATCTCATCGAATCCTGCGCCGCCCCTTCTAGTCCACTTTCATTCCAATTCCTTAAAAGGGAAACAACATGGCAGAGGTCGCGCAGCCACCAGCAGAAATCCAAGCTCGGCAAATCACATATTGTGGAGGTGAGTAGCACTTTTTCTAGGAGCTCCCGACTACGTACAGGGTATGGGAATTGGGTGTCTTGATGTGGAAGACAGCGTCTTGAGGAGTCGATGCTAAAGTCATGTCGGATTAAATAGTTTGCACATTACCTCCAGAGGTACGATCGATTTTACCCCTCCAATTCCGTCTATCCTGCTCTTGCCTCCCGAGTCCTTATGATGACCGCATTCAGGCACAACTGCCATCAGCATAATTTCCAGTGTTGGCAGCTAACATGTCCCACTACAGTACTGCGAGTTCGGCGGAACGGCAAGGAAATGTCAAGAGTGGTTGAAAGATAACCGGCCGGACGAGTATCAGCGGTTATATTCTGATGGTAATTGTTCAACTTGCACTTCAGTTACCAAAGGCGAAGCTAACCGGTCTGCCTACATTATCTAGAAACCATAAGCGCAAACCTCTCTACCCTCTCCGTATCCGTCCAGGAGCGCGCGGCCAAGGATGCCGCAAAGAAGGAAGCGAAGGCGGCGGCGGCGGAAGCGCGGGATGCAGAACGACGAGCGACGTCGAAGGTTCAGATCAAGCGTGTCGAGCGCAACAAACGCAAGCATGTTAGTGTTATCACAGGGCTCGAAGTTTACGGGCTAGAGAACAAGAAAGTGGCCAAGGAGCTGGGCAAGAAGTTTGCGACGGGATCCTCTGTCACAAAGTCCGCTTCTGGAATCGAGGAGATCACAGTGCAGGGTGATGTCTGTGAGGACATTAAGGAATGGCTATTGGAAAATTATGGGAAGGGGATTTCTGAATCCAACATTGAGATTGTGGAGGATAAGAAGAAGAAGAAAGGCGCGGCTGAGGCCTAAAGTGGTGATTTGCCTATTTTGTGTAAATCTCATATACAGAACGTAGTCATGATAATGAATGCTCAAATAAGATATGCACAATTTGCCAATCACATTTGATGTCAAATGGGTATCCCGGCTATCCGCAAAACTCACACACTTATCTATGATCATAATTCATCAAGAATTCGTAATGGGTCATAATCCGGGGGCCTTGGTGCTGCCTCTGTTCCGGACGAGGTCGGCGTATCTGGTTGTATTGTGCTTCCATTGTCCATAAGGATAGACGGCTCTGCAGTCATGGTGTACTCGCCCTTCGAATTTTTAGACCGAGCAACGGCTTTCTTCGGCAAAGGTACATGGGATGGAATGTTTGGGGGTTTCAAGGCTTTTGGAACTGCCCTAAAGCCGGGCGTCGTTTCGTCGCTTGGCCAGTGCTGGAAGACAATGGCGAGCAGGACTGCTAGTATAGCTGCAGTAACGATACCCCGGAATATACGTAGCCGTTGATTCGTTCGCATCTGCCATTCCATCTCTCGTTTATCCCATCTTTCGACCTCGTTCCGCATTGCTTCTAACCTGTTGCCGAGCACTTTAGCCCTTGTCTTGCTGTCCCTCATTCGTTTCTCCAATGCTTCAATCCTTTGCACCTGTGGTTGGAATTCGTGTAGGTCGCCTATCTGTTTCCGGAGGTCCTGCTCCAAACCCGTGGTCTCTCGTTGAAAGTCGTCAAACAGCTTGGAGACCGTGTCCGATAGCTCCTGAAAAGAGGCGACGGTGACGTTGAGTGCTGCAATCTTTTCCAGAAGCCCATAATAAGTGTAGTCCAACCTGCGTGTAACATCGGTGGCAATAGTTCCAATGGCGGATAGTGCAGAACGCAGGTACCTGGGGTAGACAACGATCAGCCTAGGGGTACCGGAGTGTTGGCAGTATAGAATACTCTTCTCCTCTGCTGCGCCGGTCCCTAACCCGCTGCAAGTCATCCATAGAGTGTATCTCCTCCGGTCGCTTAATCGATCCGAGGCGAATATCCTTGTCAACACCATCGAGGACACTGCCTCTCCTGCTTCCGGTGCCTAAGCCAGTAGATTCCGAGCCCCAGCGCGATCGAGTAGTTTCCTGAGTGATGGATCGAAGCAGCCCATCATCTTCACTGTCCTGTTCCCGATACGTCGATAATGAGCCTCTGGCGCCTGTTCTTGAGGAAATATTATGCATTCTGTGTGGAAACAGGACGTCCCGAGATCTACCTTTGCCCTCTTTGCGATGCCGCCGAGATCTCTTATCTTTAGGGATGCCGACGTCAGAGATGAGGTCTATATCATGTCTTCACTTCACTCACCGCCCAAGGTCATCTTTAAAAGCAGCTCCGGAGGGGCGGATTGCGGAGCTCTCTGCCTGGGTGATCCATGGTTATGGCTGGGATCGGACGACGGTATCGAGATAAGTAAGGTCGGTCGTAATGAGCCATCCATTCTGGGTTTGACAAAGCAGCAGTCTTCGTACGTCCGAAGAGAGGGCAAGTGCCCAGATTAGACAAGCTTCGTAACGTCAGGAGGCCGACTTTTATAGCCCAAAATTGCAGGACTCCCTACTCCCCGGATCCGCACATTAATCATCCGGCTGGGGAAGATACCTACTGTAGGTAGGTGCAATATCGTAAGCCACGAGCACGTGATCGTGAGCTCAAGGCCACGGTCAGAGCAAGCAAGGTGGTCCTCAACCTCCCAGTTTAACTGCGGAGAATTCTCATTTCTCTAATCAAGCCCTATATTTTTCTTCATTCTTGCTTAATATATATCGCCTGTGTCTTCACCTCACGATTCAATATCCTCACCCTTTCGAACGCTGTCGCGAGGTGTCTTGCAGATGTCTCGCTCACTGTGACTTGAATCTCTCTAGCCTTTCAATGTTCGATGATTGACTGACATGATATCTCGGTGGTATCAGTTTCTGGCTTGCCTCGTACTGGCGCTTTGGCTGCCACCGAGCGCTGCGAAGAAGGAGGAGCCCGGAATCAGCCGTTACGAACTCCATGATAAACCGTATGCTATGTTTTATTTCGAGAAGTCCGACACGGTTCTATTAAATCTGGATAATGGAGAGCTTTTGCGTTCATTCGATGCTGGTGAGCACTGGGAAGTGATTGAGGAAGATGGCATGAAGCAAGGAGTCACTTCCATCTACCCACATCCTTTTGACAACAATAAAGCTTATGCGCTGGGTCGAGAGGGAAAACACTGGATGACGACGGATAAAGCGAAAACGTGGAAGCCTTTCGAGATTCCTGATCGAGCTCATTTCAAAAGTCCACAGTCTGGCCCTCTTTCTTTCCATGGACGGGATTCCAGCAAGGTTATCTTTGAAACCAGACCGTGCGTGCTATGTACGCTGAAGTCATACTATACTACGGATGATTTCGGTACAATAAAGGTGCTGACAGAAAGCGCTGTGGGCTGCTACTGGGGCATCGGCAATCCTCTCTTTGGGACAGAATCTGAAGTTTCGCATGAGTTGGAAAAGCGTACTATTTGTGTAGTTCCAGGTTTGAAGGCATCCTCGACGTTCGCTTTTCGGTTGGTTTACTCGGACGACTACTTCAGCAGCCAAGGTATCGAGGCTAAGCTTCAGGATGGCCGCCCAGTATCTGGTGTGACCAGTGTTGCGCAGGTCAAGCGCTTTATGGTCGCTGCAGTGGAATCCCAGGGCACTACCGAGAAAGCCTTATATGTGACAACTGACACAGAAAAATGGCACCGAGCAGACTTTGGAGATCATCGTTTGGAAGAAAATAGTTACACTATCCTTGAGAGCACGAACTATAGTCTCCAAGTCGATGTGCTTACTGACAAGTTCAACGGTATCGGTGTGCTTTTCACTTCCAATTCAGATGGCACCTATTTTACTCGGAACATTGAGCACACGAACCGTGGCCGGCGCGGCCTAGTCGACTTTGAGAAATTAGCTGTGATACAAGGGATAGTATTGGTGAATACTGTCAGAAACCCGAGCGAGGTTGAAGGCGGCTCAAGGAAAGAGGTTGTCAGTCAGATTTCGTTCGATGATGGAAGGACATTTCAGCCGCTGAAGGTGCACCTACACTCAGTTAACTCGGACGCTAACCTAGGACGCGTTTTCTCGAGTCCTGCGCCCGGATTGGTGATGGGAATAGGTAACGCAGGTGATTATCTTGGCGAGCATTCAGAAGGCGACCTTTACGTGAGTGACGATGCCGGCATTACCTGGCGTCTTGCTCTCAAAGGACCACACCTGTACGAAATCGGGGATCAAGGCGCTGTTTTGGTGGCAATCAGCGATGCGCCTAAAGTGAAGACGGTTGAATACTCCCTTGATCATGGGAAAGAATGGAAGTCGGTTGATCTTCCTCATGAGATCGACGCCATTACAACTGTGACCACGACACCGGACTCAACAAGCTTGAAATTCATAGTCCTTGGGCATTCAAAGGGGAAATACTGTGTTTATTCGATTGATTTTGAGGACTTGCACGAACGAAAATGTGAAGATGACGATTTTGATATGCATTGGCCCGCTCGGCTCACTCCTGAAGGAAACCCTGATTGCTTAATGGGATCTCAGCAATTTTTTAGGCGCAGAAAGGCTAGCGCTGACTGTTTCGTCGCGGAGGCATTCAACAGTTCTATGTCGATATTTGAACCCTGCAAATGTACTGCTGAGGACTTTGAGTGCCAAACCGCACGGACCGAAGACGGCAAAGGCTGCGTTCCACCGAAATCCTTTAATCCACCAGATGGGACATGCTCAGAACCGTCTGACACTTTTTTGGCTCCGTCAGGCTGGAGGTTGATTCCCGGTGATGTTTGCATCCGGGAAGGTGGAGTGAATCTCGACAAAGAAGATATCGACTTACCCTGCAAAGATGTTAAGGGAGGAGCAAAGGGCAAAGACATTACTTCGACTCAGAGAACATTCAAGTCAGATGTGTCAGCCTATCGCTATCTGGAACGTCAGGTGTCAAACATCGGCGAAGATGAGACAATAATACTGCACACCACTAACGGGGAGCTACTAATTTCTCATGACCATGGAAAGACCTGGCAGCAGAAACTGAAGGGCACGAGCGTGACGTCAGTCATTCCACATCAGCACTTTGCGGACACTGCCTACTTCCTTACCGATAGCGAAGAGGTGTTCTACACCATCAACCGAGGCGTGACGTTTGAGTCTTTCAAGACGAAGAAACCTCCGAGCCATGCGAGCTCCCCACCCCTGAGGATCCACCCATCTAAAAGGGACTGGCTGCTTTGGGTAGGTGAAGACTGCGATTCCGGCAGCTGTCATTCCAACGCCTATTTTAGCGATGATCGAGGAGACTCTTGGAAAATCATTCTGCGCCACGCCAAGAGGTGCGAGTTCGAGTATAGGGAAAATCAGCCAGACACCCTGCACCTCGTATTCTGTGAGCAATATGAAAACGAAGATGAAAGCAAGCGTCTACGGCTCATGTCCACAAACGACGAAAAGTTTTCTTCGGAATGGGAGGTTGTGGATGAGAATATTGTATCATATGCGACCAGGCCCGAGTACATCATCCTTGCGTCGCGCAAAAACAAAGGTGACAGAGCATTAAAGGCTAGAGTGAGTGTTGATGGGGTGACATTCGCCGACTTGAAATTTCCCCCCAATGTGGTGCCAGATGAAAGTCTCTACACTGTGCTTGACACTTCTGAACACGCCATCTTTCTATACGTGGAAGCCAATAATATGACCCACTCTGAATACGGCTCGTTGGTCAAGAGTAACAGCAACGGCACAACCTATGTCCTCAGCCTGGACTCTGTGAACCAGAATACCCCTGGATATGTTGATTTTGAGCGAATGCGGGCTTTGGAGGGTGTCATAATTGCTAATATTGTCAGTAACGTGGACGGGCTCCCCGGCGGGGCGCCTAAGAAGCTTAGGACGATGATTACTCACAATGATGGTGGTGAATGGACACTCCTAACACCCCCGGCCAAAAACGCCGACGGAGAGAAGTTTTCATGTTCCGTCGCTGAAGGGAAAGGTACCAAGAGCTGTGCACTTCATCTTCACGGATATACTGAACGCGCAGATTCGCGAGATACATTTTCCTCTGGTTCAGCAATTGGCTTGATGATGGGCTTGGGCAACGTGGGAGATGTGCTGACGAGCAAAGATGAAGCAGACACTTTCATGACCCAGGATGGTGGAATTACCTGGAAGTCTGTCAAGAAAGGTAGATATATGTGGGAGTATGGTGACTCCGGCTCTGTGATTGCAATTGTGCCTGAGCAGAAGTCTACCAAAGTTCTGCATTATAGCACCGACGAGGGCACCACCTGGCGGGACTACGAATTCTCAGATGAGGAAATAGAGGTGTTTGACATTTCCACTGTACCCTCGGATACCTCAAAGAATTTCCTTTTGTGGGGTAAAAGATCGGGCGAACTTGTCACCATCAATGTTGACTTCAGCGGGCTTTACGATAGGGATTGCGAATTTGACAAGGGCGGCGACATCAGTGACGACTATGAGCTTTGGAATCCAAAGCATCCATTCCAGGAAAACAATTGTTTGTTTGGACATGTTGAACAATACCGTCGCAAGAAGACTTCAGCCGAGTGTTGGAATAATTGGCGAGGACCTCATCTGCATAGTATTGAAAGTAACTGCACCTGCACCACCGCTGATTACGAATGGTGGGTTTGCCCTACAACGTGTCCTAATTGCTGTATTGACGTTGCTAACCCGGGCCAGTGACTATAATTTCGAGCGTCAAAACGACGGCACATGTCAACTTGTTACTGGCTTGGAGCCACAGGACCCTGTTGGATTTTGCAAAGCACATCCTGAGGCCGTCGAATACTGGAAAGTTACGGGATACCGTCGCATCCCTCAGACGACATGTCACGGTGGCTCGAACTTGGACCATCAGGTTTCAGTGCCATGTCCTGGGAAACAAGAGGAGTACGATAAGAAACATGGCATAAGTGGGACTGCACTTTTTTTCGCTATCGTGACACCGATTGCTTTGGCAGGGGCTGTCGGTTACTTTGTCTATACGAGATGGGATGGCAAGTTTGGCCAGATTCGGCTTGGAGAATCGTCAACCCAGGCGCATGGGTTTTTCTCTCGAGACTCTGCACTGATCACGATCCCAATCACCATCATCGCTGGTGTTGTGGCTATTGCAAAAACGCTCCCATTGCTAGCTACAAGTCTGTGGCGGAGTGCTAGCGGACATATGCGCATTGGGCGTAACAGGAGCTATCCCCGCCCATACGCATCCCGAGCTTCTTTCGCGGCTCGACGAGGTGATTACAGCAGTGTTGTTGACGACGAAGACGAGCTCCTTGGTGTCGAGGACTTTGAAGGCGACGAAGAAGAGGAGGCATGATGGCGTCGCGGTCTCTGCCATCTTCTTAAATCATTTTGCAGATCTATATGTGCCATGAACCCTCATGTAAGATTACGAGCGCTGCATTCTGGATAATCCGCTTTTTTGAGACAGAGATCAACCTAGGTTTCCAACCTGCAATATCAAGCTCTCGTCATTCTATGTTTTGTGCAGCAATAAATGCTATCGTTGAGACAGCATTTGCCAGCTCTTTTTGATTGGAGCATACACATTTTGCCTATTTCAAGCGCATATTTTCCATTCTATGGCACTAAAATCAATGTTTAATAGTCCAAGGTCAAATCACTTCGATATTTATTTCATGACATCACAGAGACTTCACCCATGCAAGCACCAAGCGTCTACTTATAGGTTCCCTAATGTTCAAAGTCCTCCGGCCCAAAGGAATTGGGAAGTAGCTGAGACTCACGATCAGCAAATGCACATAGGCCAGACCAGCAAGTGAGAAACAGGGGCTGCAGAGGGTCTGGGCTGCTGTGAAGGCTACATACCTCTCCCATAGTGATAACACTGTAATTCATGTCCTTGTCATACATGTATACAGGGAACAACCGCGACGTGAACTCGCTCATACTAGAATCCATCCAGATCAGCAACCACACTATCCAGTACAGGCGTAGTAGAAGATCATTAGATAAGCTACTCATCTTGATGCGGGTACGCACAATTGCCTACACATGCCACACGGTGACGCAGGTGGGCTAATGTCGGTGGCGACAGCGATTGCCTTAAATTGCCGATGTCCGGCTACCTATGTACGGAGTATGAGACCTGATTAGTAACTCAAGGGCCAGAACAAGGAGGCGATTGTATGCGTAATAACATGAGCTGCCGAATCTCCTGGATCTTGAGGGGAGCTGGAACATACAACAGCGGTCCCAAAAGCAACCCGCTCAGCACATGTGCCGACAGGGTATGAGGCATTTTCAACATTGGCCCCAGTAAAGTACTCTCCCGACTCGGTAAGGAGAGCCGCACCAACCCGAAATTTCGAGTAGGGGCCTAGGTGAAGATCGTTAGAGATTGGCCCTCGGCTTTGTGCTGTTCGGGGTTGCACAAACGGATTTGGTGCTTACAGTAGGCTGCTTCTTTGGCGGCGTTGGCCTTTGAGGAAAGGAGCTCTATTTCTTGCGCAGTGAGAGTGGCCATGGTCGAGTGTCGAGCCGAAATGTGTATATAGTCTACGGGACCTTGGGAGAATCTGGGAGGAACCTTGATGGCGGGGTTGGGTTAAAATTGAAATATACGTATGGCAAAAGCAGAACAGATAAATGCGGACCTGCAATATACTAATATTGATGGTGCATCGGAGTCAATGCTTTATCTACCCCGCCAAGATATGTTATCGGGGCGAGGTCCAACTCACTGTTCAAAACCCAGCGTTATCGTAGATATTGTAGTAGTGTTCCTGATATACAAATGGACGATCTATGTCTCTATCTCCAATGGACTTTTGTCTGTGGCCCAATGCCAGATTGGTTCAACAAGCGAATCAAACAAGAAGATCTATATCTAAACAGGCCATAGGTATCATCGAGCAGCGAGAAAGACAGAAAAGATCGTCGAAAATGAAAATGTGATCTAACCACAGAACAAATCGCTTTAGCCAAAATGACTCCGTAGGCCCTCGAATACTGTAAAAATAAAAGCTGAGCTGGGCGCAGAGCGCGCGCAGGTGATACCACAGCCTCGGTATAGGCCGCGAAGCCCTTGCTGCTGCCACAGCGCCCTGGCGGCACCTCCGAACGTCTGACGTTTGCCGAGAGATGTATTGTGGATGTCTTCTGTTTGTAGTCTTGACTTGATGGTGTCCGCAGGATAAAAAAGAAAATTATAGCTCACACCGGCTGCTGCCCCTGCAAGCATCTGTTGATGAAGAGGAAGAGTAATTGATTCACTTCCAGACGACTCGGCTGTCAAGGGTGACTGATGGTATGAGCGAAAGAGCGCTGATACCCCTTCGTACCCTCCGAACCACGCAGCACCGCCGCCCGTCTCCCGGATAAGGGTGCCCATCTGGCCCCGCCAGAATCCCAAGATGCCATCCTGACGGAACACAGATGCAATAAGCTTCAGAGGTCCCGCTCTTGAGCCGGCCGACTCTGACGGCACTTGCATCTTGCATTTGATGAGTTCAATAGGGGTCAGAGCGAGTGAGGTGATGGACCCAGACGCAGCACCGCAGAACACCAAGGCAGATAACGGTAGCTGCTCTGTTGAAGAATAGTACGTGGCCCGGAGTATGTCTTGGACCACGCGGTAGCTGAAGAATAAGCAGCTGTTCTCCACGGCAGCTCCCGCCATCGGGGCGCTGATGCCCCGATACAGTCCCCGGAGACCCTCTGCCTGGAAAGACTGGCGAAAACAGTCCAATGGCCCATTGTACCGGAGTGGAAGGTGATCTGGTTGCGATTGTAGCCGTACTTTGACTGTGTCAAAGGGATATTCAATGAGTTTGCCTATCATTCCTGCAACCTAAAGACAAGAAATTTTCAGCAATAGCACACCAAGATCGGAAACGAGAGGAACTCCCGGTTAACTTACGGATCCGAAGACAATGTCTTTGAAGGCCTCCAGACCTTGATTTGGGGCTAATTCAGGCAGCTCCATTGAGATATCATTGTGTATTGTCAATGCACTTTCAGTGGCCGCCATGGAGATGGGAATTATGAGCGCCGAAGCCCCGAGCCAACGTTGAACAGAGAAGGGAGGGGAAAGAGTAGATGACAAGTTTTATTGAGAAAGCATCGTAAGAGGAAGAATGAGAGTTAATTAAAAGAGAGCTGATGGTGAGGGGCGGTGTACCGACGAGGGGTTTGGCGTTGCCCAATCCACGCGTGGTACCTGAAGGCCTCAGACACCAGGGAGCATCGCTTGCAAGCTGCAAGTAGTCAAAGGGCCGAAACGCGGGATATATTTCGAGTGGTGGGGGCGCTTTGGCAGGTGGTTCGTTGTGAGCTTGCGACAATTATTCTTTTCAGCAAGAAACCGGACAATCCTCGCGGGCGAGTCACTCCCACCTCAGTGTGGGACCGGGGCTGCACTTCCGCCGAGATCCGTTTATCTGATCGGGCTAAGATAACTTTTTCATCAAAACTCGAATCCGCCGGCAAGGCAAAGTCCAACTTCATCTCTGGGCCTCTCTCTTAGGGTCGCACTTGTCCCCGGCGCCTCTTCTTCCCCTCAGATTTATCACCATGTCGTCCGATGCCTTAGCATCTGCTGCCACGGTGGCCAAATCAATTCGCAAGAATGGTAGGCGCCAAGCCCCCACTTTTCATTGCCAGCTTTTCCCTTTTCCTCCTGGCTAATCTAACACGGTCTCGGACCCGCAGGCAAAAACTGGCATGACAACAAGAAACCATTCAGACCCAACGGGGGTTTGACCTCATACGCGAAGAGAGTGGAGGCACGGAAACAGCAGGCAGCCATCAAGGAACATGAGAAGGAATTAAGAGATGAGAGGGAAGCAGATAGACAGGTAAACGCCCGCGACTGCATCCCTCTGTGCTTGCATTGCTTTGACAAGTACTGACGCTCCCTGCAGGCGCATATTCAGAGGATCAAGGAACGCAGAGCCGCCAAGGAAGAAAAGGAACGATACGAGAAGATGGCCGAGAAGATGCATCGCAAACGAGTCGAGCGACTAAAGCGACGAGAGAAACGAAACAAGCTCCTCAGCTCATGAACCTCGTGGTTGTCACGAGGACTTTCTTACAGGTTATTCGTGTGCGACGATTCTACGCATCTACTATCAAGTTGGCCGCCCCATTCGAGGCGACCTCCAATTTTGTACAGGTTCGGCGTCTCAGGCGTTAGGCTCCATTCATCGGCGGATGAAGGCTTCATATTCTGAATCAATTATAGCCAATTTCTTGCTCGCCATCTCTTCACAGTGCCTTGGACATTAGTCCCTTCTTCACCGGTTGCACATGGTTATGAATTTCGTTCTTTGAGGATTGTCTCTGGGCTATCACGGTATGTTCTGCATTGGGCATGGCAGCTGAAATATACCCTTTTTGGCTTAAGCCTGTTGGCGAGATTTTTTGCTGGATTTCACGAGATTATATGCTACTGCCACCATATTTACAATTGTCAACGAGATGTCCAATCAGCTTTCACGAGAAGAGAGACAATAAAATGAATAGAAGCTGATGCAAAACACAACACTATCTGCGATGCATGATTATTTAATTTACAGGTAGAAGCATGACCAGCACCTTCAAGCTAGCACATAAACAAAGGCAGAGGCTCTACATATCAAGCTGAAAAGTGGAAAAAATGTTAGTCTTTATTCCCTGTTAAACTGTTTCAGCACTGATTCAATAATTCAATCCCTCCAGGTTTTGGTGCACCGTGCACCTACAATATTCCGGAGTCCGGATGGGGTAGCAGAGAGCTGGGGACACACCTGTCCATTCTCGGTGCTCAACCATGGCCGGGTTCCAGCATTTGTGAAACTTATTTACAGGGTTCGTGTTGATGATACCAGGATGTCAGAATGATAACCAACTGAAAGCGGCTAAACTCGTCCATTTTCGGGTAGGAGACATCTTCAGAACTAGGGTTACAAAATCTGCGCCATATTTTTTTGCCAAGTTCTGGTTTCCCATACAATGACTTGTTTTGAGCTGAGAGTAAGGATGGTGATGTTTATTCCGTTGTACCGATCGGGGCGAGGTGGGAATCAGCTCGAAGATCTGGTCTCGTTAAAAGTCATTCTCAATGTCATTTCGCGCGCGTTCCAAGTTCGCGTGTGACTCGATTCTGACATTGGGATGAATACTGCCTGCCTCTTGTTGCCCACAAAAGAGAACCCTTGTGAGCCCTCAGGAGGTTCTGTCATGTGAGGTAGCCGGGATATTGTCGAGCATGAGTTTTTCTGATCGCGACGGACGGAGGCATCGTTATCACCATCATCACCATCGCTGTCGTCATCTTCCGTCATGAAAAAAGGCAGCCTTGAACCCTTGTAGTTGAGGATCTGGGTCTGGTTCGATACGAGTTGTAGCCGTACTCTCATCTATTTTTGAAGTCGGGAATCCGAACTCGACTGCTTCATCAAACTTCTTGGTGGGGGGGAACTCGAAGCTTGAGGCGAGCGTCTGAGTCGTGGTAGTACTGCGCACAAGGATCGATGGTCAAGCTCGAACACTGACATGCATGAAGAGGTTTGCTTATGCTCGTCGGTCGAGACAGAGGGGTGCGTCCCCGGCCGGGATTTGCAAGGACGAACTGGGTTCCGGCGGGCAGCCTAGATACTCGGGCCCTCCTGTAGAATGCTGAAGAGCATGACTTGCGAGATGGATTGACCGAATTGAACGATAGTCTTCTCCTTAAAGATGATCTCTATTTCCGCGGTAGACATGATGGCGGATAGGTCACATCCGGAATACCCTGAATAGTCATCCCGGGTCGAGCCAATATTTGTATTTCCGTCTAGCCACCCAAGATTGTTGTAGAGCGAGTCTTCCATGTTGAAATCAAACGAAAGTGGACAGGCAGTGGCTCCAACTCAGTTACTTTGCGCCCGAGTGTTAATCTGCAGACATATATACTGTTTGAAATGCTGACAAGACGGCAGCTACAACCGTGGAGGGTAATCTGAAGGGTAATTAGGATCACAACGAACCGTGGACGAGTGGGCTTGGAAGAATAATGAGGTCCTCGAAGCCTGGCACTTTCCGCGAGGCGGGCTTCTCGAAAAGGCAAAAGGGCTCGCCAGATTCAAGAATGGATGGAGGGGAGAGGGGAAGGCTAAGAGGTGTTGGCGAAGGAGCAAAGCAGAATTGGCTCTCATTGTTATTGTCAATCAAGCCACGATCATGGCAAACATGCTGTAACAACCTTGTCATCCTCATGTTAACTTGTCAAGACTTGGTGTCAGCTCCAAAGCTTGAGCAAAATGTCAGATGGGGCATTGCTGCTCCAAGCCTCCAACAGGCATGGGCCATAGGGCTGTGACTGCTCATCAAACAAAAAGCAGCCCTGGAGTCTCTAGCGGCTCTAACTTCGGATAGTTCGTGGTTCGAGCACAGTTACCTACTCGTCACTTCGGGTAGTACCTAGTTCAAGGATGGGTGGATGCTTTCCACAAATCATCGGTTGAAGGATTGTGGAACAGGGTCTGACCCCCCACAGCTTTCATCATCGGCATCATGCATGTGCAGGTCCACCCATTAACAAGGGTCTCAAAGTTAGACCTACCAGGCTATCAACAGGACCCCGTAAACCCGTACTGAGTACTCGCTTCTCCATTAATCATACTCAGGAAGTTTGCGGTGTGAGGTTCTTAGAAGAAACAGTCCCATATAAAAAGTCTGGACGAGGGCCGGGACCTGATCTATGATCCTCTGTTATTGTGTTAATTGGATTAGACCAGACAAGAGCATAGAAGCCCAGGCCTTTCCAAAGTGATACTGGAGAACAGGAGTATGTCAGTATGCTACTCGTACACCTCCTTTCGCTCAAAGCAAAGACTACTACGGAGTATATGTGGAGCTTCTCCTTTACCGGCCGCCGTTATGCGCCAAGCTCCCAGCACATGAAGGATAGAAAACTGGCGAGCAGTGCATTCATTCCACTGACCTCGGTGTCAATGTTCGTTTTTCGTTTCGTCCGTAATTCATACAATACTAGTAAGCATTTGCTGCATCACAGGCGTGTTGGAGTCTTCTCTGCGGCAAACATAAGCTCTTACATCCTGTGACCCGAGCCCAGCCTCAGTGCCAGTGACACCCAGGCCTCGCCCGGAAGCCGCTCCGGGATTGTTGCCAGATCTCCCCCCGGAAGAGTTGGCAGGCCCACGTATCCTCTCCCGAAGAGCCTCGGGTCCAATAACAAAAAGACTCCCAACTTCAAGCAGCACGTCCAGCATCCCACCCGCGGCCCGTATCTGATCATCAATGTCCCATGACTTGAGTAGATTGGCATATTGCGTCATGTCCTTGGTCACCATGAGTCCACCAGGACCATTGACGACGAACCGTTTGAAATGCTCAAGCAGGAGGCTGCGAGTCCCGAGGGCGATCTCTGTAAGCAACTGCAGCAGATTGGTGCCGCTAGCCGGCAGCGACTGCACAGCAACCTTATGAACTCTTGTGAGAAACGCACATACTGACGCACATGTCTGGGTATCAATTAGTATGGCCCTCTCGCCCGAGGCAATAAATGGGGAGACAAACCGGGGTCTGTAACTTCTCTAACCAAGCCGTACTGTCGCCCTCCTTCGGCCGGAAATCATTTTTCTTCTGACTGGACAGGACTTTGCCCACCCAAATTAATGTGATGTCAATGACCTTCTGCTGTATCATATTGATTTTCTCTTCTACACGGATAGTAGCCAGGTTGGTCTTCTTTTCCATGTCGCGACGGATGGTAACGCTTCCTGCTGCAAGAGGAATGAGTAACGTCTTGATACACATTACCATCAAATTTGCAATGCTAATCGAATCACGGACAGCAGGCAGGAAAGCAAAATCTGGCTCAACCTTCCCCAACTCTTGGGTTGCGGCCGCTTCCAGAGCGGCATCGAGACAAACCTCTAGGTAACCTTCTCCCATCATCGATAGCAGAAGATTCAAGAGTGTCAGCATGTCTTTCGGGGTTTCATTATTCATACTGAGTTCCAGGCCTCTGCCAACCGCCTCTGCAAGCCATTTGAGCATTCTTTTTGCATAAAATATGATGGGCTGCCCATCTTCCTCGGTGAACGTGACCTCGTTGGGCCGTGCAAGATCGTTGGATTCTTTCAAGTCCGCAACTTGGATAAGAACCCTTTTCTGTGTAGCTGAGTGTTCAGAGGACTCTAGGCGGCTAATATATGCTTCTCGAGCAGATGCAAGAAGCTCGCTACCGGATTTCGAAAGGGAGGCCATGAAAGTGTTGGCAGCCTTCTTCCTACGGCCGTGGAATGTGGTAAATTTGAAAAGCAGAGAAGTATACAACTCCTCCAATGTCCTCTTTTCCCTTTCAATGTAAGAGGACCCAACGAAATAAGGCACGAAAAGATCCTCTAGTTGCTGATCAAGGATAAGCGATGTTTGCGATGATATGGTCTCGGGATGCTCAGTCAAGCCGTGGGTCTTTAATTCGTCCACCAGTGTACTGATCGCACTGCGAGAACTCTGAAGGGAACGGAGGAAGGCTAGCGGCGAAACATTGTTGGCCTTTTCCAGAACCATCTCAAGCCGTTGCTGGATCGATTGCTGAAATACGCGTTGCAAGAATTTCCCAAGGACTTGCTCATAGTTTGGGAAAGCCCGCTTTATGATAGCTGATTCTTCCTGTACCACAACCCTGACTTCGTCGATTAACGATTGGAGGCTCGGCTCAGCTCCTGGTGGTTCCGCATCTGGGTCTGCGAGTTTCTCCCAGGTTTCCGGATCCCCGCCAACCTCGTCTGTGACTAGTTGACTACGATCGATGAAGAACTGGTGTTGATTAACAAACAGCGCAACGACGCTCGCCCCACCATTGAAGTCCTGAAGGACAGTGGCGCAATCTTTCATGCCTTCAAAGTTGGCCTTTCGGTAAAAATCATCAAACTGTTTCAAAAGGTCTTTCTCCAGTGTCTCAGAGAATTTCTCAATGATCTCGCGCGTGTTCCATTGAGAACCATTAGCCCCATCCACGGTGCTATTCGGTGCCGCATGTCCGTTCTTATACGGCTTGTTGCCTCTGGACTCATTCCAGCTCTTCTGGTCGAGTCTCTGGCTGATTCTTAGGAGTTGTCGCGCAATGTGTGCAGACCGCACTTTCGCTTCGCCTGAGCCAGATCGTCTTAGGTTTTCCAAAAGAGTAATTTCCCCCCTGTTACTAACACCATCCCAGCATTCAAGCAGAAAGTGAGTGTCGAGCGCACGGCGTCTCTGCCGGTCAAGCTCTTCGAGTCTTTTCCCTGTTTCCACAGCCATATTCCCAGTGGCGCCGGCTAATTCTCCGCCAGGGAGTCCACTGCTGTGAAGCGATGTATCCAATTGTTGAAACGACTCAATAGCTTGCTTTAGCTTTCCCCCCAAAGTATTGAGGTTCTGGGAGTGCTGGGCTTCAGCCCTTCGGACAGCTGCCGAAAGCTCATTTTCTTTGATCTCCAAGTCGCCAGACAGCTCCCCCAGACGCCGCTGCGCATGTTCAAAAGTGCGTATGAGAGGTTTGGGGTCAAAGGGCTGGTTTCCACTGGCAGGGCCTAGCGTAGAACGGCGGTTTGAGGCCGCGGAGTCAGAAAGAGTTTCAATAAACTCCTTGACAATGTAGTCGCGGCTTGAGAAATCCTCTAGGGTGAAACTCGGGCCCTTGGGAAAGACGGATCGATTTGCGGACATCGTCACATTGACCGGGCGCCGGGTCAAGTATTTCGCGGCATGGAGACTCTAGGGGCACGCCGTATAGAAACAGATAAATGCCTGCTGTTGTAGCCTTTGCGAGGTGCAATACTGTTAGCGTCAAGTTGTGTCTAACCAGGGGGCCAGAGAGCTGCGGTTCAAGGCTTCCAGCTAATGTGGGGCCGCCTTTGCATCTAGAGGATAGGTACTACTCCGTACTCCGTAGTTAACTGACATGAGGTCTACATTGTGATTACTCCTCGTCCAAAAAAAAACAAGGCAGAAACTCTAGATCACAAATGCAACCAACCAGTTAGTTGATTTCTAACAGTTTGTGGTAAGCAAGTGCTGCAGCCTGCTCGTGGCCCAAGGCTCCTGAAAACGCCGCACTGCAGGCGGCAACAATCTTCATACCAATCTCAGTCGTTTATCCTCAATCTAGGTACAGATATTATCCTCGTCCGCCGCAACCATTCAACAGCGCTCCCAAACCCGCCTACCACTATATCGTCATGGTCTCCAAGCGTGACAGAGAACTACTCAGGGATAATATTCGCTCCCGGGGGCCCAAGCTGAGTGCTACTGATCGGGAGAATATCGTGAAGCCATACCTTCCAGACCCCTCTGAGCTTCCGCGGTGGCCACCACAGCGACGCAAGAAACTCCCTCGAAAGACACCGATTCGTACATTCATCAAATCGCAAATACATCTCATTACCTACACCTTCCTTCACATCTTCTTTGGCATTGCGGTTCGACTTGTTCAGACCTACCATGCCGTTGTGGATCGAATCTTGGCGATCATTTACTATCACCACCGAACACCAGAATTGATCCAGAAAGATGTCAAAGACCTTGATCGCTTGCCGGAGCATCTAAGCGTAATCCTATCTATCCGGAAAGAGGATGACGCTCTGCCGCTTTTGATGGATGAAGTCGCAGAACTTGTATCTTGGACTGCTAGTGCTGGCATACCAGTGTTGAGTGTATATGAAAAGAGTGGTAAGTGAGACTCATGCAACAAACAGACCAGGTGATTAACACTCTCTCAGGTACTCTGAAATCCTGTATTCCTGTGCTACACGAAGTCATCACAAACAAGCTGTCATCTTACTTCGGCTCCTCGCAGCAGCCCACACTTCAATTATTTGCTCCTCATCACCCCATCTACGAAACCCGGCCACATGGAGACGCCCCGAATAACTGTCTTATCGTGCTTCTGTTGTCAGCGACAGACGGCCAGGAGACCTTTGTTGACTTGACAAAAACGCTAGCAGAGATGTCCCAGAATGGAAAGCTTTCGCCCGAGGATATCACTATGGAGTTAGTCGATGCAGAAATCAGCGAGATCACTACCCAGCCATTCCAGGAGGATTCACTGGCTGCTGAACGTGGCAAAGCTGGTTCTATCCAAATTCCTCCGCAAGTCAAGCCAGAGCCAGACCTCCTTCTTATTTTCGGTCCATCTCTAAAGCTTAACGGGTATCCGCCATGGCATATACGCTTAACTGAGATGTACTGTACGGGCGTCAACGGTGATGGGACTACAGGCTGCAGTGATAATGTAGAGTACCAAGGGTTCCTCAGAGGTCTGTGGCACTATGCCGGCGCTCAAATGAGGTTTGGGCGATGAAGGTCATTTGCTGGTCATTGTAAATGCACCAGTTTCTTATCCGAGTGAGACATTTTTCATGGTTATACGGTTTAGCTTTCAATTGACGGACATCTGCTGTCATTACAGCCTGTGATAAAGCGTTCTCTGCAGAGCTAGACGAGCATTGAGCCGGGATTTCCATGACTTCTGCTGTAGTTGACTCACTTTGCTTTCAATGCTGCTGAAACCATTATCAAAACAACGGCCGTAAAACGCCCTAAAGAATCCACCTGGACTCGTATATTTGAGTATCATCATTGATTGTGATATGACACTTGTCCTAATGGTTATGGGTCATACCAGTAGGCTCATCGTATACATACAAGACATCGTACCACCTCCATACCAGACTCAGTAACTCCTTCTACGGCACAACAAGAGCAAACCATCCTGGGCAGATTATTATGTAGGATCCTATCATCTTTGTCCGGCGGCAAACCTCGATTCCAGCAGTCAACTGCATCGCATTGACGTAGGCATATAAAGCAAGCCCGTTGACCACATAAGTCACAGTCAGCGTAGGCTTCAAGAAGTTCTTTTGTAGTAGGTTTTCTGTGGCATATGTGGCAAGGGCGCAGAGACGACGCTGATGCGCAAGAATTGTTTTGCGATATCCTAGGTACCAAGGTCCTGGGAGTCAGAGGGGGAGACGAAGCGTTTAAGTCATTAGAAGTGCACGATGACTGGTGTATAGGTTTAGGCTGTGCAGTAGTACCGGAGAGAAATTGCTGGGCGAAGACGGATTGTAGGGATTGCGGTTGTGGTAAGTAGAAGCCGGGTTGTTGGAGAGCTCGTCGTTTTCGGGAAAGAGATTGTAGACGCGGAGAGCACTCATTAATATGCTTCAATTGAGACATGTAGTCGAAATTTCGAGCGCCATCGAAGTTCGGGGGATGGGACGGTACTACTTTGAAGGTACTGGTTTCGAGTTGGCAAGTCAGAATCTGGCAGGAATAACATCAGCTGGGTACTGGGTACTTGTGCGCACTTGTTGACGAAATGAGAATCTCCTGATTGGGCCGAGTCCCTTTTTCTCTTTTTCAGGCAAGAGCTCGGGGAGCCCTGGCTCTGTTCGGGCCATGTCCCGGTCATGGACTTCAACTTCAAGACGGCTCGTCGCAAACGCAGTAGCGATACGGTAGTCGAGCAGTGCAACAAAACCAAAGTGCCCCTCCAGTTACGGCACGACACAGGCGCGGTAGATAAGACTGCAGTTGACTCTATACAATTGGCATAAGATATATGCCACTCTCGATCACAAAAAAAAAGTAGTCCACCCCGTAAAGGTTTCGTTGTAAAGACTCTCTGGAGACTGGGTCACATCGTATACTGTACTTAGTAGATACTTTCCACCGCCAGCGCTAGGACCGTTCTGGATCTAAGGCCCGGAGGGAACGTCCCGACTGGGCTGCCCCTTAGTTGCCGCCCCACTTGTAGAGTGTCTGTTCCCTGGCTAAAGTTCAGATGGCTTTTGGAGTCTAGGACTCGGCCTCGCTTCCTCCCTCTTCCATCCTACGGCAACTCCATTATTGTTGTTGGGGGCCGGCGATTATATGGTCGCACACTTGCGGGTATAACTTAAATACTGTGTATGGACGCGCGCTAGCCTGCCATGGAGAACAACGTTTCAGAGCTAGTCGAGAGACTAGGGAGTGACGAGGATGCTGTTCGCAAAATGGCTGTATTTAAACTCCAAAGCAGCATTGGAGACCCATCATTTGCCGATGTCTTTATTGCTGAGGACGGATTGACAAGGCTTCGCTATCTCGCCCTGCACGCAACCGGAAATACCCTGGCGTACAGTTTAGCCAGCTTTGCTAGATTGCTAGAAGTTGATAAGGGATGGGAATGCGTCGATCAAGAGTTGGTTGAAAGGGTATGCTCCAAGCTGCCCAACAATCACACACCCCTCCTACAGAAGCCTTAGCTAATGTGATTGTGAGCTTAGGTTGTCGAACTCATTGTAACCCATCCATTAGTGAACATCCTAAGAGGTGCAATGTCCATTCTCGTCTCCATCGTCTCCCATCCTTCCTCTGTCGGACGCCTGTCGCAAAATGGCGTTTTTGGATTCCGCGCGCTGAAGCCTGCAATCGCGATCTATCCCCAATTCTTGGAGATGCTCGTAAACAGGCTTTCTTCAGCCGATCACGCGCTCTGCGCCAATGCCCTGCAATTGATTAACTCGCTTATGCGCGATTCCATAACAAACGATTCGGAGCTTGAGTGGCCAAAGTTCATTCAAAAACTCCAGGACCTTGGGGTAATAAAAGCAGTTTATACCCTGATGCAAGGCACGGCCCTGCAGGATCATGCGCATCCTCTGATTGAATTTCAGTCTCTCACGAAAATTCTCCTGCGCAAATGGCGGGACATCCCCTTGGACTTGCACAAAGCAGAGCATAGGAGAGCTCTCAAGGGCGTCCATCTTGCTAGTATTCAGGACAAGGGAAGCGAAGCTGGCAGCGACGTGCGACGCTCCAGGAAACATAGCTCGGAGAAATGGCGGCGGCTTGGGTTCGAATCAGAGAGCCCAGTTGTACAATTCGAAGACATGGGGTTTTTGGGCATGATGGACCTGGCTGATTTCGTCCGTAATCACCAGGATGAGTTTCAGAAGATGCTTCTTGAGCAGTCAACGAAGCCTGCTCGGCAGAGATGTCCCATTGCCCGCGCTTCCCTATCGGTCACGTCAATCTTATACGATCATTTCGAGGTTGATAAATGCGAGACGGAAGACAGCAAAACTTACTTGATTTTAGAGTCACGATCGAACTTAGATAGACTATTCAAGCCCCTTATACTACACTGGACCCGACTACACGTTGCAGGATTGCAGACTTTCTTTCGGCTGTGGAAATCCACAAGTGCGGAGCTGGAAGACTGCGACAAGATAGTGGAACTGGTTCGTATTCTGATCGAGTCAGTTGTCGGAGGTTCCCCTCGAACGAAAGACGTGCAAGACGTGGAAGAAGACCTAGCAGAGTTCGAATACAGTCGACTGCGAAACCTGCAGATGGAGCTACTGGAACTTACTTATGAGGATGCCTGGAGCCAGCATCTACGACAGGTGCGCGAAGAATTGCAACATGAGGCCCTCCAATTTGTTAAGGAGCAGAGAATCCGACGCCTGTTGCAGGGTGCTTGGTTTCCCAACGATGCTCCAAAAACGGATGGGAAGTTGGCAAAGCCTAAATGGAGATTCGCCCAACTCTCGCATAATCGGAGATTCCTCCATTTCGGCGATTTCGAGAGTACAGGGATTGACTGTCCGGAGCTAGATGTGCTTCCCGGAAAAAGTGAGATGCCCTTTTGACAACCCCTCAGCGTTTGACCCTCTAGCTAATCAAGTGTCAGTCGATTTATCTATTGTCTCGTCCGTGGTCTCGAATGTATCAGCATCGCCCGACAGCTCATCTTCTGCAACAGTCAAAAGCGCGCCTCATCAACGCGTTTCGTCCACAAAGATCACCATTCATGGTTGCGCTCCCTCCGCCGGGGCTCTGAATGATACCCAAAAAGGCAATGGCCATTCTCGCTCCGCTAGTAGAGCTACTCAGAAGGAGGCTGTACTCTTGACCCTCCGCCCCGAATCCACTAGTGTCGCGTCTGAATGGCTTGACGGCTTGCTCATGCTTCTGAATCAGCAGCCAATCACGGCTGAGACGAGCAAGCTAATAAAACTCATTAGCAACTATGGACTCAAAATCCGATTGTTGAATGTCCGATTTGACGACGCAGTCTTCGCAGGCGAGGCTCCAGCCGTTCCCTCACGGGAGGGGCTTACTGATGATTATTATTATGATATTTTTGGTGGTGCATAATCTACCAGCACCAACATTGCTTGCCAGAGCTCACCTATAGCCATGTAGTTATAATCATAACCGAAATACCCTTTTGATATCCATAGTGTCTAATGCGCGTTTCTACCCTCGGATGCGGCGTGTTAGCTCGAGGTGTGTTATCATGTCTCAATAAGAGGGTAAGTAGACAAATGAAGTATGTACAATGCGTAACTGCTCCGACTGCTCGCTTAGCAGGAATTGAGGGTGGAAATCAAAGGATTTTTTCACTCAACGGTTATGACGGAGTACATATAAGCAGTCTAAGGCGGAGCAGCACGCCCCAGGTTTCCGAGTCCCGGGTCCCGACTCTCCAGTCTCGACTCTCGATCGGAGGGCCCATGCATATGATAATCAATCCCACCTGTCTTGCTAGCCGGCCTAGGGACCACACAGTAGTTGAGAAGCGTGGTTATCAAAGCAGGTGGAACCTTATCAAAACAGGTGGGTCTTCATTATATGCAGGCGTACTCGTAGACTACCTACAGGCTACAGGCTACCTAGTGTAGGCTAGTACCGCCGCTACCACATAGTAGTACGTAGTAGTACTCCGTACTAATTGTACTAGTAGGCTCGGCTTGCCGAGGCCCGACCCCCGATCATAATCCACATCAGCACTCAAATGTTTCAAACCCCCGCGCTCTCATGAAAAACAAAGACAAGACACAATATTCAAGTAACATATCCTTACGTGAACCGTTCCAGAGCACTACCGAGCTGGATGATTCAAACCGGCGATGGCCCGCCAAGTGGGAGATGTCAGGTAGTGCAGGGCCGGCCGTTATGGATGACGATGAAGACTTGATTGAAGACGATTATGATTCATATGACGAATTATTTACCCAGCATTTCACGGATGATAACCTTTCGCAACTTGACGGGACAAAACTTGCGTCTCCTCCGCCAGCGAGGGCTACTTCCCCAGTGAGAAATGCGAAGAGCCCACAGAAACCGGCCAGCAGCACCACACGCTTCTCCTTGAAACCGAAACCTCCTTCTGGAAATGAATTATCGAGCCCCAGTCTGTCGGGGAAAGAGACTTTGCCCTGGGCACAACGATATCCTCCTCTCAACTTGGGGGAACTGGCGGTCCACAAAGGGAAAGTTCGCGACGTGGAGCAATGGCTGAACGGTGCATTCACCGGAAAAGCTGGAAGAGTACGTCAGCTATAAGCGTTTCCTCGTGTTGGATTAATCGGAATATAAACTTTGCTGTCATCTTTCCTGACTCCCGGTTGCTGACAAGCTAGGATTTACTCGTACTCAAAGGACCAGCGGGAAGTGGGAAAACTACTACGATATCGTTGCTGTCAAGGACTCTGAACTTCGATATATTGGAATGGAAAGCTCCCTCCGTGTCCTCGTACGCTGACAAGGATTACGTCTCGCTTGCGGCCCAATTTGATGGGTTCCTCAGCCGGGGTCACGAGTTTGGCAGCCTAGATTTGGATGGTCATGATGAGTCACAGATCTTCACTGAAGGGAATATCTACGCTCCTCGGCGTGTCATTCTCATCGAGGAATATCCAACGTTGGCTGGTCGGGGTGCCGCGGTTCTTGCTGCTTTTCGACTGTCTATACTGCGCTATATCTCCATGAATGCGCCGCCTAGCAGGAATGTCTATGGCGGGACTTCCGGAGTACCACCTATCGTCATGATTGTGTCCGAAATATTTTCGAACTCCGAGTCGTCGTTTGACAATTTGACAGTTCACCGATTACTTGGTCGTGATATTTACGATCATCCGAGTACTACTGTCATCGAATTCAACAGCATTGCGCCCACATTCATGAATAAAGCTTTGAATGTGGTTTTGAAAAAAAGCGGTCGTCAGCCTCCAGGTGATCAAGCTCTCACGCAGTCTATAATCGAAAGCATCTCTAAACTGGGGGACATTCGAAATGCAATCGCGTCTCTAGAGTTCCTTTGTTGCGGTAGCGGCAATAGAAGCCACTGGAGCGATCCAACCGTCAGATCCAAGCGTATAACTCGCGCCCGCAAGAATATTTCTACCGGTAACAGTGGGGTGCCGAGAGCCATAGCGCAAAGAGAAGCCAGTCTAGGGCTGTTCCATGCAGTCGGCAAAATAGTTTACAATAAACGAAGCGACACCGACGTCGAGCATCCGCAACTTCCTTCCCCTCCAAATCATCTCCGTCATCTTGACCGGCCGGGAGTTTCTCTGGTGCATGCGAACGAGTTATTTGATGAGACGGGAACTGACATACAGTCGTTCATTAGCGCTCTGCACGAGAACTACGTTCCATCCTGCAACGGACCTTTATTTACAGAAAGCCTTGAGGGGTGCATAGAACGCTTGTCAGACAGCGACTTGCTGTGTATCGAACGCAAAGGATACAGTAGGCCCCAAGCTGGTCTTGGGATTGGTTCCGTCAGATGGGTGACTAGCAGCATTGATCTACTTCGGCAAGAAGAGATGAGCTATCAAGTAGCTACACGAGGTCTACTATTCAATCTCCCGGCACCCGTGAAGAGGCAACTGCGACGTGCGAACGACTCTCACAAAATCTTCTTTCCGCCCACCGTCCGACTGGTTCGTGAATTGGAAGATATCCAGAATAATATCGATTCGTGGAAAAACACTCTGCTCGGCTCGGCCTTGTCTCAAGCCGCTGTCCCGCCAGCCAACCAGCGTCAGCCTACATTACACAAGTTTCCTCGTGAAACGAGGAGCAATCTTCGTGGTATTTCTGATGATAACTCGTCTTCGATCATGGCTATGATATCACGCAGCGACCTGATACTCTATCAATTACCCTACATGACAAAGATAGTTGGCGAACGAGCAGAATCAAAAAGTCTTCGGCGAATCACCGCAGTTGGAACTCGAGGTATAGACTTCAGCTCACAACAGGATGACTACGCTTTTGGGACCGCGCTCCAAGGGTATGGCACTTTTCGAGTATCTAAAAATGAGGAGCGAGGCGGGTCGCTGGGGCCGCACACACCTTTGATCCCGCAAACAGATGATGAGCGGCTCATTCTCAGTGATGATGATATTGAAGAGGACCCGGCATGATGATTCTTTATTTGGTTATCAAATACCCTTTGTCCCATCAAGGATCCTGCATGGGTGGAAATGCACATCTTACTTTTCACATAAAGTACTCTAAGGATAAATTGGAGAATGTTGTTGACTGATTGGCTGTCGTAGTTAACAGGACTTTTGTTGCTAAGGAAATATTTCCGCCTATGCATTCATGGGTCTTGGCCTTTTTTTAACACTGCTAAACTTCTTAGAAGCCTTGATACAGTCACCAGCCTGACCTTGGAAGGCCCAGCCTTGCCTCGGATACTCCCTAGATACCTTAACTACATGGGGGCCGATGAAAGAGTTACCATGTCATTTTAGTAGGTAATTGGCATCAGAACTCTTTTGGGCCTAAAGATTCATTGGCGATGATGAATGACTAATTCACAGAAGACTATGGAGCACCATGGTCTAGTGGGATGTCCATGTTCCTATTTGTACTCCGTAGCACTGAAATCTGGGGTAGGTTATCAATGCTTGGCGCGATCAACAAATACTTGACTAATCAACCTCGGCTCTGAGGTCCTCAGCAGTGATAAACAATCCACTTGTTTAATATATTTAACACCTATTATTCCTTATTCCGCAGCAGCAAGATGGCCATGACACCAGAAGCACAAACTCAAGATGCTCGAGACAACTTTGACGCACGTCCAGCGAGCAATGGCCCCCAGCTCAAATTCCGCCCTGGCCATCTCGGCTCCAGTCCGACATTACCTTCACCAAGAGCTGAAGGCGCCACAACGGACATAGACGGGCGAAAGAAGCGTGGGGATTCTGCTATCCCAAGGATGCCTGGCATTGCAACTACGGTAGTCCAATATACCCTCGCCCACGGGGCGAGTATCATCCTAATGGTCTCCTTGATTTTCGGAGGTTGCTGTGCAAATGTGGGTGGATAGATGACACTTTGCGCTAAGCTATATCACTGATGCTCAAATCAAGGTATTCGCTCTTGAAGCAATAATCAAGTGAGTTTAAATGCCCTATTTAAGCAAACGGGGATATTGCTAATTCGCTGCAGGGACGAACCAAGTTCAGGTACATCGTCGAACTGCCCTTGGATGATCTATTCTAATTGTTTGCTGCCAGGGCCGTTGATAACATTCGCCCAATTCATCCTAACGGCTCTTTTTATGTTACCGAGCTTCTTCTCCCCATCAGCAGGCTTGGGGTCGATCTTCCTGAGCCGGCGCTCAATACCGTTAAAGTCATGGTTCACTTACACGGCCTTTTTCATCTCGGTGAATCTCTTGAATAATTGGGCATTTGCGTATCGGATTTCGGTACCTCTGCATATTATTCTGAGATCTGGGGGCCCAGTCGCATCCATTGCTGTTGGTTATCTGTACGCTGGAAAAAGATATTCCGGGGGGCAAATTCTTTCAGTCGCGCTGCTTACTTTCGGGGTCATTACTTCTGCATTAGCAGATGCGCAGGCAAAAGGACAAGCTATACGAATCGGTGCTGGCGGAGGCTCTAGTATATTCAACACTCTTACTGGCTTTGCTATTCTCGCGTTAGCTATGCTTCTCTCTGCATTTCAGGGGATTTACGCAGATCGACTGTATGAAACGTTTGGACGCAACCATTGGAAAGAAGCTCTATTCTATTCTCATACACTATCTCTACCATTGTTCTTTCCGGCTTTTCCGCAGCTCCTAACACAATGGCGCGCATTGAACTCGTCAACTTCGCTGCTGTATCAGATTACAGCCATGTCCGAAAACTCGAGCGCATTGTTTGCCTCTGGCGACGCAGCCGGCCCAGGTGACTCATGTGCGGTGTCCATAAACACTCCAGCCAAAGCTTTTCTCCGCCTACTTGTTACTTACCGTGAGTATGACGCTTTCCAGCCTATTTTGGCTATTATCCCGATCCAAGTCTTCTACCTGCTATTGAACGCCTTGACGCAATACTGGTGTATACGTGGAGTGCACCTTCTCTCGGCAAAATCATCATCTTTGACTGTTACTATTATCCTGAACGTTCGGAAGCTTGTTTCGCTCTTGCTGTCCATACATATTTTCGGAAATTCTCTTTCGCATGGTGTGCTAGCCGGGGCTATACTTGTGTTTGTGGGCGGAGGCATGTATGGCTTCGAAAGTGCACGACTGAGGGGAGCAGCCTTGAAGAAGGATTAATCGAAGCCCGCGTCACTTATACCTTGGTGATGCTCATCACTCATTGCTTTTAATCTGGTCAAGATGGATCGAATCTCAACCGGTGTACTCCATATGTATGTAAATATGCAGATGAAAACATGTCATATCTTCCATGTGTTCTAATCCGAGGGCAAGCATCTGCCACTTCAGATGAAACTATAGTTATGATACAGAGTGAAACGACTTAACCACATGCAGCATGTCTGTAGTGAGGTCAAGCGTTGAGAAGGTGGAACAGCGGGCGAAAGTGTAAGCTATAGGACTTCACCTACAATTTTCGCCGCAGCCTTGTATGTTTCTAGTAACCTCTCGCATTTCTCCCTTTCGGCTTTGATGCCATCATCCTCATACAGAAGTTCGGCAAAAAACTCTTCCTTGTAAAGCTCGCTGACGAGTCGATTTTGCACAACGTCTTTACTGTGATTGACAAGAAGGTGCATAATGGCTTTTGGAACCTGATCGGCAATCGTCTCTCTCACAATCGTAAAGTAAGAGGAAATCAACCGGCGGATCAACTCAGTCTCCACAAGCTCTCGGTCGGAGATTGCTGGCTCGGATTCATCCTTCAACTAATCAATTTCAAGTGTGTCACTATTAGTGCTCAGATACAACGAAAGGTGAACACTTACGAAGGAATTCGCATCATTGAACTCAGGCACAGGAGTATATTCCTCTGGCTTCGACACCGGAGAAAGCATCTCTGTACGTCGAACGTTTGAGCTCACGTTGACCTCATGGACCGACTGCCTCGCTTGGCTCTGACCTGGGACAACTGATGTAGTGGCCTGAAGCTGGGCGCCATCTTTGCCGAAGAAGTAATTCAAAAACGAATCGCGGGTGGTATTCGCGCCCCCAAAAGCGGGCTGAAGGTTTGAATGCGTCCCGTTCAAGGTCGCCGTGATTCCATTTTCTTGCGACTTGCCAAAATGAGGGGACATGCTTCGAGACCCCTTACTGGATTGAGTCCTCATGGGGAGATGTTTAGACTCTGGCTGCTCCTCTTCGTCTTCGGGATAAGCTGGTGAATTCCCGTTCGGAGGACCAAGTTCCCTAATCCGTCTCTTCTCGCGTTTGCGTCGGTCTTCCGCGAGCGCAGCCTTCCTTTCCTGTTCCTGTTTGCTTTGAATTATAGATGACATCGCGGCGGCTGCACCAAGAAAGTTCGGATGGTTCGTGTTGATATAGGCCCTCTGAATGGATATCAACGACTCAACGTAAGACGAGCAAGGACCTAGCCTTTCACGCAAGAGGTCCGACACAACTTCGATTAGTTTTGCTTGAAGGCGTGGGAAGCGTAGCAACTCTTGCGAGCCACAAGTATGGCATATCTTGATTAGTTCCTCATAAACTAACTCAACGCATCGCTGGCTAGGGGGCTCAAGCAGTTTGATCTGAGGTTTCACGAGAAGATCAAAAGCAAGTTCTGGGACAAAAAGACTTGGGCGCGGCCCCGTTGAGTTTCGAATAGCCGTCCTTATATCAGAAACCGAAAGATTCTGAGTGGGATCGACCGTGTCGAGAGAGTTGCCGAAGACAGAATTGAATATATAGTATATCCTAGCGCCACCACATAACTCTTTCGTGGATATTTCTGAGGATGTTCCATCGATTGAGGATATAAAAGATGATGCGAATCGTGTCATCAGCTGCAATATAAGAGAACCGCGATGTTCTTTACCGCTGAATTGCTTGTTGCCATAGCTGGCGAGCTCCTGCTGCGTTTGACCCATGAGTGTGTTAAGACGGGCTTTGATGTCTGGTAGGCGATCTCTTATATGGGACATTAATGTCGAATTCAATGTTTTGGCAAGGAATTGAGTGCCGCATCTATTAGCCATATTTCGATACGCCGGGTGGTGCCGGAAGAAGTCGAGTTCAGCTTGAAGAGCCTGGGAAAGGGATTTGCCAGATTGAATATCTTGCTGGGATCTGTTGACTACTCCAATGAAGCCAAGTTTAAGCGGATAGACTCGGCCGGATAGAATGTCCATGGCATTAGTCCCATGATCCATGAGGTCCAACTTGGTCAAGACGCCAATCGTTCTTCGTCCCATAGGATCAACCTGACGGGCAAGCTTCAGCGACTCGGAATTGACCAAGTCAACATTCGCTGGCGAGACTGCCAGGATGATACTATTTGGTTTCGCGATGTATTCGAGTATCAAAGTGCGTGTTTGCTTTTCAATATCCGACGGCTGATCTCCAATTGGCACTTTAGTTAGACCTGGCAGATCAACCATGGTGAGGTTCAGCACATGAGGTGAGAATATCTTGAGGTTGATCGGCTGCCGGTTGATGCCCTTGTTATTTCCAGCTATTCTTGCGGTCTCGGCCTCAATCTCCTGCTTCACGGCAGCGAAATCATCAAACTTCCGGCCAGGATGATGATGAAACTCTGCCCATTCGTTTTGCCCGGGCACACTGGCAGCTGTATGGGGAACGTGAGCCTCATCGCCCTCTGGTTGGTCATGCCGCTCGTTAGGGATGTTTATGAGTTGCAAGATCAACGGCCTTCGAGTCACAATCCCACTTCCTCGGGGAAGAAAGTCTCTGCCAACTATATTTTCCAATACAGAGGATTTCCCGGACGACTGGGAGCCGACAACGACCTGGAAGAGAGGTCGACATTAAACTTCTCAACTGCGGTGGCATCCAGGTAGCGAATACTTACAATCTGCGGTAAATCAAGCGAATCATTTCCAATGGTGTTGAAGACCAAGTCCTGCAGCTTATTGACTGTCACCAACAGATTTTCCCCTAAGGCGGCCATTGTCCTCGACCTGTTATATTCAAATGGTGATACAGGATCCCGGTGCTCGGCGCGCCGGAGATAATGAAGCGGAATCAAGAATCACGTAATGATGTTACAGTCGCAACACTGTGGCAATAATATAGTAGAAAAAATTGTATGCCTTGTGTATTAGAGTGTCCTGTAGATAGCGCGGTTGGGACTGGAATCATAGACAGGGTTTGGTTGCTTCAACATTATTGCTCCATACAGCCACCACCTGGTCACGTGTGTTGATTCAGCTTATATAAAGTTGTGCAGCCTTGTGCTATCAGTAATTATTATAAGTTATAACACACTACTAGATAATACCTGTACAAAGTACACTGTCTAATCTACACGTAACAAAAATATCTACTGTTTGAAATACATGAAAAAGGCTATATCCTTGCTCACGGGCTGTGTTTATGGACACAATAAGGCCCTAGTTTTAAGGAAGGCTAAATGGTATCTCCTTTGTATGCAGGCCACACACATTGTACAAAGTGAACTGGCTTGCATATAAGTAAAGTCTGCCTGCATTAATAGTCACTTTACACTGCAGCATGACTATAATTTATAGTAACATACAGGTTTGTGATATAAAGATAGACTGCATCCAAGGACAAAGTACCCATATCTTGCTATTTGGTTTTTTTTTTTGTTTTTTTGTTTTTTTGTTTTTTTCGAAAGAAGAGTACGCTACGGCAATGGGCTCCAGCATGGAGACCTAGACAGGTAATTTTGATCATATGGTCCAGATTGTGTAAGGGAGGAGGAATTTGATTGTGTATAAGCCAGGGTCGTAGCTACTTGTTTGTGCCATCATCGAATCTATATTGAGATTCAAGATCATTTCAAATAGAGGACAATCTGATCGCCAATCAGGGCAATAATTCACCTATGATTTCACTGCATACATATTCACAGATAACATGAACCATAATACAGTGTACATTTAACATTATACCAGATAATCCCAATCCGAAAAAGTCCTAAAATGACCATCCACTTCAATGGATTAGCACATTGAGAATACAGTCAATGACTATATATATATATTGTCCACCTATGTACTAGTGTGAGGGTCTAAGTAGTAGACAAATACTACAGGCTAAGCTTCCTGGTATACATGGATAGCCCCAACTGCCCAGCGACACTTGAAAACTGCATAGATACACATGCGAGCTAGAAGCAGCCCGCTTACAAAGACGCCCTTTTACTCGTTGAGTTGGACATAGTTCGCTGGGAACAGTCCCGCCTTGCCATGGTATTCCCCAAGCCACCAATCATCGTCGGGAAACTCCTAATGCAAGACAAAATAATCAGTTGTAATGCTCATATTGCCCTCGAAAGTGCCGCAAAGGAAAACTGGACGGGGCTTTGACTTACGATGTTTATAATCTCACCACCTTCGGGGAAGCTTAGTTCATTGTCCTCAGCGGCCTCGTAATCATAAAGAGCCTTTGCAGTAGGTTTCGCGTGGGATCCTAATGCTGCCGCGGAATCGGGGACAGCCTCAGGCGTATGGGTGTCGGCAGTCAAAGTATCAGGTTCGGACCGGGTTTGACGACCATCATCAATAATCTCAACGTAATTACTCGGGAAAAGTCCCCTCTCCCCGCGTGCGTTAAGACCAAGCCACCAATCTTTGTCAACCATCTCAATTTCCGTCACACGTTCACCCTCCCTGAGGTCTACCTCATTGTCCTCTGCCTTCTCGTAGTCATATTGCACAAGAGCTCGTATCTCGCGGGCGTCAGTCTCATCGGCAGGAGTAGCCTCGGCCGACACAAAATGTGCATTTTGAGCACCAGGAGTTCGTTCCTTGTCAGCTACAGCACCTTCCCGCAGGCTTTCAACTTGTTCAGCGGTAGCAGGCGATATTTGCGCTTCGCCATAATCGGTAGCTTCCTTCGCAACTGGCATCGCAACTCGGATCGGCGAACTGTCACATTCAGAAAGATCGGGTGCCGGCGATTCATCAGGGCACTGAGTCTGAAGAACAGGTGGCTGAGAAGGCTTTGGCACTTGCGGAATATCAAGCGCGGTTTCTGCTGGGTTGACATGTGAAGGAACAGACCTCGCTGTCTCAACAAAGCTAGGCGCTTCCTTTGGTGGCCCTTGCGTTAACTGGTCTCGAATAGTACTAACATCTTGCTGGGGCATTACGGGCTCTGGAGTTGATCTGTCAACAGTAACAGTATCTGCGACCTCCGCGTGCCTATCCTCTGCAGATCTCCCGGTGTGTGTGGTCTGAACGGGTGCCCAAGATTTTCCACTGTAGGAGCTCTTCCATTCGCTTCCACCACTACCGTGGTTTTCGACATTGGCCACAGGAGGATGGAATGATGGTGTAACAGCACTAGGTTCCTGGCCGCGCTCTTTCGCCTTCTTTTCTGCCCAAAGTTGTGCAGGTGTCTTACCCCCTTGATCGGCAAAGGTTCGACTAGCACTCCCAACAGGGGCTGCGGGCGTTACGCTAGACGCACTGCCTCCGGGAAGAGGGGGCTTGGTGCCCGTGAACGTCGAGCTTCCGCCAAACCGATTGGAGACCTTGGGCTTGGGCAAGGATGTAAGGCGGCTTGACTCATAGGATTTGACATCCAGGGAACTGGAAGGCCCATCGAATTGGGAGGGACTCTCTTCCGAGTTCACCCCAGTCTCATCTGTCGTTTGGGCCCTCGCGCGAATAGCAGCGATGTCGACTTTGCCGACTGGTTCATAAGCACCTCTAACAGGCTCTGGTCGGTCATCCGTGACGCTACCAGCCTCACGTGCCTGTCTTCTGATAGCCGCGATATCCACTTTGCCGATTGGCTGATATCCACCTTTCACGACGCCTTCAGGGCGGTAATCCGTCGTGATCCTGGGGCCTACGGTTGGCTCAGCCTGCTTCTCAGATTTGAGCTCCTGTATGTTGACCCGGGTAGGTTGGTAAGCCGGTTGGACTTTCTCTAAATTAGTCCGAGTCACGGGGGGAGCATCGGGTCCCCATCCATCGTCATCATTTGGCCTTGTCCTCACTGGCAATGGGGCGGCACCGGTCGCGCCTGCACTAATGCCGCCAGTTCGGAGAGGAGTGAAAACCGGCTTGCTGGAAACGGGAGGTTTCGCGGGAGAGGCAATCGGCCGCTCGGGACCATGTGTGTATTTCGCGCCTGACGCATCGCCAACCTTCTGGATGATGCCCTCTACCGTCAAGTCGGCTTCTGAGCGAGCAGTTATCTGAACGTGGTAGCCCTAAAGCCTCATTGTCAGCAAGCAATGCGCGAGCCTTTCCCCAGCCGTCAAAGTACACTGAGAAACTAACATGTAAAAACCTGGAGACCGTGGACAAGTGGCTAGTGAAGTACCCCTTTGTCCGCTCGGGTACGCCTTCTCCACACCACGCGATGAGGACACATTTGGGTAGGCCCGTGTTGGCGTCAATAACCTTAACGAAAGCGAATTGAATTTTCCCCTCGGAAAACTCGTCAAGAAGATCTGCCAACTCTCCCTCTGTAAAGGCAGGTTAGAGGTCACGACGACGCTGATCTCCGACGCGGGGTTATAGCATACCTCCCGTGTCCTGAACTTTGAGAACACTTTCTTTGCTGCCAGCATCTTGTTGAAACGCGCTCACCAGTGGCGTCGAAACGGAGAACAATGCCCATTTGGCGACTGCTGGAGAGCCCCGCGCGGATTCCGAGATCGAGGAGTCGGCCACAGACTGATAGCTTTTCGATATCGAGGGGCCATTGGCCGATAGATTGAGCGATGCCATGCTGACAAGTTAAGCCCTGACTTCGATGAAAGGCGAACGTGCAGAAGAGCGAAAGGGATCGAGAACGGTGGGATAGACTTGTAGTAGAGAGAAATATCAGCCGTCGTCGGCTTCGAGATGTAAGGCAGAGCTGAATCCTGGGAAGATCGATGTGGTTCCACCTTCTTTTCAAATGAATTGAAGGAACTCGAGCTAGGAGTTGGGAATCATACCAGTTATTCGCTTGTCAATAAATAGGAAATGAGTGGATTGACTGTGGATGAAAGAGTCTTTGGTTGCACAATGAGACGTTGCTCAAGCCTGTCCCTGACACAACAAGGGGCGCCTAATTAGATTGGAGTACGTACGTCACTTTAGACAGTACGGTAGGTACCTACCTACCGGTACTGGTAGGGTGTACTCTGTATTATTTACCGGAGCTCGGGGAAACCGCTGCCGCAACTGAAAGATTATTTCGGATTAAGAATGTTGAGTGACTTGAGTCACAGGGCGGCGGCCAGATCCACTGTCCAGCATGGGTGTGGATTCCTTCATCCTAGTGCTGTGAGCTAGCAAATTCCCATCATAACATACTCCAGAGTTGTTAACATCACTGTGACAACTTTGTTGCTCTTCAAAAGCTAATTGAATATAACCCCACACTGCAGTTTTATATCTAGCTCGGGTCAAAATCTATCATTGAACAACATTGTCTGGTCTCTGGTGCTGTGCTGGAGTGCGCCGAGGTCTTGCAAGTCTAACAGGATCACAACATAGGCAATTTCACCGTTCTGAGACCGATCAAAAACGGATAACATGGATGAAATCCAGCCTGGCGAGCCTAATCTGAACGGAGAATCGAGGGACGTTCTACCAAGAGATAGGCAATTGAAGACACCTACATACGATTATGCGTTCGAAAAGTCTATGAGCCATGCAGAAGCCAAACTATTCTATCAAAATCACTCGAATACTCCGGCTAATAACCAAGCTGTCGGCATTAATCCCGTTCACTTTCCGGTTTCTGGTCAAACCGGGCCTCCTTCGTTATCCGAAGAGGTTCACTCTGCTAGTGATATTCTTGGGGCTTCCAGTGGCATGATGAACTTGAATTCTGATAGCGACACGGTTACTTCGGAGTTGAATACCATATGTCGCAAGATCCGGGGTTTGCTGGACTTGAGATCAAAATACATCAACTTATCTCTACAAACGCTCAAAGACAACCCCAATAATCGTTCGGATTGGACGATATATCCACCACCACCAGAACCAGCCTGGGGCGAAGACAAAGAGACTGCCAGGATCAACAATGAATCTCATCCGGACCAAAGAAGGAGAAAAATGGGTGAAAATATTGGTGAAGACTTTCACTTAAATGAGTGCATGCCGCTACCGGGAGAGTCTGACTGGGTCTTCAAGTTAGATGAGGGCAGCGTTTACCAACTTTACGAGAATTTGAGTGCTGCCAAACAAGGAGTTCCTGTGGTCAAAATCCCATCTTTGAGAGACTTCTACATGGATCTTGATGCGGTCACTGATGTGTCAACTGATGGGCCGGCAAAGAGCTTTTCATTCAAGCGCCTTTCGTACTTGGAAGGAAAGTTTCAGCTCTATTCACTCTTGAATGAGTATCAAGAAATTACGGATAGCAAGAAAGTGCCTCACAGGGATTTCTATAATGTGCGGAAAGTTGACACCCATGTTCATCACTCAGCATGCATGAATCAGAAACATCTACTTCGCTTCATCAAAAGCAAGATGAAGAAGTCGCCGGATGAAGTTGTTCTTTTCAGGGATGGTAAGCATCTAACACTTAAAGAGGTTTTCGAGAGCATCAGCCTTACTGCCTATGACCTCAGCATTGATACTCTTGATATGCATGCAAGTTGCTCATCCATGTGTCTTGCTATGGATCATGATGGCTAATTGAAATAGGCACATACGGATTCGTTTCATCGATTTGACAAATTCAATCTTAAATATAACCCAGTTGGGGAGTCCCGACTGCGAGAGATTTTCTTGAAAACCGACAATTACATCAAGGGGCGCTATCTTGCTGAGATAACTAAGGAAGTTATCTCTGATCTTGAATCAAGCAAGTATCAAATGGTCGAATGGCGCATCTCTATATACGGAAGGTCGCTTCAAGAATGGGACAAACTCGCAGCCTGGGTAGTAGACAACAAATTATTCTCTCCAAACGTTCGTTGGCTTATCCAAGTTCCTCGACTATATGATGTCTACAAATCAAGCGGTATGATGGAAAATTTCGAGCAGGTGATCACGAACGTTTTTCAGCCACTATTCGAGGTTACGAAGGATCCGAGCAGCCATCCTAAATTGCATATTTTTTTGCAACGTGTGGTCGGCTTCGATAGTGTTGACGATGAGAGCAAGGCCGAACGTCGTCTGTATAGGAAATATCCCATTCCTAAAGAGTGGAACACGAAACAGAACCCACCATACACTTATTGGATCTATTTCATGTTCGCCAACATGGCTTCCCTCAATATTTGGCGACAGCGGCGTGGTTTCAATACGTTTGTCTTGAGACCACACTGTGGCGAGGCCGGAGATCCCGACCATCTTGCCGTCGGCTTTCTTTGTTGCCATAGCATTAGTCATGGTATCTTACTCCGGAAGGTCCCATTGCTGCAATATTTGTTCTACCTTGACCAAATAGGCATTGCGATGTCTCCCCTGAGCAACAACGCGTTATTCCTAACGTATGACAAGAATCCATGTGCCCATTTCTTCAAAAGAGGCTTGAATGTGTCATTATCTACAGACGATCCGCTACAGTTTGCGTTCACAAAAGAACCTCTGATTGAGGAATACTCTGTAGCAGCGCAGATCTACAAGTTCAGCGCGGTGGATATGTGTGAGCTAGCTAAGCATTCCGTCGAGCAGTGCGGTTTCGAACTCCCGTTGAAGGAAAGGTGGCTTGGCTCGAACTGCTCTTTGGCTGGGGTTGCGGGCAACAATGTTGCAAAGAGTAACGTGCCTGATATCCGAGAAGCATTCCGACACGAAACACTGATTGGGGAGCTGGCATTGTAAGTTTTACTTCCTCGCACCTGGCCCATTGTTGTCCTCAAGGGAAGACCCTATCTTGTCGTGACGTTGAATGAGACAGGCCTAGCTAATCAATCAACCAACCACATAGAATTGAGCGGTACTCCGCACGAGCTACTGGAGCTGGATTCACACCTATAGCTGGTTTTGGTTCACCTTCCCCGTCCTTACAGAAACCGTGTCCTACGGCTCAGAGTAAGTCTTGATTATATGGTCGACTCGCCAATACATATGGTGACTTTGCCCGGACGACAGCTCTGCATGGACAGTCGAGTACGCCTATGGATTGGTCCATTCACTCGAATATTTGCTCGTCTAGAAACACCGCTGCTGCACCTTTTTCACTTGGTTCTACCAGTCAAAATGATGGTAATGCGACGGACCGCTTGGGCTCACTACAGTCGCATTGTGCATCGGACGTTTTTAGCGGATTAAGCTGTGTCAACGCAATTGATCAAATCTCCACGGCTGGGGCAGAGGGCCTGCTAGAGCAGAAAGTATTTCCCGGCATTGTGCACGAAAGGGCTCAGCGCGGCAATGTCCCGGGGCGGGCCGTTGCCGATTGATCTTGGGCAAAAGCGGGGGACAAGAATAACCTATTCAAGGTGATTTAGCGCGTGAGGTAAACGGGTATACCTTCCAGAAATAGATGTCTAATTTATACAGTATGTAAATGAGCACTAAACAATGCTAGGGGCAGCAGTGGTTGCAGACTATCTCGCCGCTATGGTGCGTATATACGGAGCGGGAGCGGGAGATTCGCTGTCGGAGTTTGTAGGTAGGTAAAGTCTTGCTTTGTACTAGTCGCTACCTCAGACTGCCCAACTTCCTTTGCGTTCACGGACCCCCCATGGGTCACGGTAACGCCCTGCTTCCAACATCTGAGGCTGTTGACGTACCCACTCTTGGATATACAACCGTAGAGCCGTCCATCTCATACACGCACCGTTCGTTGCGCCGTTATTGGAGAAGTCATGCACGCCCACATGACCCTTGGCGTCCACAATCAAGTCATCCGCCCTGAGCGATGCTACTGATACACCCGAAACCTTACTTAATTCATAGTCGTAGTAACGGGCAATGCTGGGGTACCCTAACGACAAATAATCGTAAATCTGCGTAACAAAGGCGTCATTGAATTCCTCATTCACGTACTCGCTATGGTGAGAATCATTCCCCAGGCTCTGTACATCGAGTTGTGTATTTCGGTGAAGAGGAGCTTGGGCCTTGGACGGTTCATCTGACAGGCCTGTGGCATCCTCCATATCATGTCTTGGGGTAATCAAGCCCGTTAACAGAGTTGCAGCGCCATGTGTACTGTTTCTGTCCGGTTTGCATGTGCCATTCCAGAGACCGCCAACGTCATGATGAGCTGAAGAACGCGGACTAGCACTCCAAAGGCCTGAGAGAGATGAGAGACTAGACCGGTTCTCATAAACACCGTTTGGGCGTTCACATATTGAGGTTTCAGGAGTCAAGCTCTGTGGAAATGTGAGATCACTTCCAAGCATCGGCGGGCTAGCGAGCTGCCTCAACTGTGTCAAAGGTGACAAAGGTGAACCGGCATCCCGTCCTTCGCCCAGGTTCGCGATCTTTCCCGCGTTCTTGAGAGACCAACGAGCTGCGAGTGGGGAACGGGCTCCCCTGGTCGTGAGGTAATGGCGCCTATTCATACTGGCTTCCTCTTTATGTCTGCGCAGGTATTCAAGTTCCGAAGGAAGATCTGCAGATGAGGCGCGCCTACTTGTCCTGAACTCGAATCTGGCATCACGTATATCAATGCTCTCTCCGTACGAGGATTCTTCTTCGTCTCTGTCAATCGCAAAATGATCTACGGGCTGGTAGACCTGCTCATTGGGGAACGCTGCTAGTGCTTGCTCCTTTATTTGATTCTCTGTTGGATGGGGTGAAAATGGGAGAATGTATTCTAGAAAAGAGGTTCTTCGGCTGTTTCTAGGGCGGTCACCGTGTTCGGAGATTATTGCTCGTCTTTCAACAGACGATGGAATACGTATTCGAGTGTTGAATTCATTGGATTCCTCGCTGTCACTGGAGGGAATTGCAGGCAAATCGGGCACACGAAACGAGTGTTTTCTTGTTTCCTGACGTCGGAGAAGGCTAGAGTATGAGAACCGGGATTCTTGTACGGCATCATGGTCTTGCCTCGAACTTTCAGCAGCCGTTTCGTTGTCCCACCGGCTTTTTGCTTTCAACCCCGCTGGGCCACCAGGGTAAGTTGCCAGTTTCCCGGGCCGAAATGAGTGCTTAGCGGTCTCCATGAGCTGTGGCGTATATTTCTTTGTATTCCGTTGTTGTTCCCCTTTATGATTATGAGCAGGCCTGGTTGTGTATGCTGTTGACACTGTGAAGCTGTTTGAATCATGGTTTCTCAATGAACCAAGGGCCCCGCCAGTTTGCCATAGGGGTGGCTCTAACCCAGGATCGGGAGCTTGGTTAATGGATGAACTAGAGTATATTTCTGATAAATGGATGCCTGCCTGCGTTGGATGCAAGTGGTGTCTTGAATATTCATTGTTTTGATGTTTCTTGGAGCTGCGTGACGATGTCTCTATTGGCTCAGGTAGGAACCTTCGTGGTTTTCTGGGAGTTTGTTCGGCGAGTTGAGGCATGATTGAGCTTCGTATTGTAACTTGTCGAGCTTATTTATTGTATGTGTTCTAAATATATGGTTAACCATACTATCTTGTAAGACAGGCACCGCCAGGTGCTATGTTTCTCTCTTCCGCATTTCCGCAATGCGACAATCTTGACACCTGCTGCGGGCCCAATGGAAGGACGTCTTATCCGATGGTGATGATTTTCCAGGGATTTGGTGGCATACCTTGCGGGAGGCGGTCGTGTGCAAAGTAATTAAGTTCAAGTGCCAGGTTGCTGAGATCTAGGGCGGGACCAACAGACAGTAAGGCCAGAGGCTGACGGACAGTATATATATAATGAATATGAAATATGGTGGATATTTGGGCATGGGTTGAATCATAACACAAGAGGGCTTTCAATATAGTTGTAATTGTTGTTACTGGTCAATGATAGTAGCTAAGTATATGTATGCATTCATTCCAGGCGTTGTGGCCTGTTATCCTGGAAATCTTGGTTCAAGAATTCAGATTAGATATCTGTACCGTGCTTACATACCGTGCTTAATCAGCTACCGCCAAAACCCACGTGATGTCGATATTCAACCCCCATAATAATTTAAAAAAAAAATAAAGTTTTTTAATATATATAAAAGGTATAAAAACCCAAAATTTTCGTGGTGTATTTTACACTAGTTAATTTTTTATATATAATAATTTTATAATTTTTAAAAGTGCTATAGCAGCTAAATCTTATAGCCTGTTGTGGTTAATCCCACGCCATGAAACTACTTACTTATATCTTAGTTAGCTATATGTAGTTAGTTGGCCTCCTAGCCATTCTTAAATAATTATTAAGTATTTTTTTATGGTTATTATAACTTATTTAGGTGTTACCTAAGTAACTATTATAATAATAGTAGCATGTTTTTAATTATAATTATAGGTAAAATTTTTAATTTTAGGAGTTTTTAAAGCTTAGAAAATTTTAAAGCTCTTGCTAAAAGCTTTTACTTTAGCTTTTATTATAATAGTATAACTTTAACTCCTTAACTTTTTAAAACTTTTTATATATATAGCTTTTCCTAAATTTTAACTTTTTTAATACTTTAAGTTTTTTAATACCTTTAATAAATTTAATTAATTTAATCTACTATTTACTATCTTATAATTCTTTTACGCTAACCAGGCGACTGGGTGGCCTAATAATGTTATCACTGTTATGGTGTTGCAACTGCGCAGTGTTACAATAACATAATCTAGCGGCCTAAGGCCGCCGGGCAAAGGAACTTTAGCGCTAAATTAGCCGCGTGTTAAGGTAGCGGCTAGTTATATAATATATAAAATACTAAGTTTAATTTAAAACTTAAATTTAAAAAATTAATAATTAATTTTTATTATAAATATATAATACCTTTTTTATTATAATAATTTATATTTTTTTAAGTTTATTATAGTATATAAACGCGACTTATAATTTTAATTATTTTTTTTAAAAAACTTATTTTATATAATAATTAAATAATAAACTTAATTTTAGGGATTAGTAAATAATATTTTAAAAAAGTAATTATAAACCCTAACTTAATAACTAACTAATATATTTAAAAAAAATTTATAAATTTTTAATTAAAGAATTTTAAGGGCGCCCTTATTATTAAATCCTAAATTATATAAAAAATATTAAAATATAAAATACCTGCCTAGGGGTAAGAAAATAAAAATAATAAAAAAATTATTAAAAAATTATAAGTAATACTAAAAGTAATTTTAGTAAAAAAAAAATTATAAAAATAAAAATATTTAAAAAAAATATTAATAAATTTATACTTAAATTAAAAAAGCATACTAATAAATTACAAGGGCTAAAGCTAATTAATAAATATATAATATACTTATTTAATTTATTAAGTAACTAATAGTCCCATGTTAAATAAACTTTAATAACCTTATAATTTTAAAAAAAAAATTATTAAAAGGGTTATAGTAATAATAATATAACTTAAAAAAAACTTTTTAAAAAAATTATTATTTATAAAATTATACTAGGTAAATAATATTAAAAAATTTAATAATTAAAAGTTAAATATAAAAATATATTTTAAAACCTTTTTAATTTACTACCTAAATAATAGTTATAAAATATTTTAATTTATTAAATTTTTAGTAAAAAACTATAAACAGGAATAGTTTAATATTTATAAAGTAAAAACTATATTTACTTAAAAAAAATTTAATATATTAATTAAAATAATTAATAATAAAATAGTGCTAATTAATAACTTATTAATTAAATAAAGTAATATAAAGTAGTAATTATAGTAAATTATTAAGTAATTTATATAATTATTAAATTAAATTAAAAAATACCTATTTTATAAATATAAAAATAACTAGTATTAAAAATACCTATATTAAAAGATTTTAAAAAATATATAAAAAAAGTTTTTTATTTATAAATACTAGAAACTAAAGTGCTATAATAATTATATATTATATTTAATAAATAATAAAAATAACATGCTTAAGTAAAAAAAAAATAATTATAAAAAAAAAGTTTTTTAATTAAACTTATATGTTGTGGTTGATCCCACGCCACGGCAGTTGCTTACTCAGAGCTTAGTTACCTACATGTAGTTAGTTGGCCCCTAAGCCATTTTTAAATAATTATTAACCTTTTTTTTAGTTATATATAACATTCTTTTAGGTATTGCCTGGCTACTACCATAATAATAATAGCATGTCTTTAATTATAATTTAAGGTAAAATTTTTTTTAAACTTTTGGAAATTTTAAAGCATTAGTAATTTTTTAAAATTTATAGTGTTAATATCCTGGCAAGCCTTGCTATATTAACTTTTTATAATTTTTTATTATTTAACTTTTAAATATAACTTTTAAACTTTTTAAAACTTTTTATATATATACTAAATCCCTAAGTTTAAACTACTTTTAAACTATTACCTTACTATATTTTACCTTTAATACTTTGCCTTAACCCCTGTTAACTAGGTGGCCTAATAGCTTACTAATATAAATTATAATATTATAAATTTTTAAAAGTTTTTTTAATTTATTAAATTTAAATAAAAAAAAAAATTTAATTATTTAACTTTACTTTATAATTATATAATTATATATTTAAGCTTGCTTTTTTAACTTAAGCTATTAAAACCTCCCTTACTTATATTATTATTTTTTTTAATAACCTATATAAGACTGCCATAAATATATATAATTTTTATTATTATTTATAACACAGGTATATTAATAAAATCTTACTAAAGTATTTAACTTAAGCAAAATTTATTCTTTTATCCCGTTTAAATAAAAAACTAATTATAATTAATAAAAATTAGTTAGAGTACACTATTACAAAGGATTTTTTAAATAACTAGATCTACTAATTTTAAGGCTTAATAATAACTTGTAAATAATTATAAACCATAACTATAATTAACTTTTATCCAAATTTTACTTTTTTTTTTAAAAAAGAGAATAGTGTACCTTAGCCTTTAAATATAATAAGTTAAAACTTTTAACACCTTCACGCCCTATATTTATAGTATTTATATTTTTTATTTTAAAATTAACTATAACTACGGCTACTATAAGTATAAAACCTTTTTTATTACTTAATATACTTTAAATACTAGGTTTTAAAAAACTATTAAAAAAAAACTACCTTTACCCTTACCTTTGCCACTATCCAACTTTTTAGATCTTTTTTAGTTTTTTTAAAACTATAAAAAAAACAAGAATATATTTACTAAAAATAATAAAACATGCTTACTAGTTTTAAAATTAGTTTTAATACTAAAGGTTTTAGATATTTAAATTAATAATATAGTAAAAAATAAAGTAACTAGTAATGGTATAAAGGGACCCGGTTTTACTAGTTTTTTTTAATAATAATTAATAATGTTAGCTACTTTAATAGCACAGGCAGTAATAAATACTAATTTTAATAAAAATATTATAAATAGTGAGCAGCAGGGGGCAAATAATATAAGATTTTTTTATTAAAAGGTAGCTAATATTAAATTCTTTTACCTAAATATGCTATTAAATTAGGGTTTTAAAATAAAGGTTAAGTATAATAACAAGCCTTATTTTTATAATATATATATATTTATAACTTAAATTTACAGTGCCTTGGAGACTAGGAATATTTTTAAAATATATTAAAATTTAAAAATATATTTATAAGAAGAAGCTGCGCGGTGGTATAATTTAAAATTTAATTAAGTTTAATAAAAAGGTTTAATTATATTTAATAATATTAAAAACTAGTATAAATAATTAAAAAAAGGTTTAAGCTACCTGCTAGTAAAGTAAGATTTAGGTTAAATAATTTATATTATATAATAATAAATATTTAGGCTAGGTATTTTTTTATTACTTATATGTTTAATATAGTGGCGTTAGCAAAGTAATATAAAAAATTTAACTAAAAATTTTTTTTAGTATTAAAAGCTTGGTAAAACTTAAATATCCCTTTAAGAAATATTATTAACAAGCCCTTAAAAAAATAATATAATTATTTTAAAGTTTATAAAAATCCTATAAAAAAAGTAAATTAATTAATTTAATAAGTTTTAGCTGTATGCTTATTAACTAATATAATAAGCCTTTTATAAATATACTAAATATTATTTTTATAGTAATTAAACCTAACCCTAGTAA